ATACCTCTGACTAAAGGGCATAAAAACTACGATACATTGCATACTGGTTATGGCAATCTTTATAGCAAAATGAGATCAGAAAAATCTAATGCTGTGAAATTCTGTGCCTGTGAGATTCAATAATATATTGTTGTCTCTAAACTGTGTGTGTGTGTGTGTGTGTGTGATATCACTATCTTTTAAAATCATGACTGAGAGCAGCCCTGACCTTGATAAAATGTTTAACAATAAATTTATGAATGGGAAACAACAAAAGTGTCTTACATTGATAAATGCAAACCAATTTTTGTACAGAAAGCAACAGAATCTATGAAATAAAGCAAACAAAAGATTTTCAATTTAGACAACACTAGAGAACTTGTCAACTATATCATTGTAATCAAAATAACAAAGATTAAGATACTAGACTAAATAATTCAGAGAATAAAGAACTTCAGACAACCGGATTCATTTTTGTTTGTAAACAAAAATCATTTTTTTTGTATTGCCTGTTTCAATCATTTCTGCCCTTTTGGTTCTAATATTTGTCTTGGTATTTCTTCGTTTTTTTTTTCTTTTCACCCTGCCATTAGACTCTTGTTTATGTCCCCAGTTCTGCATTCTCTTGGAAACATCTGTGGTTTTGGCACCAAGAAGTCTCTAAGGCATCAGAAATAAGCACAAATCCTTAAATGGACAAAATTCAACATCATGAGGAAAAACAGACCATAATATGAAGAGAACAGAAAAAAGAGAAAAAAGATAGAACAAAACTAATTAGCTGTTGCCTATGAATGGTTGGAGAAGAATTTGGGGGGTGGGAAAGAAGAAAGAAAATCTAAATCCCTCCTTTTATAGACACAAATCTTTTTTTACTCATTTAATAAAATTTGATTTTTGGTACAATTAAGAGAATAGTATCATCCTTAAACAATGTCTTTGGCTGTCTATCAATGTATTTGCCGAGAGAATCATTATTTTACATGTCTTGTTTTGAAATGATAGACTTAAATCATTGTATAACAAATGTCATATTCTGCTTATCTTTAAATTTTGTGCTTCAAAGAAGTCTGAGTATGCCACTTTGGACAGAATTCACCCAGCCTCTCAGAATAATGCATAATCTTATGAATTCTATGTTTGTGTTTAAAGCAAACATCCTCCATCTTTGGTGATTTTCAGAGAATTGGACAGAGTTTCAAATGTTGGCGTCAACAGAAATTTTTTTTTTTTTTTTTTTTAAATTTTTTAAGGAATTATTTGTACAGAAAGATAATAATACCAAACAATACTTTGGCTCTAATTTAACAAAACCAAAACACAGCAACAACCAAAATAACAAATCTCCTACACGATATTTTAGCCTAAAATACCCCCCCCCCCAAGTCATTTATTATTTTTTGGGGGTTTCCCTTTTGTTTTTTTTTTAAATTTTGCAATTTTAATGTTTTAACGATAACAAAACGTTTTAAAACTATTTTTAAACCCTTCTCTCTTTTGCTTTCTTCCTCTCTCACGTCCTGTCTGTTTTTAGATTTTTTTAAAATATTTACTTTTTTTTTTTGAGTACTTTATAATTTTTTCCATCAAATCACAACAAAAAATATCAAAGTGAATTATTTTGCCAACAAGTTGATTTGGTTTAAGAAGTCCAAGGGGAACAACTTTGTCATCACCAAAATGTAATCGGCATTTTTATAAATGAAGCCAAAAAAGACATGTGAGTAGTAATAGCATGTCCTAGAATGAATTAACACTACTCACTGGTGTATTGTGAGAGTATCAATTCAATTTGAATTAATGAACTTGAAATTATCAGCTGAAGGAATTTTAAATTGTCTCCTTTTACTGTAGACTTCGAGACTGAAAAATGATTTGAATGGAAAGAGACAAAACCGGTGAAATGTAAAAGACATTCTGGGAATAATGAATAAGAAAAATAATTTCTAACCTCACTGACTAAAGAGGTCGAAGGTCAAAATGACTTGGCATCAAAATTTGAAAAGTGATGTGTTTTGGAACCGACTAAAATCTGTTTCGCTCTCCAAGTGAACACCTAGGTGTTTATAGATTTGATCTTTTATGCAAGCCTTAATGTCCAAACGTAGTGGAAGGAGAAAATTTTATTCTTGGCTCTTCAATGACTTTTTTTTTGTTTATGAATATTTGCATTTACAACACTTAAAAAGTGTTGATATAAATGGCTAGTGTCATTCAAAATGATAAATCTTTTTTTTTTTGAGATCCGTAAAAGAAATTGTTATAATTAAAAAGACTAAAAGGAATTCCAACTCAAAAGAAATCTGAATGAATTAAGAAAAATAAACTGGCCTGAAAAAGTTGTTTACAGTATTAGTCATCATTTAAAAATTGTGTGTGTGTGTGTGTGTGTGTGTGTTTTGGTAACAAGTTCTCTTTTGTATTTTTTGGTTGAAGATAATATTAAAATTTCTTTCAAGAAATTTTTATTTCATTTTTCTTCCTTGCTTACAAATATATTTTTTCCCTAGTTTATAGATGTTTTGCCTGATACTATTTCTGCAAATACTTTCAGTGACTCTTTGGTCATCTTCAAGGAATTCAGCTGTTTTCAATAAGGAAAAGAATTTGCTCCCATCGATTCCTTACTCTTGAGAATTTGAAGTTTTGTATTACACGTGGAAATACAATGCTAAAATTATCAAAATAAAATGCCACAGAAAGCAGACACTTGCTTAAAAAATATTCTCAAAAGAAATATTTTTGAGGTCTTTAATCATACATACATACATACACACACGTGTGTGTGTGTGTGTGTAACAGGTGTAATATTGGAGGAATTGAGACTTTCCTCATACAGTCTCAGCTGTGGTGGACTGGTCATATCTTGAGAATGTCTGATGACAGGATACCCAAGATCCTAATGTACAGCCAGTTAGAACAGGGCTACAGGAATGTAGGACGCCCATGGCTAAGATACAAAGACAAGCTGAAGAGCAACTTGTCAGCTGTCAATATACCACATAACACCCTTAAGTGCTTAGTCTTGGAGTGAGTAGAGTGGAGATCAATGTGCTTTAGTGGACTCAGCAGTTTTCAATCTACTAGTCTGAATCGTCTTCAAGAAGTGAGATCAAGATCTAAAAAGTCAGCCAGTCTAACAGTGACCTCATTCCACAATTCTACTCTTGCTCTATATGTGGCCTTCTTTGCAAATCACTAGTGAGTCTTAAGTGCCACAAGATTATCGCACAAAATTCATAACTGAATCAATTGGTTAAGTTGTCAGATCTTCATACGTCAAAACCAATGGGAGAGTCCATTATTATATATGAAAAAAGGTGTAGATTGATAAATAGATTAAGAAATCAAAATGAAAAGATATTTCTGGGATTTGAGTGAAATTCACAGACTGAAGCGATCAGTATGAAAGAAATTTTCGCTAAAGGCTAAGAAGTTATTTTGAAATTTTTTGGAGGGTAAAGAGTTCAGTTTTGTCCCTTCTTTGTTAATTTCGAAAATAGTTGCTGATGACAAACTGAAAGTTATAACAGACTTCCCTGACTTCAGATCCCCATTTCACAGGTCTGTGGTTCCCCGGAAGGACAAAAGATGGTCAACATAGCCATCTTTTCAAGTTCTATACCATCTGCCAATTGATTCATCTCTAATGCTGACCCCACATTTAACGGAAATCATTTAGTTTATCGTTTAAATCCTTCTTGTTCAACATGTCAACATCAGCGATGTTTTCATTCACAATGGGGGTGGGGGTTGTGAATTGCTTTAAGAAATGCCCCCCTTTGGGCAAAGAGGGAATTTACAGTAAGAACGAGAGATCATTTTATGCCATCTTTGGAGACGGCTATTTGAAGAGACAATGGTTGTAATTCGTATTTTTGTCTGTTGGCTTCTAATTTGTAAAGAATGATTTTAATGATGGTTATAAGGAAAAATGCCTGGAAGAACGGCACCAAAACTCTGCAACAGATTCTGAATATTGGCCCAAATCTTCTGATACAAGAAATATGCTGCCAAACAAGGGCTTGGATTAAAAATTTTGTCAATTTACAGCAAATTTAGGCTATAAAAGGTTTCTGTTTCCAAACTGAAAGAAATGTTTTAATCACTGATTGTTGTCAAACAATAAGAATTGTATCTTTGTCAACAAACTTGATACAACATTTCCCTATCATCCAAGGAGGACTCAACTGATTTACTGGTTGAAACACTGCAAATTTGAAAGTTTGAAGATGAGAGTACAGTTCAAAAGACAAACATGACTGGAACTTGAGTTATTTACAAAAATAATAAATATTTTGCCTGGAAAGAATTCCAGAGGTCTTTTCAATTTCTCAAAATTTTTCTTGTATTCAAAGTTTTAAAAAAAGCCATTTTTTTTTTCAGAATGTAAAACAGAGAATCCAGTGATTGTCACTTTGGAAAAAATACCATTCTGTGAGAACCAGAACAGAAAAAAAATCCTTTTGATGAAAATGACTACTGAGAAAATTTAACTGTGTTGTGCCGTTCTTCCAGTGCTATTTACATGGTAAGTTTCTATGTAAACTTTTCTTTTTATACAAAAAAGTGGTTGGACTACTTTGGTGAGCTATTTAGTTGTGAATATTGATAATGGGGAGTTAAATACAATGAACTGTTGTCGCTGCAGGTGTGTGCAAAAGTTTCCAGCAAAAAACAGTTTCTATTTTTCAAAGAGTACCGGGAACTCTTGCACATACTGATAACAAGTTGTATGTTTAATTTGTGAGTAGCTCTCTCCTGTTATTCATTAGAGAGAATTGCACACAAATTATTCACTTTTTCTAACCAATGATGGGATTAAATAATTGGTGTACAAGGGAAACGGTTTTAAAAAAAATTTAAAAGTTTTCACATTTGTTTTTTTCTTTCTTCTGATTCTGTTTTTGTTTTTTGTTTTGTACAAATTGCTTTGCTTTCATTTTTTGTTTGCCACTATGATTGATTCATTATCTTTGAATCCACCAAGGACATGTTTGTTGCATCTTCAAGGTCAATAGTTATTGACCAGCGTGGGTATTTTCTGTGACCAGCTCTCCGTATGGACAGAGAAGTTCATACAAAGCCCGAAGGACGGCCGTGTAACAAAACTTGTATTCTGCCTGGAAAAAAAAAAAAAAAAAAAAAAAAAAAAGATTAAAAATTCAAAATTCACTCATTCTGTCCCATAAGAATTGTTACATTTAGTGTGTGAAACATGTATGTAAATGTATTAACTATTATGGGACAAATGTAGTAGTATTTCCTTTTTATTGTTTCTTCTTAGTGCCAAGGTTGTACAAGAAATCCCAGCTAAATGCACCCCAAATACACGCCCTAGTAAGTTCAAACATTAAATACCGAGCTTAATAAATATTGAAACATTGCAAAAGTAAATGACATTAACAGTGATCTTAAGTGTTAGAAATATTGTCGAAAGCGAACATTCACCAACATTTAGACAATATTTACAACCGTTGGCATCTTGAACAGAAAGAAAAGATAATTGAATTTAAAAAAAAAAGAAAAAAGAAAAAAAAAAGACATCCTTTATCTGCCTTCAGTATTCAACCTTTTATATAGCAAAGATTGTATTTTGCCAAAACAAATGTCAACTAGGATATTTCTAGAAGATACTATTTGTAAGGCAATTCATCATAACGCTTGGCATCAAATGATAGATCATTAATAATAATAATAATAACAACAATAACAACAAATAAAATTGTTCACTTATGTTACTACTTTGAGTTTTATTGAAGTACATAGTGGATTTAATTATGTGAAAACTAAGAGAAGAGACAAATGAACATTTAATTATAAGCAAACCCCCACACACACACACATATATACATGAATAAAAAAGACAGGAGGAAAACTATTCTTAGCCAATGCATTTTGCCATTAGAAGTGCTTTATCAAGGCAATGTAGGATTTATTTTGTACATGTTTATATACAAAAGTGAGGATATCATTGGTTTATCAAGACATTTTAATTTGACAATGTTCATAAATGTTCATCAATTGGTTGAAAGGTCAGTCAAAACATGTGGAGGACACAAAGTGTCATAATTCAAAGCCTGACCTTTTCGTATATAAACATATTCAACAAAATAAATCCTACATTTGCCTTGATAAAGTCCCTCAGAATATGAAATGTGTCAGCTAAGGACAATTTTTCCTCTGGTCTTTTATTCATTTGTTCCTTTACAGATACACTATCTGAAAATAATATATATATATATATATATATATATATATATATATATATATATATATATATATATATATATATTTATATATATATATATATATATATATATATATATATATATATATATATATATATATATATATATATATATATATATATATATATATATATATATATATATATATATATATATATATATATATATATATATATTATATATATATATATATATATATATATATATATATTATATATATATATATTATATATATATATATATATATATTATATATATATATTATATATATATATATTATATATATGTCTATATTTCTGAGATTATGTACAGTATTTACATAGTCAGACTATTGTCCTCATCTTTATGCTGATACATATTTGTCACAACGGTTTTTCAGGTGGTTATGCGCTCCAGCCTTCTTCAGGTTTTGGTTATTTTGATGGACTGAACCCTTTATTTTTTTCCTTCTGGGGTTTTTTTTCTAATTCCGTGGTTAAGTCGTTGGTAATCAGTGGAAGAATTTTCCCAGAGGGAAACTTTTATTAGGAGATAACTGATAACTGACATCCATCAAACATGGCACGTGGAATTAGAAACAGACACCCCAAGGATCGAAATAAAGGTTCAGTTCAAATTCCAACCACCTGAAGAAGGCCGGAGCGATAACGGTCAAATGTTGTGACAAATATGATGCGACAAAGATGAGGACAATAGTCCGACTAATGTAAATACTATATTATATATATATTATATATATTATATATATATATATATATATATATATATATATATATATATATATATATATATAATATATATATATATATATATATATATATATATATATATATAAAATGTATGTATGAATTAGGAGCATGGATTAAATAAATCTGACGGCCTGATTAAATAAGTAGGAAAGTCTTTAAATACTTGACATGTTGTTTTACTATTTTCAGTTTAGCTTCATTGGATATGTTTTATGAAGCTAAACTAAAAATAGAAAAATATGTCAGATTTAGAATTTTTCCTACTTGTTCCTTATTTAATCATTTACACATACACACAAGCAGTGTGGACAGAGTTCAACACCAAGTGATTGAATGCAATCTTCAGGTATGAAACACTGCTTATATTCACATTAGCACCCCCTGCCGGCCAAACCAGTTGGGTTCCTTTTAAAAGCAGTTCATGATACAAAATGATTAGGTGACAACATTACCAATTTTATTAGATTAGAGTTTTAATATTCATATTTTTCACATAGTTGGAATATGATATGCAAATGTTTGTTTACATATGCGGATTGATATAAGAATGTGTATTGAAAACAAATCCTGAATTTCATATTAAAAATGCTACAAAAATAGCCCTAGCTTAAGAACCCCTTGTCTAATTTGAATGGAATCGTAGTGCCTTAATAAACACAGTATCAGCAGCAGCCCTGGGGGTATAAAAACAATGTGAATCCTTAAAGTAATTCTCTTTCTGTTTCCCCACTTTTGAAGTGTGTGCCATCAACTTTTCACACCAAAGTAAAAGGGTCTGTGGACGCTTCACAAAAGCAAGTCACACTCAAATATATTCATTTAACTTTTTCATTGTGTATGCAATCTATTTCTAGGAAAAAAATTTCTTGTCTTAAACTTTCCTTTTGTTGATTTTGTTTAATAAATGTTATCTTGTACTGCAAATCAATCAGTCTCTGTTATTTTGTGCATGTACACTTTTTCACCATCATTATTTCATGTATGATAAAATATTCTCATGAGAAACCTTACACATTAATTATCAAAGTAGCCAGCACACTAAAAAATTTAGCACTGCACTGAACAAAGGTTCAGTGTACAATCTGCTCCTAAATTGGTTGAGATATTATATATTATTCAAGCTGTATCTTGGGAACACACATACACACGTAAAAATATATATAAGGGAAAATATAAAATATAAATATTAATTGCTATGATATTTTTGTATGAGGAAGTTGTTAATTTTGTAAGCAAATGAATTTCTCTTTTTACCTGAGTTTCAACCATTCTTGGTCTTTGGAGGCGAAGGTTTTTCACAAGTGCAAATATATCCAACTGTAAGAAAAGAAAACTGAATAATGAATATGAATGCACAAATAGAACTTGGAAGTGTTAGCTGCCTGGGTAGACGATACATAATTTGTCTTTAACACAAGATATTAGCAAGACATGCAAAAGACAAGATTAATATTAATGCCAGCTCAAAAGCTGCACATTACACTGACAACTGAAAATTAAAATTATTGCACAAATATATTTTTGAAATGAAGGAAATATTTTTTTCTTATTCTTTTATTGTTCTTGCTCTTTAATAATGTTTCTTTTTTTTCTTATTCTTTCACACTCAGTTACGTCTTGCGTCCTAGTGGCTTTATTGTCTTGCTTAGGGTGAAATGATTTTTTTTCTTCTTTTTTTAAATGATTTTACTCCAAGGCAGTCACTAGGATACAAGGGGTTACTGACTGTTAATGAATATGAGAAAAACTACAATTAAGGAGAGAGGCCAATATAGGAATTAAGGAGACAGAAGATAATGATTGACGTTGCATTTAAATTTTTCAAGATCAAAGTTGACAGGGAAACAAGAAGCTGGAAAAGAGTTCCACAAGTGAGAAGTGTGATAGTGAATTTGTGCAACATTTCATCGTAGTCCTACTAAGTTCATTCATACTGCGAATAGACCAGTTAAGTTTACCTTGGTCAACATTTCATAAAGTTCTTGAATTTGAATCTTTGTGCCAATAAAGTGAAACTTTTACAGGCCCTTTGGGCAAATGAGAAACCCCAAAGGAAACAATTTGTGGTGGGCATGTTAGCTTGATGAGATGAAAACAAAAGGTTCCTTTTAAATATTTGTTTTAGGGACAAAGCAATATCCCATGTATCAGGAGAGATAAACAGGCTCAACGTCAGGATCTGGAGTTTTGGAAAACCTCTTTTGCAACAAGAGAACTGGAGAATAACAGTGGCGCAACGGTCAATGTTTGGTGTGGCCTCATCTTTGATTGAGTGATTGGTTTATTTTTCTTTTTTTTGCAAAAGAAACGGTAACTTCCAACACTTACAACCTTGCTTTTTTTTTTTTACAAGAATTTGTTGCACCTTAGTGCACTATTTGCAACCAACAATTATTTTCTAGTAGAATGGTGCATCAACTCATTGTGTTCAATCATGAAACACACTGTCGCCATTCGGTGTTGACCCAGTGTTCACTTTTATATTTATATACACTCTATCATTGATATTGAGAACTTTTATGCATAAATAGAGCACTATATATATATATATATATATATATACACACACACGCCTACCATGATACTGGGAGTTTCAAATATTTTTTTTTTTCGTCAGCTACCTCCCACTTCCTTTCACTTCTTTCTTTATCCCTTTTTATTTTTCTCTTCTTTTTTATTTTTAAATGTTTAAATTTTAAGCCTCTATTTTATTCCTTCACACTTCTGAGTTGACAATGTCAACAATATAGGACTTGTTGGTTGAAATAGTTGTTCTTTGAATGAGGTAAATTTGGCAAGTTTTTTTTTTTCATAATGTAAGCGTGCATGCAGGTGTTTGCATCCCCTGTGCATATTTGAGTGTGTCGTGATTATATATATATATAGTGTATTTAGGCAGCAATCCTTCATTTATACATGTTTCATTAAAGACGGCAGACAAGGTACTACAATTAAGCTTTTTATTTAATTTTTCTTGTGTTCAAACAAATGTTTTCTTTTTTGGACACAGAGTGTGTAGAAACTGTTTAAATGTTCTGTAATTCCGAGTGCTTTTGGCTATTATGAAGGATAATCTTATTTTTGCTTTTTAATTGGGTGTATGGGTTGTGTGTATGTTTTTAGGTTTATAGGGATGTTTTATTTTCCAAACACAGCACTAACATATATACAACCAATTAAAAATAAAAAATAAAATCATCCTTGATAATGGCTAAAAGTATAGTCAAAAGCACTTGGAATTACAGAACATTTGGACAATTTCTACACACTCTGTGTCCAGAAAAGAAAGAAAACACTTGCCAGTAGAAAAAAACAAAAAAAAAACAAAAACAAAAAACGCTTCATCATAGTACCTTGTTTGTCATCTTTAATGAAATACACACCCAAACACACACACATAAACACCAACCCATCCAGAGTATATAGTATATTTTGGTAATGAGTGGGTAAAAAACATGTGGCCCAAATTTTTAAACATTTACTGCTTTTTGGTTGGAGGGTGGAGAAGAGAAGAGAGAGAGAGAGAGAGAGAGAGAGAGAGAGATGATGTCAAAGTTCAAATTGTTTACACTTACTTGCACGTTATTCTGTATGTGCAGCAATGCAGTATAAACAGCAATAAAAACAGCCGATCGTCCGCAACCATTTGCACAATGAATGACCACTGGGCAATTGACAGCATTTGAAGTCAGGTAATTCTCGGCGGCTTCATGATAAAACTGGACAGCTTGCACTAACTAGCACATAAAAGACACAAATCAATTGATGTTATACATTGCAGATTCTCATATATATTTATATATTTATATATATATATATATATATATATATATATATATATATATATATACACACTATTATTTAATATATATATATACACACACACACACACACACAAGTGAGTGTGTGTATATTCGTGTATGTCTGTATGTATATGTACTTGTTATTATAGATATATATATATATATATATATATATATAATGTATATATATATATATATAATGTATATATGTGTGTGGGTGTATATGTATGTGTTGACACCTATGTGAGATTGTGTATATGTGTAGGTATGTCAACTTTGGTTTGTGTTTACTGCCAAGTGTGTAAACCTATGTGTGTATATATGTATGTGTATTTGTGTGTGTATATATGTATATGTGTGTATATTTATGTGCATACTAGTGGATGGGAGTGTACTTATATATGTGTATATGTGGATGTGTCGATACGGGTATTTATATGTGATTATATATTTGCATATGTGGATATATGTTTGTATGTTGCAGTATATATATATATATATATATATATATATATATATATATATATATATATATATATATATATATATATGTATGTATGTATGTATATCAGTGTCTTGAAACATACCATTGATACTAACTAAAATCTACTCTTGTATGATAAGGATTTTTTTTTAATGGCTTATAGATTTAATCAACAATTGTGTGTGGTTACTTTTTATAAAATTATTATAAACTTTTACTATATTTTATTCTTAATAAGATAATGTTAGAATGTATGTATATTCCCATTTTTATGTGTGTATGTAAGTATAGACATATTTGTGGTTATATGTATATATATATATATATATATATATATATATATATATATATATATATATATATATATAAGGATGTGTTTGTGCGTGTATATATATATTTTTATAGGTGAATTTATGTTTACATGTTTTTTTGTTTTTGTTTGTTTATGTGCATATGTATGTTTGTATATGTATTTGTATATATATATATATATATATATATATATATATATATATATATATATATATATGTTTGTGTACTTAGTTTATATGCACATGTATATGTATGTTTAAATATGTATATGTGTATGTATGTATTTGTGTGTATATGTGTATTTGTATTTATGTGCATGTATGTAAATATATTTATATCTAGCGTTTTTTTATGACGCTGTGCAGGTTGATATATTTACACTTGCTTCTGTGTGTGTGTGTGTGTGTATGTGTGTGTATGTAGACATATTTTGTGTATATGTGTATATATTTATATATGTATGAGTGTACACTTATTTCTGTAGGTAGTTCTTTTTTATCTCATTTTCTTTCACCTAATATATAATAAAACTATTATGAACTTATATGATTAAAATATACGTTTTTATTGATAATTGTGGTTTTGGAATTTTCATTTTTTAATATATTAAATAATATTATTTTTAACCATTTTTATCTTTATATATTTGCTCGCTTAAGTTATATTTTAATAAGTGGCTAGCATTTGTTTAATGACACTTTCAGTCTTAAATATTTATTGGTTGTGGTATCTGATTGTCTAGGTCAGTGTCTGTGGATGTGTGTACATGTATTTATCAGTGTCTATGTGTATGGAAAGTGCATTCACTTTTAATTGTGTATGTATGTATGTGTTGGTTTCCTTTTTTTTCTTTCTTTTTTCTTTTTTTTTCTTCTTTTTCATAAAGGGCCATGGAGATGTTCCCTGTCTCATCACTTTTTTTTGTGTGTATATATATCTAAATATGTCTGGGTGCTTATGTATTATAATCTGATTGTGTTTGTGTTGTTTTACACGTGAGGTTAGGACCCCATTCACACACTTGGGATTAAAATGTATATATACTGTCAGAGGACCGGATGACATATCAGCGTCTATTCTAACATAAATTGAATAACATATGTATTTCTTCTTTTCTCCTCAGTAATTTTAGAATTTTAAACTTAAAGTGATTAAATTTGGATTTTAAAATTGGTAATTTTAACTTTTAATTTTAATATCAAATTTTATCATATAATTTAATAATTATTGGTTAGAATAAATTCTTTTTTAATATTACCCATATTTTAAAGATCTGAATAGCTATTATAATATGACTTCGTTGTCAAGCTTTTTGAATTTTCCTATACTTGTATTTTGATTGGTCATTCTAGCTTTTGTAACAACGTTTTCCCCTTGTGAAGGATCATTAATTAATTTGAAACTTTTAAAACCATTCATTTTACATTCAACATCACTTGATAAGACACCGGGGGTGTTGAAACAAAATGGCTATTTTTGTAGTGATTTTAATAACATATTCATGTTATAATTTTAAAAAAATATATATATATATATATATATATATATATATATATAATAGTTTAGTAGACCATTATTTGTAGTGGAAGTGTATCGCTACTCTGACTTCATGAGGCTGACCTTTGAGGTCAGATGGAAGATCAAACAAGGAAGTCGATTTTTATTGGCTGAACAAATGTGAGAATGGTAAAATGGTTATTATTGGTACTGAACTGTCAAACAATGTACATGCGTTTTCCTTTGTGTCTGAAATGGCTCCCCAGTGCAGGGAGAACGACCTCACTGGATAAAAAGCAGATGTATATGTCAATGTTAATAAAATAGTTAAATTTAAAATAAAATCCCCTGAGCTGAAGTTATTTTGTCTCTGGACTCTAAACAACTAGTGATCACTGGGTGAGAAAGAATGCAACTTTATGATCGAATTGACACAGTTGCCCATGCACCCCATCTGAGCAAGGGAGCTATACAACACACACACACACACACATGAATGAAAGAAAACTATAATGTTGAGATATTTGTTGTTGAGTGAAATTTTTTCAATTTAATACTGACTGGTCAAATTTTATAAAAATTAAAGTTTAATTGATTCAACTTATTTGACAACCTTGATAAAAGTCAATGGATTTTAACATTGTTACTTTTTGATACAGTGATTTCTTGGAAACAAAGCGTCAAAAATTTGAAAAAGTGTGTATACCTGTAGTAATGACACAGGTGAAGAAGGTGTACCACGGAAAGGCCACGCCTTGTACATAAACTGCATCACCTGATGTTGCTTCCCACTTGACTGACACGACAGTTGTAAAAGTCGTGCATCAAACCCAGGTAGGTGATGTCGTTCAATTAAGGAAACCTGATACCTGGAATAAATAAAGAAATGAAGATAAAAATCTATACATGAGCATCTCTCATGCATTCTTTTTTTTTTCTTTCTTTTAGATGTGTGCTCCTATCATCAAAATCTTTGTCCCTTCCCCTTAGACATTTCCAAAGTTGTCCCCCCAAATTAATATTGAAAGGGAAGAGTCACAAGTGCAAGTATTATTAAATGAAAACAAAAGTGAATGAATTATGGTCTCTGATTTTTATGGGTACTTTGGATTTCATGCGCAAAATAATCGATTTGTTATTTTTTTTTTTTGTTTACATGTTTTTTCATGTTAACAGCACTTCAGCCAAAAAGCATTCAATAGATAACTAGAGATATAAAATTGTTGCCATGTTGTCTTTGTTCAAAATAGTCAAGAATTAGGAAGGCTGTAGTTAGTGTATCAAAGGAACAGATGAACTAGGTAGAGGAAAAAAAAAAAAAAAAAAAAAAAAAAAAAAAAAAAGAAGTTTATTAAAATACTCATAAATAGAATGGAAAAAACTTGAATAAATCAAATACTACTCAAAACCGACTCTAATGTGGCTACTTGCCAGATTTATAAATAGGAACAGTCCATTGTCACAGTAGTAGGGAAAGCAGGAAGTTCGCCAAGCCCTACTCAACAACAAAAAATTAAGAAAATTTCAAGTAATTTATCTGGTTAACCAATTCAAGTGTTTCATATGAAAATCCTCATCATGGCCAGATGTTGGATAAATCTATTGAACTTATTAACAGATCTCATATTTATACACTTTCTGAAGGAAACAAAATGCTAGTTTATAAAACATTTGGCCCCAATGAACATTTTGATGCAAAATTCTTGAGTTAGCTAACCAAATGAGTCACTTAAACTTTTTTAATAGATTTATTATAATAATAATAATAATAATAATAAAAAAGGTATAATAATTATCATATAATAATATAACTTCAATAGATTTATCAAACATCTGGCGGTGATGAGCATTTTGATATGGTTAGCCAACTCAAGAGTCATTTGAACTTTTTTTTAATTTATCGAATCTTATAGCTTGGTTATCTATCGAACGCTTTTTGGCTGAAGTTCTGTTAACGTGAAAAAAATGTTAATTTTTCAATTTTCACATATTTGCTCAGTTGTATTATACATATTTAATAAAGTTTGCTTGTATGATACAAGACTATAGGGGTCACAGTGCTGCAGTAATCTGCCAAATAGAAAAGACATGCAAGTTTTCTTTGATAATCAGTGTTCAAAATTATGGGCTTGAACTATCACTGGTGAGAAATGTCCAACTAGGTAGGTAGGAGGCTCAATAACTTTTATAATTTATGGCTTTTGTCTTTAATATACGTGTTGATCAAAACTCATGAATACTTTTTGTCAAAAGTAATGATGGAGTTTAAGTCTTTTCTTTTTTTCAGTTAACGAAAACTGAACAGACTTTTTAAAAGGAAAACTCCTCCTCCAATGGGAAATAATAAGTAGAGATATTTTGAGCAAGATGGAATTTTGTATTATTTTGTCACATTGACATCTTAACATCAGAAAAACCATACATTTTGGTCTAACATTGTCTTTGATATCTTTAGAAAGACTAAAACTAAATTGATTGCATAGATGGTTAAACATAATTGCAACTTTTTTAAAATCACTTTCATTGATATATCTGTCTACATTTGTGAGATAAGGTATTGTAACTATTTACACTGTTGTCCTCATCTTTGTCATATTTACAACATTTCGGTTATTGTATGCTTCAGCCTTCTTCATTGGAATTTCAAACTGAACCTTTTATTTTTACTCCACCAGAGTAGATTGTTCTAGTTCCATGCCTTTTCTGGATATCTTAGTTTCAGTTATTTCCCTTTAGTAACTCAAATCTCCAAGTTTTTATTCACTTCTGCTGTGGCCAGGTATTGAACTCAACCCTTTCGGTCAAATTACTGGATTACTTCAACCAAAGGTTTTATGGACAATAACTTGATGAGGACAATAGTCCGAACAATGTAAAGTGTAAATATTCACTGATATAATTTAGAAAAAAGTGTTCTTTTTTTTTCTCTCTCTTATTTTTTATTCCCATAAAAAATCTTGGAGAAGCTATTTAAAATTGCAAACAGAATAAACTTGGTTTGTTGTCTGAATGTGTGCATGTGGAAGGATAAGCAAAAAAGAATGCAAAGAATTTGGTTGACCTGTGTCCACCCCCACACCAATTGGCAAAAAGAAAAAAAGAAAAAAAAGACAAGCCATCACCATTTGACCACTTTCATGCACATGCAATAAAATCAAAAGAAAGAATTTTAAAAAATCTGAAGAAGAGAAGAAACTGATTTATTACTGAGGCATTTACTGTTTACGACATGTGAGTGGGTATGCTGTTACCATTTCAATAGTATTACATAACCTCACTGATCTATCCTTATCAACATAACAACCATGTCCTTCAAGCACTCATCTTCTACTGTTTTACTTCTATGATTACAACTAATTCTATAAATTCACTACAGCTATTGTTTCCTTCATCTAATATTAAGTGATTTTGAATTATAGGGAGATTCTTAGTTCTTGAAATTATTTTTCATATGGGCTTTAAAAATAGTCAATTGTCAAATATAAAAATTCTGAGTCGAAACATCCCTTCCAAGAATACATCCTATGGTCTTTTAACTACTAAATAATCCATATTGTATAGTCTGCACATCATGGTAAAAAAAAAAAAAGTAATATATAAGGGGATTTTGGAAAGATACACTTTCCAAAATCTAAACAAATGACTAAAATTCATTTTTGTTTTTTTAAAACCTTTTCTTGGTTGGACTGATAATTTTTAGCTTTCCCTTGTCACATATAAATTATTTTGAAAAATTTCTCAGGGTTAACCTGTAGAAAAGACAATATTTATAAATGACAATAGATAAAAATGTAATAGTTGTCGACGTGTTTCATCCAACGTGGACTTTCTCAAGGCAAAAAACGAAATTAATTTATTAAACAAAGTAACTAATAATAACAAAAACAAAATGTCCTTAGCAACTGAAAGAATTTAGAGAACGCTATTTTCATACTGTTAACTGAAAATTACGTCAATTACTGTCACGTGTGAAGATATTGTTATTATTGATGTGTTGACGGATTCAACCATTTTCTTTTGATTTCACGATACTTTTGTGTATGTTTGTTTGGGAGAGTAGTAATTCTGTTAAGAAAGGTGAAATAGGGAAAAAGAAAAGAATAAGATAGTTCTGAAAAGTGGAAAGTGCGATAAGTATGGAAGGTCTTAAAGTGAATACTTTGAAGAGGACTAAGGTATCATTGCCCTAGGTAGGCCAGAACTCCTGAATGCAGTTTTTCAAATTAGGGTGTGTGTGTGTGTATATATATATATATATATATATATATATATATATATATATATATAATATATATATTGCAGAACAGTACTGTTTTGCTGTATCACAGCTCCTCAGTGCGACTAGACAACTGAATGCCTCAAGCCCGTAGGATATATATATATATATATATATATATATATATATGTGTGTGTGTGTGTGTGTGTGTGTGTCTGTTCCTTCCACCAACACCTTTGCAAAACCCAAACTGCCCACAAAAAGTAAAAAAAAAAAACTCAGCTAAAGAATTATGAAAAGATATTCCCAAAAGAATAAAATCTTACTTCTGTTCAATATCCCAAGGTTTGTCTTTACTGTCTGGCCAGTACTTAAAGCACTTGCTACGTCCAAGTTCTACTTGATGGCTCAACATGACAATGCTTGGTGCTTTGGTCTCCCATATCATTCTCCAGAAGTCCACTACAGTGTTGGACAATGGACTCTGACAGGCAATGTAATGATACTTCATTTTGCCAATGTCTAACTTTATGTGACTAGCATTAATATAACTCTGGTGTCCAGACAGTAAAACCCTTGAATTATCGTCTGAATTCAGTGAAAAAAATAAAATAAAGAAGTGAATAAAATATGAGAAACACAGGTAACAAAAATTATTCTCCATTTTTATTGTCTTTAGTGAAACATTTTGGCTGATATATTCTTCAGTCTTTCTTACTATAGGAATATTTGAGTTTAACTATATTCATTATTCCATGTGAAATTATTTGACTGAACATCTAGCTGCCATTTTTTCTGACTGAACATATGGTTGCTATGTTTTTTTCACCAAACACCTGGTTGTCATTTTATTTTTTGACTGAACACCTGGTTGACACTTTTTATTGACTGAACAACCGGCTGACATATTTTTTTAGCTATCCACTAATAGTATTAGTAGTAATTTTATATTTGGCATTTCTTACAGGCTTACTCTTTATTTCTGATCAGTACAGTTTACAAATATATCGTAGAATATTTGGTGACAGAAATATTAGTCTAATAATAATAAAAAAAATAATTTGATTTAACATAGATTTTGATGAAATGAATAGTCATTTTTATTCAAAATATTTTGATTATTACAAAGTTCTTTATGAGAAATCTGCAAAATATGTCGTTAGAATAAGTTAAATATAATCTGATTAAAAATGATACCGCAAATATTTGATTATGAAACATGGGAAATTCTTTATTTAAATTAAATCAAAACCAATAAGAGGCAATATTAAAGGACAAAGAAAAAAAAAAAGAAAAAAAAAAAGGAAGTTAGTTTTACCCTTAGCGTTGTTGAAAAATCTTTCATTTTTTCTCCAAGATCAACTGTTGATATTTCATTAAGATGTTCAAAAGCAACATTAACTTTCAAAACTCAATAAAGCTGCTAAATCCATGAAAAGTAAACAAAAATCTCAAATTTGTATCTTCTGCTATATTTAAGTTGTGATACAAACAGCCTGCAATATACAATCTTTCATAAGATTTGTTCTTGTTGACAAACTGGTCTGATCAAGCACAAAAGGTACTTACAAGGTACATATTCCTGGGATCGATTTTTTGATTTATTTTCAGGCAAAAGTGCCACTTTTGTTCTGCCAGCATTGGACAAACAGTCTTGTTTTATTAACTGGAATAAAAAGAAAGGAAGTTACTTCCATTTTTAAACTATTTCTTTTTTAGTAATTAACTGTTTTTCACCAAATCTACTATGAAACCTCAATAAACTTGAGAGAATGTTTCCTTGGTTATTTTAATACTTCAAACAAATTTGGCTCAATTTTTTAGTGGGAAATCTGGAATAATTAATCAATAAAATATATGTTATGTGTATTCTGGATTCTAGTGCTACAAATTTATTATTTTTTCTGAATTAGAAATTAATTGGTTTTCTTGGATATGAATTAGCAATCAGCTAGTTTTAGTTTACGTCCAATTAAATGTAAGACAAGACAAAATTAGGATCTTTTTTTTTCTAAATATTTTTCCCCTGTCAAATGATTAAAATAATTTTTGCATTTTTTGGGGTGATACAAATCTAACAGTAAAAACTTGTTTTTTATCACCTGACCTGGTCAGGGTGTGGACAAAAAAAAAAAAAAATGAACAAGTTTTCAGCACAGCCATAAAGACTTTTGGAATAAACAACATCATATCCTTGATATTGAGCACTCTCAATTAAACACACACACATCTCATGACCAAAAGATTGAATTTTGACAAAACAGGATACTACCATTATCTCACAAGATAAATGGATGACTACTACTGGACTACTATTTCCATAAACGTCATATTTAGTAGAGACTAGCAGCATGGCCCGGCGTTGCCCGTGCTTGATTCAAAAATCGTACGACTCATACAGCAATTGCTATCACTTGACTTAAAATATTTTTGCCCTTCCTTGGCTTTAAAGGAGTGCCCTTTGGCATGCTGATGTTGCTACATGCCTTACTTCTTGTCTATATCACACTGCGATTTTTTTCTAAGCTCTATACTAAACATTAAATATGTTACGAAAAAAGAACTAAACAAAATGAACACAAAATGATCAGCTTTAAAAAAGAATGTTAACAACAAATACTTTTTCACACCCAACCCAGTTCTACGGAATCAGAACTGGGTTGGGTGTGAAAAAGTATTTAAAAGAATTAAATGTTGAGTTTAAGCAAGTGAATGAGCCAATTGGAGTAAAGTGCCATGCAGATTTAAATTTTTCCCACTTGTGATGAATGCAGCTATTGATTTTTTTTGCATGCTAGCTAACATTCGTGTCAGTGAGCTGTTGGCTCTCACACTGGCCAATAGAATCTTCCTGCCTATTTGTGGCAGCCAGCTATAGGCTCTCACTCTGGCCAGTAGAAAATGGCTGCAAACTACATGAAAAGTGCCATAGAAGCATGAAAAAAATCGATTATTTCCACTATCAATGGGAGTTGGGAAATGCAAAGTCAGTCTTGGCCTTACCGCTAACTTGGAGCACGTGCATGTAAATTTTGGTGCAAATCCGTCGAAAATTGCGGCCGTGCATTCGTTACACACACACCCCGCCTTTTATAGATAGAGATACACATTTGAGTAAACATCCTTGTTCTTTAAAAAAACAAAAAACAAAAAACAGTGAAATTAATGTCTACTGGCCTAGAGATTAAAAATCTTATTAAAGAAAATGTGCCTTCCCACAGAAATTGAACCTGTATTCCCTTTTTAAACCAGTAAACTACTTTCAAGCCAAGCATACTTTACCATTGAGACACAGGAAGTCATCACAGCAAGCTAAAAGTCAATTACATCTATTGTTTGTTTATTTATAACAGCATCAAAACTGATTTCTTTATCAAATCTTTTCCAAGTGAAATTCTGGACTTCAACTTTCTGTGCAGCAGTTATTTTTTATAGATATAACATTTAATGCCTTTTACAGTTTATTTAGATTTAGTTTATTTAATCCATCATTTATTCTTCCAGTTTATGAGAGTGAAAAAAAAAGAGAGTGACAAATCAAGTTTGATTCAAGTTCTTGTGAAGATTTAGTTTTCCTTTAATCAAAGTAAAAATCTAAAAAGTAAACATTGAAAAATATTTGATAATTATTCAACAAATTATTTAGATTAGAATCCACTCCTTTGTTGCTTTGATAATTTGTATTTTAGCTAGTGTGTTCTTCAGCTTTCCCCAAGATTAGGTCACATTTAATAATGAAAATTTTACTGTCGAGGAATACTGATTTGCCTGGTACAGTCAAGATTTAAAAGAAACAAACTAAAAATTTATTCTGTTAAGTGGATCTCTTTTTCTTTAAGTGAATAAAAAAAAAAATGAAGAAAAAAATGAAGTGTAATCTTTTATAGGGTTGAACTCTGATCAGCAGCCCCACAGCCATAGAATAGACCTAATGAAATTATATATGCTTGCATCTACTTACTTGAAAATCTTCAAGGTATTTCTTGCTGTGTAAAGACTTTTCAAGTTGAATTAATAGCTGTCTGAGAAGATCATGGTTGGTAACCTCTGGGGACCTCACCAGAGGCACATCCCATAGCCAACTCAGGTTTTTTAATGGATCTTTGTAAGGATCATCTTGGATGTCTGAGGTTGGACCAGACTTCAGACTTATTGACTGTGGAATTTTCTCCATTCTGGAAGAACTGAGAGAATCGCTTATTTTTCCTTCCTCCTGGTTTGATGTATCAAGTTTTGGGTTTAGTGCCAAGTTTGGTGTGGTTCTGTTTTTGCTGATATCATTTGCAGATTCCGAAGACACCATCTTTGATCTTTAATTGAAATAAAACACAATTACTGAGATGCTTTTTCTTTTTGTTAAAAAGAAGAAAAAAATCATTAAATATTTATGAGCATTCTTCATTCTATTGGAACTAGCTGAAATGTTGATGCCACTTTTGGTAAGGCTATAGAATTAAGAAAATAATAAAATTTTTAAGGTCCAAATTGATAATTTTGCTTAATCAAAGTAACTAACCTCTGAATTTGAGAAATATGCATTTAACTTGAAGACAGATAAACAGAAAGGGGAAAAAAAAAGAAAAAAAAAAAGATAAATTTTTTTTTAAGTAAATTTTAAGTTTATCAGAGAACAGAAAGTTTTTATAACCAAAATCTGTATACAGACAAAATCTGGATTAGTTAATCCAGATTAGAAAAATCCATCATCACATGCCATGATTTACATAATCTTGTACCTTAATTTGAGGTCTGTCTGGAAAGTATGCTTCCATTTTGAATATCTTGACAACTAGTTGTGTAAACTTAATGTAACTTGGAAACTTACTGCACATGAATAGGCATAGTCTAACCTTTGGGGGGCCACTCACTCAACAATGAGATACAATTGTTTTTTGTTTTTTTTTGCAAAACATCACATCACCCAAGCATGTTGACCCCTCACCCCCCAAGATTTGAACACTGCAAAAAAAAAAAAAAAAAAAAAAAAAGTTTTGTACCTGGAGCTTATTGGTTGCTGATTATTCTTTAAACTCAGCCGAAGCAAGGTTTCGTCTTTTATCTGAAAAACAAATCTTATGTTCAACATACATTGCACGCAGATTATTATAAAAGTTTCGGTAGCTATTTTAACTCTCATTTTTTAAATGCTAGATCCTTTCAGAAGGTAGCCAATCATGGCTCTCCACAGATTTGTTTATTTGTGAATTGCCATAATGTCTTGGGAAAGGTAATGGAGTGGTTTTCTTTTGCCTCTCTATGGTTTGGAATTCAAGAGATGTCCTATTAGATTGGATGCTAGTCCAGTCTAGTCTACTATTTAACCCATAACTGGGAGAGGTAGAGGAGAGAGATGCATGCCTTTCCCAAAGGCATTTTGTGTGAAAGTGAATACAACAGACTAGGCCAGGATTTGAACCTGGCTCACCAATTACACTTTGTGTAACGATAACCATTGTGTTAACCACATATTAACTGCATAAAAAAATCTTTAAAGAAAAATACAAAAACAGCTGAAATAATGTTAACTTTTTAATGAAAACAAAACATTTCATGTGAAGATTGACATTTGTAGATGGGGGGAGAAGAAGAGGTGAATTCATGCCTTCCCCAAGGTTATTTGTGTGTAATTGAATATAACAAAACCAACTGAAATTAGAACTCAGCTCTCCAGTTAACAATCCATTATACAACTAGCACATTCAAGCTTACAGCACCTGGTATTCCCAAGTAGTCACACATCTAGGTACTGACTAGGCTTGACATTGCTTAACTTCAGTAATTGTATGGGAACCAATGTTACAACACTATATGGCTGTAAGCCTGTTAAGGATTTAAGTCATATGAAAATCCATGTTGAACTTGAAGTTGGTTTGTATCTTTTGTGTGTATTTGTTTTCTAGTGTTTTTACAGACTGTGACTGCTATTACGAAGATGTGATTAAATATACTTTAATGTTGAAAAAAAAAAAAAAAAAAAAAAAAACAGTATTATCATTGTTTAGGTAAAAAGCATAACATAGTACAAATAGCTATATTATGGAAAAAAGAATTTTTGACAATATACGCATTTTTTTCATATTTATGGTTATTTTTTTAACTTTTATTAAAAATGACCTTCTTGTACATGTAGTTATGGATAATATTATAGATTAATTACTAATTTTTTTAATAATAACTATTTGTGCTCAGTTGTTGACATTAATAACTATCTGCTGATGTGTTAAAATTTTGGAATAATGCAATAATAAAAATTTAAATTTCATCATTCTGATAGATGTTGCAATATGTTAAAAAGATTTTTAATTAACTGAAAATGTCTTCTCAATACACATTTAGCAATGCAAACACAAACTGATATTGAAAAGAAAAATTACATTCAAAATAACAAGTACTAGTATAAAAGTTAACAATTGGGAAAGATCACTAGGAAATGACTGCTAAAAGACTAACTTACCTCGGCTACTGACTGATCGGCTTTTTTTGTTTCATTGCTGAACTTTGACTTATTTGAAGACAAATATTGCTGCATTGAGCTTCCCCCATTTTTATCGTTGGAGTAAGCTTGCTTGGGATCACTCTCTTGTTGAGTTGAAGTCCCATTTGCCATATTGGCTGAAAGTGACATAGGGTTCCGTTTTGACACACTTTCTAACTGACACTCAACAAAGTCCTTTTCAAGCAGCACGGCTTCTCCGTATTCTTTCTGCTGTTTAAAACAGAAAAAGAAAGTTGTAAACTATTGTATTACAATGTCTTTGCTTATTTTTTTGGTAAGATTGAAACTGAATAGATGTCAGGGTTTCAAGTACAGATTTTTTAAATATTTAAACAGCTCCTCCCTACAATGTTCCCACCAGCATTTGTCCTTCTTTGAGCAGAATTTAAGAGTTTCCCCTACTCTTTGTAGTACAGCAACACTTAAAGGGGTTTTATCAATCAAAGTTTTTTCACTTGTGAGTGATGGGAGGAGAGGGGCCATCACATTAGATGAAGCTGATATGTATTGAAACTAGTTTACTAGTTTTTTTACACGGCAAAAAATGTTGGCAATATTTAAATAGTTTTACAATTTCATTGTATTTATAAAATAAGTAAAAATTTTCTTGTTCAGTTTCTTTTTAATCATTTCATCCTATGCAAGGTGATAAAGCCACTAAGACATAAGAGGTTACTGAGTGTGAAAGAAACAGAGAAGAGGTTACTGAGTGTGAAAGAAACAGAGAAGAGGTTACTGAGTGTGAAAGAAACAGAGAAGAGGTTACTGAGTGTGAAAGAAACAGAGAAGAGGTTACTGAGTGTGAAAGAAACAGAGAAGAGGTTACTGAGAAGCAAGGACAATAAAAGAACAGGTTTCAAAAAGACAGCGATTGACATTTCATTAAAATTTTTAAAGATCAAAGTTGACAGGAAAGCTGGAAGAGAGTTCTACAGTTGAGAGAAAAAAAATAACATTAAATATTAGAATAGAACTTACATTTACATTAGTTCAACATTAAACTAATGAGACCTAACTACCAATCTAGTACTATGCTTAAATTCATGAAGCCAAGGTACTGAAGAAGAAATTTAATGAAACAGCCACCATGAGAATATTTACTGAAAAGGCACTGGTAAGTTATTTTATGGTGTTGGAAAAGTGGGTGAAGCTGAGATGCCAGGTCCTGAATATTAACCTAAACAAATAACATTCAACACTGAATAGTTGATGGAGTTCAACATCACCAGATGAGAATATATGACATCAAAAAAGTTTCACCCTAACCAAATTGTGTTTTATTTATATGGATTATTTTAATACTATTAACATTATAAGGTTCCATTTAATAACAAGCAATTCAGATTTGATTCCCTTGACTAGAACTTCCTGTTGAGTACAGATAATCATAAATAAACAATGCTGCTTTTTAAATCACTAGAAGTAAAAATATCCAACGCTATATATATAAATAATCATGTTATTATCTATACTTGACTGGCATATAAAAAAAAAAACCCGGATAGTACAATTTACAAATAAAAATATATTAAAACAAATTGGTATCTGGAAAAAAAGAAAAAAAGCCTAGTGTCATAATGTCTAGCCAAAAGAAAAATCCCCAACTGAGTAAAATAAGAACCCCCCCCAAAAAAAACAAAGTTCACAAGACCCTAAGTAGAGCAAAGTATAAAAAATCTTATCGACTCAGAAACTACCTACCTAGGCTTCACCTAAATTAATCTTCAGGGTGAACTGAATATATATATATATATATATATATATATATATATATATATATATATATATATATATATATATATGCTTTTAAAAAATTTATTTCGGTTGAGCTTTCTGAGGAGGAAGTATAAGTTTGTAAACAGTGACTATTGCTGCTAATAATGCAAGACTCTTTGGTAAAGCGAATCAAGTTCTCTCAGTCACTGTGTGGTTATCTAAAAATAAATACACTTAAATTCACCTTCATTCCTGCTGTGCGCCAACAGCTTAGGGCTAGAATATCTGACTGCTGCCAATTCTGTTGGACGTCTAGCCACACTGATGAACTGTGATACAGCAAAAAAGTCTGTCTGTGGATGACACACACACACGCAGGGTGCGATGAGCAAATTGTTGTCATTTTATATTTTTAATTTCGTGCATGCATGTTGTTTGATTTTTTATTTTATTTTGGTGACTGCACAATATAGTAGAGTCAGTTGGGCACCTTGATGCCATTCACTGCCAGAAATTTGGAAACAGCATGCCGTACTGCTTGGTATATTTGCCAAAAGCTCAGTGTGCTTGGGTGTCAATCTAAGGACAGTGCAGAGGATACAGAAAGAGTTGAACGAGTCTAATAGTGATTATGAAGGTATGGAAGTTTGGAAAACTCACTCTGATAAAAAAGAATTCTTGAATTTGTTGGGGAGGGCCTCAGAGGCCTACATCAAGTGTCTGGAGGAGGTAGTTCTGCCCTGGGTCAAGAGGGTGGTTGCTAAAAGAACCTATGTCTGGCAACAGGATTCTACACCAAACCACACAAGCAGGGAAACCCAGTCAAGGCTGTTAGACAATTTCTGTGACCACATCAGCCTTTACATCTGACCATCTAACTCTCCAGACTGCAACTCCCTTGTTTATTATGTGTGGGGTGCAGTTAATCAAGAGACCAACAAAACTCCTTGTAATACTAAAGATGAACTGAAAGAAAGGATTATGGCAGCATTCATCAATTTAAACAAGGAGAACGTCCAGAAGAGTTGCAGGAGATTCTGAAGTTGTCAGGAGGCTATGGTTGAAGCCAATGGTGATTTTATTGAATAAATTTACTCTTTAGTGTTTCAAGATATATTTGTGTAATTAGGGTAAATATATCTGTTTAAATGAGATGTCAGTGTTATTTTCATTTTTGCATCATTTAGATAACAATTTATCCGTATAATAATTATATGTAGATATAATCAATTCACCCCAAGCAATATATAAGAGATTATAACAAAAAGATGTTGAAATGGCTACACAATAGCTTTCGAGTTTTGGTAACTTTACCTACCATAGCCTGAACAGGCACAAAGTTGTGGAAACATGAAAGCTACTGTGTAGCAATTTCAACATGTTTTTTGTTATAATCTCATATAATAAAATTAATAATATATTGATCTACTTTGTATTGAACACTTTGATCAAAAGTAAATGCTACAAACACTGGAATTTTACTTCATCTGTTCTTTCTCTCATTTGGAGATTACACACACACACACACACACGATTGTCCCTCATCTTTATTGCCATATTCACAACATTTCAGCTGTTGCATGCTTCAGTCATATGTTGGAATTTTGAACTGTACCATTTATTTAGTCCATGGCTGTAGATTGTTTTAATTATATGTGCCATAACTTTTTTTGTATCTGAATTTCAGTTAATTTACTTTAGTAACTCCAAGTTTTTGTCCCCTCTGCTGTGAGCAGGTATTGAACTTGTCACTTTTTGGATTACTAGCTTACTTCAAGCAATGCTTTTATCCATCAGGCCATTAGGAAATATGCAACCATCTGCCCCACAAATCTTTCTCAATAGGTGTCTTGTTGGGGTGTAATGGTTAATAAGCAGATTATTCATTATCAGTTTGATAATTCAAGGAGCACTCCTTACTTGTGACCTTGTACCAAAAGTAAACTAATAATATTTTTAAGGGTTCATTAAGTACATGTGCCTGCATTAGTATTTTGCAAGAAAAACATGTGAAAATCATTATTTACCTTGGAAGCCATCAGTATTTTCTTGGCTTGAGCAGAATTTGATGTGTCTTCAATTAAAATCCCCCCAGATGAGCAATTTGAACTATCACTACCATGGGCTGTTCTTTGAATTATTGGGGAGTCATCTTTCTCATGGAGTCCATGCCGCTCTTCAGCAGGGATCACTGCTGAATCGGAGGGTCCTGAATGAAGACTAGCATCATTTTCGAAATGCTTCCCTCTGTCGGGATTATTTCCTGTGACCTGTTCAGTTAAGAAGATGGAATCACTTCAGGCAAACGAATCAAATTTTCTTTTAGTTATCATGAATTTATTCAAGTTGGATCAGAGCTGAATTAGAAGATGCTAACAGAATTTTTTTTTTAAATTGAAGAGATGGTATTGACCCTTGACCCCCAAAATATACTAACATAAAAAAATGACAAGATTATTTATGTATGGATCAGCAACTCTGTTGAATATTAGCGTGGTATACTAAGATCAGTGTAGTATTAAGTAAAACACTCGCCTCATGCTTGTGTCACATGCTTTCTTACATCCAGGTTGTGTGTTCAAAATCAGGCTTTGCTTTAGCTTAAGAAAAAGTTATAAATAGAGGAACAATTAAAGCTCTCTCTAGATAACATTGTTCATTGATATATAAGATTAAAGGGATCAGGATTCACTAGTTAAGTTTATTTATCAGAAAAAGTCATTATATGAACATATTTCTGACACATTGAATACCATTAACTTGAAAGTAGGTAATAGTTTTAGATATCTGATTTATTGTAATATTTATTAATACTAATATAATAATTATTAATTAACAAAAATAATTGCATCAATTATCTACAGCTTGTAGGTGTGAGGATTTGTTATGGTAAGAGGATTTTATTTGTATGGAACAGACAACTTTATTTTTTGTTTTATTTCAGACTTAATATAGAAAAGTTTACCACACAAGAATCCTATTTCAATGTTGATTCCCTTTGTCCGATGAAAAAAAAAATCCTATTAATTGATTGCTTATCAAAATCATTTTTAGAAGGTCCCCTGAAATGCATAAATCTATTCTTAACAGAATTGAGATGTTGGTTAGTTCAATTTCTTACAGTAGGTACATTAACTGACACATTTCCTCCTATCTAGATTTCCTATTTGAAGGAATATACAACACTGCACTATTAGTTGGGCTTTTCTGGCATATTTCGACAGCAGCTGATCATCAGACAAGATGCATAATGTGTTTAAAAAAATGTCTATTTCATACAACATTAATTTTCCTACTGCTGTGATGTTTTACACAAACGTACATGTAATTCAGATATAATAATAATAATAATAAAAAAGATAATACAATCAAAAAAACAAACAGAAAAAAATTAAAATTACAATTCTTTAAGGTTTTTCAGGTTAGCAGAATTTCTGACAAAAATGCTTAATCGATAACTAGAGTTATATTTAATAAATGAAGAAAATTGATTTATGGTCCTGATGAGCATTTTACTGCTCAGTGAAACTCTTGAGACGGCTAACCAAATAAGTCACTTGAACTTCTCTTGATTCATTGAAGATATATATATATATATATATATATATATATATATATATATATATATAGTACACAGTGGGGGAAATAAATATTCGTACACATGAAAAATTGTATTTTTATAAATGTAAAAGCCTTAACTAAAACAAATTGTGATGTAAAATATTTTTATTGTAATTTATTATAATAAAAATATTATAATAATATTTTGCTCTACTTTGTATTGAACACTTTTTAAAAAAAAATAAATGCTACAAACTGTGGATTTTTGCTCCATCTATTCTTTCTCTCATTTGGATGGATACACACACACACACATATATATATATATATATATAAAGCAAACACAACACACTTTGGTGCACACATAAGAGGATATTGATTCTGATTTAATTTCTTGCTTTACAATTTGCATAATTTCATGCTGAAAATAAGCAGGTCAATCAATATTTGAACTCAGTTTTTCATTATGTGCTTTTTTTCATAAAAGGTTACATGGTGACTTTATATTTGAAATCATGAGAAAGTTTTTTCAGCTCATGAACTTTTGTGTGCAGCATAGATTCAAATCTTGCATAATTTCAATTAAATATGCACATAAGTACAAGGTCTTAACACAGTCCTGTGATTCTGTTGAGGGTTCTATTATTCTAATTATGGAAATGAAAAGATAAAGAAAAAGAGACTTATAAATAACACCTATGATATATACATAGGGAAAAATTGAGAGATACTCCAAAATGTATTAAAAACAACAAAAATATAGAAACAGTTTTAAAAAGATGTTTAATAAAACATTGAGGCTTTTCTATCAGACTGAGTTTACCAGATTTTTTTTTTTTTTTTTTTTTTAAAATATTCCTTGTTGATGTCAAGTGGAAATTCTGTAGATCCATTTTTTGTATATCACTAAATCTAGTATTTCTTACCTTGTTGAGTGTATTTCCATTTCTTCTATCAGAAAGTGTGGGGTCCTGTTTTGGACCCTGTCGGAAATAGCCCTCATTTTTGGTGGCACCATCATTCTTCTGGGGAGGGAAATGCACATTGTCTTTGCATTGCAAATCCTCACTTGTTGGTGACGCACCAGTGTGGATGTTCTGGAAAAAAAAAAAAAAAAAAAAAAAGAGGCAATAAATAAAAATAGAGAGGAAGAACATGACAAGGTTTACCCCCAAAAAAAAAAAACAAACAATTTTACTCATTAGTCAACCAATTTTAGTTTGATGTCTTTCTGGACTAAACGGAATTCTTTTTTGCTTTGATACTGTGTATGTGTAGGTGGTGCAATGGTTAGCGGCTTAGAATGAGAAATTGTTGAGTTGAGTTCAAATTATAGTCAAGCTCCTTACATTCACTTTCACACAAATACTCTTGGAAAAGGTATGAGTCTATCTCTTCTCCCCTTCTAGCTATGGGCTCTCTAGCTATGTTTGGCAACCAGTCTAGGGGAAGGCTGAAATCAAAACTGTATGTAACTCTAGTGAAGCACATATTATACAGCCATAGAAAAGATTATGAAATTCTCAAATAACTGCAGTGCAGGCTTATAGACTACTATCTTGATTGCTATTGATGAGGTAGGTAGACAGGCTTTGATCCATAATTTCCTTGCTACTAAATTTCTGACTGTTTTCATTACTTATTAAGTTTTCAATAAATTTTCCATTTTCTGACATCTTATCCACTACCATTCCATGAATCAAAATATGAAAATTAAGCCCCTTAGATTGTTTAATATTCAAAATAGTTGCATTTCTTTTCTCACTATTGGGGGAGGGAGCATGGTTAAATAAATGGCAGAACTGTTCGACAAACAGAATTGACAAAGTTTGCAATAAGCATTAACAAAAAAAAAAAAAAAAAAAAGAACAGGGACCCCCCCCAAAAAAAACAAGCAAACAATATAAGCAAGGCAAAGCAACAGTAATAAGGCAAAAAGTTCATAAACTAAGAATTGGACATGACATACAAGAGAAGCCTGGACTGAGTCATTTGAAACTGAGAACCAGCCTATTTTATTGTCTGTCATCTTATATATATATATATATATATATATATATATATATATATATATATATGTATATATACATATATATATTCCTCTCCACTCACATTCTACAACACCTCACGTTCATTCTACTTATTCATTTATATATATATATATATATATATATATATATATATATATATATATATATATATATATATATAAAACCCATTAGGAAATCAATTAACTAAAATCCTCTGAAGATACCAAAAGGTTGAAACCAAGGTAGTGGAATTGGCTGATTTTCTAATTTTCTATTACATAAAGGGTGTTCCAATAACTTGGACCGATTTTAAATGTGAATTAAGTTTAAGTGTCTAATGTTTTTTTTTTCAGATTTGGTGGTCATTTAGGTGATATTATTTTTCACACATAATTGGCATGACTTAAATAACATGATCCAATAGAGAAATAAATAAATTTTCACCAATAACACTTATTTATTTACTGCTGACTTTGATCCATTTTAATGAAACACCTTTATATATAATCTGTCTCAATGAAACACCCTTGTGTGTGTGTGTGTGTGCGCGCACATGCATGCATGCATTTTATTGATGAGGCTATGGGGGATTCCATCTATCAGAACAGATAGATACTGTTCCAGTACAATTTAAAAATATTTTTATTGCAAATTCATGAAGTAAAAGACAGTTTTAAAGGATTACAACAATGTCCAATTAACTTTACAAAACCAAATACTTAGCCAATTATATCTTAAGATATTTTGCATGTTTTTTTTTTTTTTTTACAATAATCTGAAAATATTTGTACAAGCCTATGTGTACAAGGCTGCAGCTAAGAAATCTGGTTCATCATATCACGCAAGACAATTTTTCTTTTCAGAATCTATCTTACATAAGTCTACCATTCGTTTTGGCTTTGAATATTGTTGCCACATCTGGTCTGGTGCTCCTGCTATATATTTAGAGATTCTTGATAAAATCCAAAGAAGAATCTGCAATGTTATTAATCCTTGACCCGGCATATTGGCTTCAGTCCCTTTCCCACAGCTGTAACGTAGCTTCCCTGTGTCTTTTCTATAAATACTTTCATGGTAATTGTTCTGATGAACTTTCCTCTACGGTATCTAGACTTTATGAATTTTAGTTGAAATGGTTAGATGTAACCAAGTTCTATGCTAACAGTTTCTTTTCTTGCACTTCTCGCTTGTGGAACTCTCTTCTATCTTCTTGCTTTCCAGTCAACTTTGATGTTCAAAAATTTAAATGCAATGTCAATCATTATCTTAAATTTTGTTAAATAAATCGGGTTATCCCAATGAAACAGTTCATATTTTATTTTATTTTTTTTTTTAAATTTTGTATTTAAAATAAAACTAAAAAAATACCACACATGCATACACACAAATTATTTACTTCAAGTTATAGTCATAGTCAAAATGATAATCTAAATATTCACATATAAATATTTATTAAAAAATAGTCTAATAAAGTTATTCACCAATAATACGGTACATCTGAATATTCGAGAAATCTTATTAAAGCAAAATATCCTGCCAGAGAGCATAGAAGTGTGATAAAAGAAAAACGGTTAGCATAGAACTTATAGTTACATCTCTCACACTTCTTGCCTGTGGAACTCTCTTCCAGCTTCTTGCTTCCCACTCAACTTTGATCTTCAAAAATTTAAATGCAATGCCAATTGATATTTTCTGTCCTCTTAATTCCTGTTCTTTTATTGTTCTCTTTCCTTAATAATGTTTTTCTTTTTTGTCATATCCTTTCACACTCAGTAAACCCTTACACTTTAGTGGGTTTATTGCTTTGTATGGGGTGAAATGATTAATATACACACATTATATATTAATAATAAACATACATTTTTTTTTTCCTCAACAGTAGCGCAATTGAGTTTCATGCACAATGCAATCTCCAGGCACTGAATTGAGACTGTTACATAAATATATATATATATATATATATATATATATATATATATATATATATATATAGCATTCCCTGTAAATGATATGGACTGCCCCAACAATATAATAATCCTATATATATATATTCAGTTGTATGGGTATGAGTTTGTGATCCTGGGTTTCATGCTTTTTCAAAGTCTGCCTGATGAACGCAAAAGCGTGAAACCCAGGGTCACAAACTCATATTCATACAAGTGAATATGTTAGCTCTATCACAGATATTGATCGCTTTCCATTATGCATTGGGCATATAAAATAATATATATATCATCATGGCTTGGCTTTGTAAAAGAAAGATCAAACCAAGAGGGAGCCTGTACACATAGAATGCAGGCCCGTTTGTGACTGATAAGCCAACAGGTGTACACGGCCCAGCAAGCTGGATCAGTGAAGTCCCCAGGTTGTATGATCTACAGTGTCCTTCCCTTAGCCAATGGCTATAAAAAAAAAAAAAAAAAAAAAAAAAGTGGGGTCCAAGACTCCTGGGGAAATTGCACTAGGTGGCTGTTGAGCAAAAAAGCTTCCATTGCCCTTTTGACAGGCCTTGTATTTAATCCTCCAGGGTGACTAGCCACCCTCCTCACAAACTCTGTGGAGGTACTGGTTTAGTTGCTGATAATCCAACTATGAAATGGGTAACATAGGGCCAGTAGTGCTAAGTGCAACCTGACTATATACATATATGTGTGTGTGTGTGTGTTGTATTTTGTGTTGTGCATGAAACTATGAAACTCGGAATCATGCTACCAGTGAAGAAAAAAGGTGTATATTATTAATTAGCATAGAATTTATGGCTATGTTATATTACATAGAGCACTATTTCATTAACACCAACACTGAATGTGCAATTATATATATATATATATATATATATATATATATATAATTAGCACATTTGATAAAAAACAAAAAACAATGCTTTACTTACTTCCACATTATTTGGAGCTTTCATTTCAGCTCCTTGTGTTCTTGTGCCAACAGGGTTTGTCTTTTTGCCCTGTTGAACACCGTGGGATTCTGGGGATAATAGTTCCAAAGTTGCCAGTTTCATTTCACTCTTGTCACAAATTGTCCTCTTGGGAAACGTTCTGTCTTTCTCTTGGGAAACAGCCAGATCTATTTCTCTGCGATTCCTGTCCTTTTCAGAACCGACTTCAGACAGAGAAAATTCTTGACTTAATTTACCATGTTTACAATTTGACTTTACCTGGAAAAGAAAATTTTTTATTGATTTGTATGATTTTATATATATATATATTTGTTTGTATTTGGACATCACATTTTCTATTTATTTGGATTGAAAATGACAAATATCTTGATTGAGAAGGTTTTATTTAATATTGGAAGGAGGTGTGTTCTTATAAACTGTATTCCCTGATAGTTCAAGATAATCAGCATACTTCCTGATATTATTAATCTAAATACTTTGGCCATCTTCAGGAAATTAATCTCTTTTCAATAATGCACACACACACACTTCATTACATGTATCTAACCAGTAAGAAATAGTCAAACACAACATATATATATATAAAGTGAACATTGTCAACTTAGAGGTGTCTAGCATGAAACAGTCTGTTGCCTGTAAGTGTTGACTTCAATGTTCACTTTTATATTTACACACGCTCTATCTCTGATATTGAGCACATTCTCATAAATATAGCACACCTTAAAAGTATATTTCTTCATATATATCTGTGTGTGTGTGCGCGCGCACGCACACATACACACAAATTCTCAGTAAATAATATTATTTTGTAGTTGGTTTGTGGTTGCTCTGGTACACAATGATTTTGCATACAACTTCATTTTCCAGCTTTACTTAGGCAAGTCATGCCCCTAACATCACAATTGAGATCATCCCTGGCACTGATATGGTCTGGAAGTTCAACATCTAAAACCTTTCGGACATTTCTTTTCAACTTTTCTTTCACAATCAGAGAACTCTTGAAAGCAACCTTTCAGTCATCAACCATCTTTTGCCAGGTGGCACAGTCATGTGTACTGATGATATTTACAAGGTTCAGGGATTCTTTTAGGGCATCCTTATAATGCTTTTTGGCCTATAGGTTTGTTCACTTTCCGTTATCAAATTGTATATGCAAAAGCTGCCTTGGAATCTGTCTATATTTCCGAGATGAGGTATCATGTACATTATTTACATTATTTGAACTATTGTCCTCATCTTTGTCGCCATATTTATTACAATTGTACACTCTGGCCTTCTTCAGGTGGTTGTCCTCATGGACATATGACACTGGATAAAGACAGTGGTTAAATCCAGTAACAGGACCCAAAGAGTGTGAGTTCAATACCTGGTTATGGCAGTGGAGAACTTGGAGAGGGAAATTAACAGGAGATAACTGACATCCATTAAACATGGCACGTGGAACTAGAACAGTCTACCCCAGTGAGCAAAATAAAGAGTTCAGTTCGACATTTCAACCATCTGAAGAAGACCGGAGCATACAACGACTGAAACATTCTAATAAATATGGTGACAAAGATGAGGAGAATAGTCCAAATAATGTAAATACTGCTTTGGAATCATGATCACTCCAACAAAACATATATTTCAGAATTGTTGCTTCAATGGTGTTGCACTGATTTCTCTCAGGCACATCTACATAGCTTGATAATTGTTCTCTAATTGATCCTAAGTATTTACTACATGACACGGCCCAGTCTCTGAGGTGCTGTGGTTGTTATATAGATTTATCGGTCTGGGCTCTGTGCATGACTATCCATAACCGAGTTTTATTTGTTTGGTGTGGCTGCAGGAAATTTAGTGAGGTCTGCAATATATCCTATACATGCTTAACAGGATTTAAATCTGATTCAAAAGCTAAGCACAGTATTAAGAGACAGAAAAATTTTGTTAGAAACAAAGAAAAGAGTACTGAACTGTTACAGGATATCAGTCCTCTTGTAGGGCATTCACTGCCCTACAAGAGGACAGATATCTTCAAAGATGAAGAAGAGACTTGAAGCAACAGAAACATGTTTCTGCAGAAAGATGCCGAGGATACCATGGGCTGAACATGTGAGCAACAACAATGTTTTGGAAAAAATTGAAACACAAAGGAAACTTATACTTAACATCAAGAAGAGGCAGTTGAAATTTCTGGTGCACATAATGAGGAAAGCGGGCTCAGAAAATCTGATACCCACAGGATAGATTAAGGGACAGAGGGAAGCAGCAAGTAATGTACTTGATGAACTTTGAACAAATATGGATCGTGGAACAGTTTTTGGGAGAAATAACAAAAAGACAAAATTTATTAAGAGCTATAAGGGACAAAAAGATGTGGAGGGCCATGATCGCCTACGTCCTGAAGGTACATGGCACATAAAAGAAGAAAACACAGAGCCAATAGAGTATTTAGAAATCAGCCGAATATTCCTGGAATCAGTTTTGTGTCACCCCACACAGAATGAGGGAGTTTTATTATCTTTGTAGGAGAAACTATCACCATCAAAAACATGGCAAGTATAAAAAGAGTGCAAGTTGTCTGCAACAAGATCTGTGTTGTCAAGGCAGACCTCAAGTTCCCAAGTGGTCATTGCAAACTTCAATAGGACACATGTCGCATTAGTAGAGAGCCACTACTAGCTTACAAACTACCCTCCTGTGTGGGTGGATCCAGTAGCCTCAAGCTGTCTCTTTTACACAGAAATTTACCTGTCTGCCTGAAAGAACTGGAAATGTAATTTGTTTGACCAGGGATATTGATCAATGTTCACTGGCCGGGAGCTAAGTAATCAATGCAATCGTGTCAATAATTGTATTCTTGTTCAAAACCCTATAGAATGCAGTACCACTGGAGGCATCAAAAGTAATGAATGTGATTTGATGCAGTGTTCTATTTTATTGGCTGGTTAATTGTTTTCAGTCTGGTATTTGCAAAACCCTATAGATATTGCAGTCAATAATTGTATTCTTGTATTGAATGCAGTACAATGCATTGAGTCGAGAGGCATCAAAATTGAATTGAGATGTGATTTGATGCAGTGTTCTATTTTATTGGCTGGTTAATGTTGTTTTCAGTCTGGTATTTGCATTACCTATTCATATATTCCTGTCAATAATTGTATTCTTGTATTCAAAACCCTATAGAATGCAGTACAATGCATTGAGTCGAGAGGCATCAAAATTGAATTGAGATGTGATTTGATGCAGTGTTCTATTTTATTGGCTGGTTAATGTTGTTTTCAGTCTGGTATTTGCATTACCTATTCATATATTCCTGTCAATAATTGTATTCTTGTATTCAAAAACCCTATAGAATGCAGTACTGAGAGGCATCAAAATTGAATTGAGATGTGATTTGATGCAGTGTTCTATTTTATTGGCTGGTTAATGTTGTTTTCAGTCTGGTATTTGCATTACCTATTCATATTCCTGTCAATAATTGTATTCTTGTATTCAAAACCCTATAGAATGCAGTACAATGCAATCGAGAAGGCATCAAAATTGAATTTGATTTGATGCAGTGTTCTATTTTATTGGCTGGTTAATGTTGTTTTCAGTCTGGTATTTGCATTACCTATTCGTATATTCCTGTTAAACTTTTCTTGCTGTCTTACAGATAAAGACATTTCTACAAGGTACTATATTTTAATATTGGAACTATATTTTTTGGTGCTTCAGTTTATGTATACATAAAAATGAAATTGTTTAAGTATTATGCATAAGTAAATTTTAAAATTTTCAAACATAATAAAGAAAGTCATGATGAATATTGGCTATGCTTAAAAAATCATAAAATATGGAGTTTACACTACATGTTATTCATATCTATTGTCATATTCACAATGTTTCGACTGTTGTATGCTCTGGCATTCTTCAAGTAACATATGCTGGAATTTCATACCAAACTCTTTTAAAGGTAAATTATTCTAGTTCCACTTGCTGTGCCTTTTCTGGATATCTCAGTTCCAGTCATTTCCTTTTAGTAACTCAACTCTCCAAGATTTTATTCACCTCTGCTTTGGCCAGAGGAACTCACAATTCTTTGGGTCAAGTTACTAGATTACTTCAACCAATGCTTTTATCCACTGGGGTCATATGTCCTTGGTGACATCAGTGTATGATTTTTTTTTGGCTCATATCTCAAAAAAACATTTTTTTTTAACCAGAGCTCATATTACAATTTGTTGTTATTATTGTTTTTCTTTAGCTCTCTATATTACTGATTCCCGTATTGGATTCATGTCTATGCTTGGCCAGCTTAGGAGATTTTTGTGGCAAGTTGAGTTACTAAAGGGAAATATATCTGAAACTAAGATATCCAGAAAAGGCATGGCACATGGAACTAGAACAATCTACCCCAGTGGCTGAAATAAAGGGCTTGATTCAAAAGAAAAAGAAAGAAGTTTCCAAAGATTATTTCAACTTATTTTTGTAAATTGTCCCTTACTTCAGCAGCCAGTTTTCTGTTGATTTCTGCCTCTTCCTTGAGAAATTCTCTTTGATTTGTATCTTGTGCTAGCACCGTTCCATTATCGATGACCATTGGTGGACAGTGGGAAACAGGCTTGTGATTGCACAGTTTTCGTCCAAGCAACAACAGGCATCGGATGGGTGCGTCCTGTAAGAGACTCACAGCTTCCTCATGTTGCACTTCTTCGAGGTTGATTGAATTTATCTGAATGATACGATCATCTAAAAAAAAAAAACAAGGAAAAACCTCAATATGTATTTATTCTATTTAAGAAAAATAAACAAAGTATTCATTTATTTTTAAGACAGAAATAAAGAAATCAATTGAGAATTTGAGATAGTTACTTATTAATTTATAATTATTTCACATATTTTTAGAATTATCTTCATCTTTGTTTTGATTATTCCAGCATTTCAGCTGATATGTTCTTCAGCCTTCCTTAAGTGCATATTGCATCCAGTCGTCTTTAGATATCATTCTACACATTATTCTGACCAGTATCTTTGTCTTTGTTGTTTTTATACTAATGCTTCTGTTGATATATTCTTCAGCCTTCATCAATTGTATTATGCATCCACTGGTCTTTAGATGTCACTCTAAACATTATTTAGACCAGTATCTTCATCTTTGTTGTTTTTGCCCCAACATTCCAGCTGATCTGTTCTTCAGATTTCCTCAAGTTTATATTGCATCCAGTGGTCTTTAAATGTCACTCTACACATTATTCAGACTAGTATCTTCATTTTTATTGTTTTTATTTCAGCATTTCAGTGAATATATTCTTCAGCCTTCCCCAGGTGTTTGTTGTATCCATTGCTATTTTGAAGTCACTCTATACCTGATTATCTTCATCCATTCTAATATTTTACCTGATCTATTCTTCAGCCTTTCTCAGATGTATGTTATATCCAGTGGTCTTTGGATGTCACTCTATACATTATTTAAACCAGCATCTTCATCTTTCTAGTTTTTATCCCAACATCTCAGCTGATATATTCTTCAGCCTCCCGCAAGTGTATGTTGCATCCAGTAGTCTTTAGATATCACTCTACATGTTATTTAGACTAGTATCTTCATCTTTGTTGTTTTTGTCTCAATATTACAGTGGGTATATTCTTCTCTAATTGCAACCGGTGATCATTAGAAAATATCTATTATTTTATTTTTATTTTTCATCTCATCTACACAGTTTAACAAATAGAACCAATTGTCATTGCTTGCAGAAATATCTACAGATAACTTGGGAAACACGTTTCTCTTTATAAAGGAATTGTCTATGTTGACCAATAAACATAAAGAAACCTTAACAACATGTAATAACAACTCAGAGGCGTGATAAGACTTAAGAAAGCTTCACTGAGCTTGAATGGCTAGGCCGCTTATTTATAGTATCTAAGTGAGAGAGAGTTCTTCTTTCAAGGGATACAATCGTCATCAAGGAGATAACTCCTGTTGGTCTATACCACACAATGCATGCAATTGAGTAAGTAAGCTTTAAACAAGAGATTTTAACCACCTATTTTATCAGGAAATTACCAATTAAATTTTAAGCTTTAACCATTAAATGTCCTAACTTTCACATGGCACTGAAATCTGCAAAGAAAATGGTAGATAAATTTTGACCACTGTGACCAGGGGCATGCATCAATTCCATAATATTGATTATTCATTTTTCATGCACTTGACTAACATTTCAGTTTTGCTGACCAACAGGTGAACGAAAGAAAAATTAGACAATGAGAAAAAGATTTAAGTATATTTGCTACCTAAAATCGAACTGACCTGCTTTTATAATGCCATTCTTCTCTGCAGCTCCATTAGGACGGAGAGATTTCACATAGACACCACCTAATTCAGTCTTTGTGTCAATACCTCCCTGTAAAAAACAAAAACAAAAACAAAACTAATAATGTATCATATTTTATCTAAGAGCCTCAGACAAATATGAGAAAGCCCAGAAAGTGCAATGGCTGAAATACAGAAATAAATGTTGATTTCACTTGGGGAAGGGAATGATTGTAAATCTTTTCCCCACTCACTTTTTATAATCAAAAGTTCACAAAGTGCATGCTGGGATATTTTTCTTAGCCAATTGATGTAATGGAATAACCAATCACCCCATAGATGATTACACTATAGGTAGTAAGTACCTATAAAGTCAACTGTCTATAAGAGACTAGGGGAAGAGTGAAAGAGAGAAGATGCAAGCACATCCGACCTTCCAATTAGGGGCACTCAATACTAGATTGACCTGTGTGTATAATGGTACCGTATTTCATATGATACTGGTTGTGTAAAATAAACCTTTCTTCTATTATCCACCTGATGTTAAGTATTTATTCCCTTAGCACGGAATATAACACCAATAAAATGGTCTGCTTTATCTACTAGACAGACCCACTGTATTCGCTTATCTGACTTTGTTTTTGTTTGCAAACACCAACTCATAGTTTGTGAACTCTTTTGTTTGCTTGCCTGTTGATTTGCTTTAAATATATTGTTTGCTTGCTATTTCATTTTTGCCCTTTTTCCTTGTTAATACAAACTTTATTAATTCTGTTCGTTGGCCAATTATGTTATTTATTTTTGTATTTTTTCTGACCATGGCTTCTAAATTGAGAATAAAAATAGCAAAAATAGACATACATAACCCAATAATTTATCGACTGTATCAATGGCACATTTCTAACAAATCAGAAATTATTTTGTATTCATTAGGGCAAAGTCCTAAGTATTAATCTAACAGGAACAGATTTTCTAAAAAAAAAAAAAAAAAAAAAAAAAAAAAAAACACCTTTCAAAAATAATTTAATTCATTTGTATATAAGTCCTGAAAGTTTCATTAAAATTCAACAATTATTTGATTTTTGCAAGAGTTTCTAAATCCATGTGTTTTTCACCGCAAAAATGATGCTAAAATTTCCTGTACTAATTTATGGTCACCCATTGATGGAAGAAAAACAAAATTTTTTAACCAAAACTTTGAACATTCTGAAAAGGATAAAAAAAATATAATTTAATAATCAAAAAATCCTTTGGTCTTTCCTCTTAATAACAACAAAACTTTGGTTTTATTAAGTTTGGGGCATCTTTTCATCAAGTATGCTCATTTCTTAATTTCTTAGCGAATCTGTGGAGCTACTTACTTTCCTCTTAATGATAACAAAGATTTTGATGATAAAACTAAGTTTTCATTATGTTTGTAGCATATTTTCATCATAGTATGCTGATATTTAGTGTTTTTGAGGAGGTATCTCTAATCCTTTAGCTTTCAATTAAAGCTAAAATGTAAGCATCAAGAAAGCTTTTGCATTTTTAAAATTCATTTTAAACCTTATCTATATTTAATTAATACAGGTACCTATTTTTAGGAAATAAAGATAAAAATCTGTTTTGAAAGCTATAAAATTTTAAGAAATTGTAGAAACAAATTTAAGTTTCATCAAAAGTATATTTACTTTATTAAGTCTTGGTTATTGAAAAGAAGATTTATTTTTGTTTATGTAGTATGTTATGTAAACAAAAATAAATCTTTATAATAACCAAAACTAAAAAAGGATTTTATAGATTAAAACTATTATAAAAACAAATTATTGTTATTTTACTGCTTTACAATGAGGACAATTTGTGACACAAGGTCAATTTTTTATGTGACATTGGTGGGAATTCTATACTTTTATTTATAAAAGTAATAAAAATTGTCTCAAAAGAGACCCTGGAAGAACCACAATGTGAATTCATTTTGTGTTTATATTACATAATTTTGATTATAATTATTAAATTAATAATTTCTAATATTAAATGGGTGAATTAACAAATTAACAATATTTAAAAAGAAATTAAAAATAAAAATTTTATTTTGAACTGAAACAGACTTTAAACTAGCAAACTTTATGGAAAGTTTGAGAACTGAGTAGAAACTTGCATATTTCCCTTTTTTTTTTAAACAAGAAAAATAAATTTATATCATACTTAACTTAGGTGTTATTATCTATAGATTTTAGTTTTACTGATAGTTTAAAATTAATAAATATTTATATCTTTTTATCATTACTACCAGAAATGAAAAATTAAGTTTTAAATGAAAAAAAAAAAAAAAATGTGAAAAATTGTTTTTGAAATCAGAAATTAGGTTAAAAATTCTCTGATTCCGATATCCTAAAAAGTTCTGATATTTTTGATTCCAATTAATTGTTCCATCACTATTTTCATTCATACATGTATGTCTAACATTTTTCAGTATTTTACATGTTTTCAAATTCATATTTGTTAAATTCTTTGTTGGTGTTGTGCCAAATGCCATATCTTCTTCAATAGTTTTCCTCAAATAATTCTTATGGAAAGCTTGAGTAATTTTCCTTCATTCTAATCATTGGGAAAACATTCATGAATGAAGAGCAGTAAAAGATGAGCTATTATTATCACCATGAGATATCTTTAATTTTGAGAAGTCACACAAGAGTTGTTCAGACTATTGGACTCATTTTTCATGTTGCTTTATCAAAGCATTTCAGCCAACTAATTCTACAGCCTTCTTCAGGCCTACAATCTGTAAGGATAGAATGGTAGTGAACTCTTTCTTGCTTTCAGAAAAGAAAAAGGAAGATAAGTTCATTCGGAATAAAATTCATATCATGATACATAACTTTTTTCAACCCAACTAAAAATAGAATAGTCATCAGGCTGGAGAAATTTTCTAAGTGCAGCTTAGATGTGGCATCAGGCTGAAAGTATGGAGCACCCATTGGCCTGTAATATGTGATAGTCAACAGACTGCTGTGCAGACATTATGGTGAGCAGATCATGTGACTAAGAACTAATCTTTTTTGACCAATCAGTAGGCATCATAGACTGACACAGTGAATATATTTCTGTGGTCCCTTCAAAAAACATAAATGCTCTGAATTTTACATTAGCCATTTTTATGCTAGTTTTACAAATCAAAATGGATAGATATTGATTCATTACACACTGTGGTGGCTATCCCAGGCTAGGAGCTTAAATCATCAATTGTTGACTTATTTCAGTGAAATGCTAAAGCCTTTTTGTTTTAAAACAAACAATACTAATAATTCCTTAAAACTTTGAAGACAATGTGAGTGAGATGAGAAAGTCAAAAAGTCAAACTTACAATTATGTTGAGTCCTAAAGATCCATCTTTTTTGGATAGGAAACATTCATAAAAAATTTCATTCTGCCTTTGTTTCCAAACTGATCCAAGCTTTTCTCTATTTTAAAAAGAATGGTTTACAATTATCATAATGATGATAATGATAATAGAAATTATATAAATCATTGCTCATCAGTAATGTTTGCCTTAAAGCATTATTGTAATGAAGAAATTAATATTAATAAAAATAAAAATGACAATGATATGAATTTATCATAATCATCATAGTATATAAAAGCCAATCTCAATTCTTTATTGGCTGGTTTGGTTAAACAGATATAGGAAATTAAGTGAACTCTGCACTGAACTTCTGATCTGGAAATAAGCAAACAAGTAGATATGCCAATATGACTTTATGCTACTGTTGAAATATTCAGGTAAAATTAAGTTTTCAAAATCAAGAAAATCAGAAAGTTAGAGACAAAGACAATTGAATTAATTTGTCCAAATAACAAAAATATTTTCAATATTAATTTTATTTCTGTTGCTTTTTTATTGCAATGCTTGGACAGTTTCTTTCTTTCTTTTTTAAAAAAAAAAACAAACAAAAAAACATCTTCCATGACTGATAAAGAAGTGCCATTTAGATAAGACTGAAAGAACTAGCTTCAAATGAGATTCGAACTAATCTCCTTTACTCTCGGATTTATCAAGATAATCATTGTCAGCAGATCCCAAGTGAACTGTCTTCAAATATTTGCAAAATGATTCTTTTTTGAAGAAATTCTTGTTGCAATCTAACACTTGAGTCTCACACTGAACACTGACTATTTTTCAACATAGGAAAATTAAGTTAAATAATAATAATAATAACTGTGAGAAGCGGGGGCAGTGGGGGGAGGGACGTGTCCAATGAGAAAAGGAATGCTACAACCATAAACCTGAGAAAGTTCTTGAACAAGATATTTTATCTAAGCAGTTAAGAAACGGAAGCACAACAAACTGGACATATTTGTAGAAGATAAAGTAGAAAAATAAGGGTTAATCATTGAGCCATTGTGTATTTTTAAAACAAGGATAAAGCAAAAGAAGCAGAGAAAAGCAAGAACCTTTATTTAATTTTTTTTTAAGGAGCCTATTAAGACATTGTTTATTAATTTGGAAGCACGGTGGAGTTATGGATAGCAGCTCACATTGAGAAATCGGAGAGCAGAGTTCGAATTCCAGTCAGATCCATTATATTCACTTACGTGTTAATACTCTTGGGAAAGGTATAAATCCACTTCTCCCCCCACCCAGCTATGGGTAAATAGCAGGACAGAATGGGTTCTATAGCCTTGGATGGCAACAGGTCTATCTCAGAAAGAAATGGCAACCTACTGCGGGAAAAAAACCCACCTTATCAGTTATTCATCGAAAGATACATGATCACCTAAGCGTGTATCATGCATGGCGCATAACTGACTGACTTATTAATTTTGCATTTTTTTTTTTGACTCTTTGAATGATTTTCTGACATCCATCTTTTACTAAGACACCCACCGTGGATTGCATATTGAGAACAAAATTTGACTTTCTACCCTCCCACCCCAAAAAAGCAAAATATATTAGACATGTAAGAGTATCAGTTGATATTTAGAAAATCCAGTCTGACACAAGGACATAATACAACATCAAAATAACTAAGAAAGTCCTGAAAGATTAAATCTGAAGCTGATAGAGAATTGAATTGAACATAAAAGAAAGGGTGACTGCTTCTTATGTTAAATATGCAATCATTCATAAGTGAGATATCTTTCATTTTGAGAAGTCATACAAGAGTTGTTCAGACTATTGGGCTCATTTTTCATGTTGCTTTATCAAAGCATTTCAGCCAACTAATTCTACAGCCTTCTTCAGGTCTACAATCTGTAAGAATAGAAAGGCAGTGATCTCCCAAAGAGACATTTTGAGGAAGCAATAAATAAATGGTGCCGCTATATTGATTAATCAATTATAAACTGCAATATTTGGTCATCTTTGTTTATTTTTTTTTAAGTCTACACCAAAGATTTATTTTGATGTAATGACTTACCTGAATATTGTTTGCTTGTTTTCACTGGAAAGCAATTGTTTTGCGTTTGTCAATGACATGCAATGATGACCACCCCTAGCGTTCCGCTGAGTGGTGGGAGAAGAAGCTGGAGTGGATGAAGCCAAAGGTGTCGATAGAAATTCCAAAGAACACTTCTGGTTATTATAAGGCATGAATGTTGGCAATGAAGGGCTGGGGGGTAAGGTCAGTTTGAATTGAGGAAATTCTGAAACAAAAAAAGAAAGAAATGTTAAAATTTCCTTGGAAATTCACAAACAAAAAATGAATACATGTAAATATTGCCTGAAATCCTAAGATTAGTCATTATGATTATCCAACCTGTTGTTCAGACTAATTTTTGTCATCCGATTAACTCATTATTTAAATATTGCTGATTCCTGAGATTAGTCATTATGATCATCCCACATGTTGTTCAGACTAATAATGCCATCCGATTACATCATTATGTAAATATTGCCTGAAATCCTAAGATTAGTCATTATGATTATCCAACCTGTTGTTCAGACTAATTTTTGTCATCCGATTAACTCATTATTTAAATATTGCTGATTCCTGAGATTAGTCATTATTATTATCCCACATGTTGTTCAGACTAATAATGCCATCTGATTACATCATTATGTAAATATTGCCTGAAATTCTGAGATTAGTCATTATGATTATCTCATATGTTGTTCAAAGATTAGTCATTAATATCCTCATGTTGTTCGACTAATAATGCCATTACTTCATTTTAGCTGATGTACTCTTCCATTTTCCTTAAGTGTATAATTAAGCCAGATTCCTATAAGGACAAAGTTTAACATTTCTACTGGAAAAAAAAAAAAAAAAAAAAAAACATGAAGCAATGTCAAAAGGATAGCTTTTCCCTTGACACTTGTATTACTGTATGTTACCACAACAATTTTTATTATTTTAAAAATCTATTTTTGTAATTTTAATAAAACCTAAAGAAATGAAACTGGATTTATGCATTCCAGTAATAGCAGCATCAAGAGAAAAACTGTCCTTTTGACACACCAATTAACATAGATATAAATGTTAAACTTTACCCTTGTAAGAATCTCAAAAATAAACTCAACCTCTAGTTTTAACTAAAATGAAAAAACCTATGCCTTTTTTACCAACTTGCTTATTATTGTTAAACTTAATTATCCCATTTGCTGATTGGAATCGGTTCAGCAGGGTTAAGAATGAAACAAAAGCTCATGATATTTTCTCAAAGTTGGTCATTTTTAGTTACTTGAAGGTGCTTCAATGTGGTGCAATGGTTAATAAGTTTTGTCTCACTAGAACAATTATGACTGAGTTGTGAATTGAATCCTCACTGGGTACCCCATACTTGAGGCCTTGTGCCACATCTAAGCTATGCTTAGTAAATCAATATTTTTAGTTCCTTGAATGTGATTTGACATGGTTAAATGGTTAGTAGTAAGTTTGTTTTTTCTCTAAAACTATTATGATAGGCTAGTGAATTTGATCCTTACTGGGTTACCTCATACTTGAGGCCTTGTGCCATATCCCAGTGAGGCTTAGTAAATCACTATTTTTAGTTGCTTGAAGGTGCTTTGATGTGTTTAAATGATTAGTAAGTTTCGTCTTGTTAGAGCAATTATGGCAGAATAGTGAGTTTAATCCTCACTGTGTGCCCCATACTTGAGGCCCTGTGCTATATCTAAGCTACATTTATTATTTTTTTTTAGCTGTCTGGTGAATCCATGTCACCAATATCCTTACATTTCTTCTACTTGATAAATGGCACACATGAAGAAAGTAGGAAAATACATTTGGTCACAGTACAGGAGAAAAGTAACAAAGATGAGGATATTAGTTTGAATAACACTTCGGATGATAATTATGATGAGGAGTCTCAAGATTTTAGAAAATATTTCTATCCTTGGCACTAACATTTATTTTTTTGAAAAAAGAGGAACAAAATTAAAAAAAAATGAAAGAAAAGAATGGTTAGAATATTTTTCTCACCAGGTATAGAAAGTCTATTAATGTTGTGGAAAGGTTCAATGCCTGTTTGTTTTTCCATGAAGTTACAGTGAATTCCTCTTGTTGAGACAATTTTTTGTCTCTTGCATTCCTGCAATGATGAGAGGGAGCCTGAAAGTATAGATGTGGAGAATCTAGTTGATGTTGCTTTTGTCTCTTGCAGAGTATCTAACATATCTGGAACAGATACGTGATGTTCTGGAATGTAATGGTCGTTAAAGTAATTAAGAGTTGAACCAGGTGAGTGCCTCCGTGAGGTGGGCAAAGTCCTCGAGATAAAGTCATTGGCACTTCTGGACCAACTTTGGTCCATGGGGAGGGTACAGTTTGTATGAGAAGGGCTGGTCAGTAACTTGGTATTAGGTTTATTGCTGGTTGGTGGCACCGATTGTTTGTTTGGTGTTTTGTGAGATCGTTGAAGTAGTAGTAGCTGGACTGGTGTTGAATGATTATGTTTGTTGATCTGCTCAATGACGTCCTGACAACAGAGGCCAGTCACTGTTGAGCCATTTACTGCAAGGATCTGATCGTTGGGTTTGATGTGACTGTTGAGGTCAGCTGGTCCTCCTGGAGTGAGGCTCTTAACAAAGATGGCCGGCAAAGAGAATGTTTGTTTTCCTTGTCTGCTACCATTGGTACCATTCTTGCAAATGCCAGGAATACTTCCAGCAACAAAGCTGATGCCAATGCTACTTGAACTGTCTTTCTTCAGAACCACCTCTTTCAAAGAAACTAAGTTGGCACCATTAGACAGTCCACTATGGTCATTAAAGTCCAAGATGTGACTAGTGGAACTGATGGCGTTGGTACTGAAGCTGTGAAAATTGAAAGGTGGGATTGGAGAAAGACTGGTCTGAAGCTGGGTATAATGATTATCTACAACAGAGAAACAGAAATAAAAATGAAAATATGGAAATTCTTATACATCATTTTTTTTCTTCTTTTATTTTAATTTTTCAAGTTGCTTTTTTGTGCAATTCTAGTGTTGCTTTTTAGTGCAATTGGAAATAGTTACAGCCAAAACTGTTAGTCTGAGTAAATACAATTTAAGCTGGAAAAAAAAATACTAGTTACAAATCAATAATAATTGACAATAGCTCATCTATTGAAATAAGAATAAAAATGTCATAATACAGTACGGAAAGGAGATCAAATGGTTTTAGAAAAAAAATGCTGTGAATAGAAACAATCCTAATAAATGAAACTAATTGTGTCTTACTTTAAAAGTTTATCTCTGCAGTGGACTCTTCTAGTGACATAAATGTGTTGCATATGTAGTTTCATTTGTGTGTGTGTGTGTGTGTGTGTGTGTATATATATATATATATATATATATAATAAAATAACAGTTGATGATTAGTAGGGATAATTCCAAGGAGGATATTAATCCAAAGAGAGCTCAATGTAAGAACAGAGCAATATAATAATGAGTACAGACAATCCTTAAAAATCCATTTGGTTATAATTTATTTTGTGGACTCTTACATCCATCTCTTCAGACCAGCATTTTGTTACTAAATATAGTCAATTTATTAACAAAACGCTGGTCTGAAAAAGATGGAATAAAAAGTCCACAAAATAAATTATAACCAAGTGGATTTTTAAAGATTCTGCATTCATTAATATATATATATATATATATGTATGTGTGTGTGTGTGTGTGTGTGTGTGTTTCTTAAAAAAAAAAAAAAAAAAAAACACCTTAAAATGAGATATTTTTATAGATTAAAATTTCACTAAATAGTGTATTTGCTTTATTTTTTTGTCTTCTGCCTTCTCTATCAGAAAGTTCAAATTTGGATTCATCTGTCTACAATATATTTTGCTAAATTATGAATATTTTGTATGAGAAACATATTGTTTTTCATCATTAACTCAGTAGACAAAAAGGCTGGATATTTCATTCAGGTCAAGAGAATCATGAAAAAAGAACAATATTATCCAATTTTGTAAAGACACATGCTATACAGCAAGACAATGATCTCAAAAATTCTTCTAAAATAAGTCAAAATTACTTTGAGTGAGAAAAAAAAATAAATTTTTTTTTTTGTAAATTATGCCCTGTCTGCCTCAATTGGATAGGAGAATTTGAAGAGAATACCCAAAGAGTGAGTGTGAACTTTTCTTAGTGCTTGAAGAATGCTTGGGAATGTTTGTTATCTACTTTTTTTTCTTATAAGCTGTTGTAAAGAATTTAAAGAATTTGTAAAAGCAGTAATTAAGGCAGGTGATGGTTTTATTGATGAAAACAAAATATGATGATGTTGTATGATAGTTTTTTTTTTTTTTTATAGCTAAGTGCATATTTTTTGTCAAAATAAAACAAATACTCTACTTACTGAAATTTTATCTTTTACTTTAAAAAAAATACAAAAATATCTCCTTTTAAGGTATTTTTTCTTTTTTAAAGAAATACAGGATGGCCCCCAACTTATTGCCTGTAGTATATATATATATATATATATATATACATACACACACACACAATACATTTGCTCTCTCTCATATATATATATATATATATACACACACACACACACAACAACCCACCCCACACAACAACCCACCCACCTTACATTATACATTTACAACCCATTTATATATATATATATATATATATATATATATATATATATATATATATATAAAAAAGTTGGATATTTTTACTATAGAAATGCATTGGTCAGATACTGTTTTTTTTTTTTTACTAGAGAAATCATTGTTATAGAAATGTATTGTAAGTTACAAGTGTGATGCTAAAATAGGTTTTAGTTTTGCATTATTTCTTTTTGGGTTGCATTTCCACTTTACCAATCAAATCTCAAGCAAAGATGGCACAATTTACAGGATTGCAGGGAGTTATTCTCTTCCAGTAAAAATTTATTTTATATGAACTTTTGAGATGAAACCTTTATCCTTAATGTCAATTAAGGATCATCTTTATGGTTTTTATGGGGTTTTTTTGCATTTTTTTTGTTTTCTTTTTTTAGCTTTTATTAAAAGATGGTAATAGTGCTTGAATAATAATATGGAATATATCTTACCTTTAGAATATTTTACATGAAGTGATGATGGGGGTGATAGAAGTGATGGGCTAGAACCTGCCAGACAAAAAAAAAAGACATTTTTTGAAAATTAAAACTGTAAAGATGGTATTGAAACTGGCAACTCAGGCATCATTGTCCTTAGTGTATTATTTTTGAAATGTTTTTTAATCTTAGCTTAGTCTGGCACAAGACCACAAAAATGAACACTTAAAGAGGCTTGAACTCACTACACTTATATTATAAGTGATTGACTTGTTAACCATTGTCCTATGCTAATAATCTGTGTGTGTGTGTGTGTGTGTGTGTGTGTGTGTGTGTGTATATATAGTCAGGTTTGCTTTTACATATGTGTGTTTATATATATCAGGGGTAGGCAAACTTGCTTAATGTAAGAGCTATATACGATAAAGTTCAGATGTTTGAGAGCTGCAAGACATGAATAAAATTTACACAAAGGTTTTTGTTACATACACGTGAAGATTAAACTTACATTTTAATCCAATGGAGTCTCAATTCATATCCAGTAAATAATTATAAAACTGGAAATTTTTCTTATTTATCTTTTTATATTAACTGTGATGAAAAAAGGAGTTCAGCCAACATATTTCCATGAGACACATATTAATGATCAAAGAGCCAAATATGGCCACCCCTGATATATATATATGCATATATATCTGCATGCATTCAAGTGTATGTGTAAATAAATTAAATATTAAAATCCCAAAAATTACTTTTATTGAAGTTTGAATTTGTTTTTAAAATCTATATAATAAATGCGAATATCAGTGTGTCACACTTTCCAACTTTACACAGAGGCTGTACCCCAACATATCATATCATTTTGGAATCAGACCAACACTGAACAAATTAAAAACATTCCAGGCCAGATCTTGACCCACAATCCTGAAATTTTGGATTCTCAAGTTTTCATTAATGTGATTGTTTTCAGTGATTTTTTGTGACAAATCTTTTGTATGATAACAATTTTTATTACTTGGAAATAAATTTGGGAATAATTGAAATCAATCGTGAAATCCAGTGAAAGTCATACATGAAATAAAAATAATTGTTTGTATGAAAAGTAAGGACTTAACTACATATATAAAATTGTCTTTAAATTAAGTGGTGGCAGAAGAATTATCATTTAACTTTTAAAAGGTAAAAAGGTATTATTTTCAATTATTCCCAAATTATTTCCAAGTTATAAAAATTGTTACACAAATTTGTTGTAAAAGATCCAGACAAAAAAAAGAAAAAAGAAGCCAAAAACAGCCATAGTAATGAAAACTTGGGAATCCAAAATTTCAGGATTGTGTGTCTGGATCTGACCCAGAATGTTTTTAATTTGCTCACAGAGTCGACCTGATTCCAAAATGGTATGATATGTTGGGCTATGGCCTCTAGGAGTAAAGTGAAAAAAGTGTGACACAGTGATATTGGCATTTATTATATAGAAGAATCCTGTAAAACAACTTTAATCATCCTAAAAAAGGTTTTAACTGTCCCAATGTTGACTTTTTTCTTTTTCAAAAGTTTATCATTTACAGTTGTAGCATAATAAAAACACAATTAAAATGTTTGGGGAAAAAAAAAAAAAAAAAAAAAAAAATTTCACATTTAAAAATGAATAAATGTAAAAATAAGAGTTAAATTTTAGTATAATTTTTTTTTTTTTTAAAAATAAAAACCACACATTTATTTAATTTAGATATTTGTGTTAAATAACTAAATAATTTTATATGAAAATGTCCTTTTTAATTTCAATGTTCAGAGAAATTTTTATTATACTTTAAGAATTGTGTTCATTTTCACTGTCTCATGTACATATATATGAATAAAGACAAAAGGAAAACTTATCTTAGCTGACATGTTTTGTGCTCTGATGGACTGCATTAAGGCAAATATAAGGATTTTATTTTGCGACAATTATTCATATTGTCCTTTTAGATATATTTTTTAGTTAGATTTAAAACTTTTTCCACACACACACATATTACACTAGATAAAATAATGAAACAGCCATTAAAATGATGTACATTTATTTATCTTTGGAGGAGTATGGATTGATACTTTTTTTTGAAGGGCATGTAAGTGAATGTAACAAATGGTTATGGTAATTTACCCATGCACGCATGGATTCTCCTAGCTATAAATAGGAGCAGGTACTGCCTTTTGGAGAAGGAAGTTTCCAGCAGTCAGTTCTGACAGTTGGACCGATCATTCTTGCTGTAACACTCTTGTTTGTATTACTGTTTCTGTTAATATATTTGTTTAACTTAATCCCTTTCTTGTGTCTTTATTTCTGGCCCTAACAAGGCCACAACACAAACCCTACCAAAAATTGAACTCAGCTCTTTGATTTCTCATTTTGAGCAACTATCCATTTCAACCCCTGAACATCTTCTGTTAGCACACGATGAAACAATTTATAATTATGTTATTATTTCAGTGTTTTATATTTAGATAATGTTCTTTTTTTTAACATCAATATTCTTTGGATAAATAGGACAGATGCAGGTAAATGTAGAAGGAAAAAAAAACAAAATGGATGATGTTACAAACCTGTAAGTCGGGCAGCACCAAGAGTGCCTTTTTGAGCATGCAAACGTGCAGATAACTGCATTGGTGCCAGTGTATCAAGTGAATGCACTGAAGAAAGCAAACAGTAGGATGGTTTTGCAGGATGCAAAACAGAAGCAAGAGAATCATGCAAGTTGGAACTGGAATGGCGGTAAATTGGCTTTTGCGTGCTGCCACTGAAGAAAGGTTAAACAAAAAGATGCACATATGTTCCAAGTTAATAATGACATAAAAAACAGGATAGAAGCAAAATACTTGCAGGCAAAGCTCAGAAGGTAAAACAAAGAATTTTCAAATTGTTATCCTCCTCTTTGTTGTTTTTAACACACGATCTTCAGCCAAGATACTTTTCAACAAATATTCCAATCTTGCAAAAATCTTTTGAGTAACTATTTTCATCTTTTAAAAAATTACTTTTTTCTTTATCTTTTAGCACAATATTTTTAAGGTATATTAGGTGGTCTGCACTTGTCAGTACTTTTTTTCTTTCCTTTTGCATATCTTAAATTAAAACCACTAACAGAATCTCATGACTGAGTGTTAAGGCCTTAATCCTACTAACTCAAGGCCTTAACACTATCTTCCCTTCTTTCTTTCATTTGCTTACTGAAACCAATTAACTTCTTTTCCCCTCTTTCCATGCGATAAAAACAGAATAGTTCATTATTTACATGGTATTGGCAGGATCATGCAAACTAATTGGAATAATTTACTATATAATTTATTTTACTTCAAATCATTACTGGTTATTGATATTTATGAAAAAATGCTCTAAAGAAAGTGATTAAAGTAAAAATCAGTATTTTCAGATGAGATTTGTTTCTGTTGATTTAATCACAATGTTTAATTGCAAACACTTTGCTCAGATCCTTCAATCAGTAGGCCAAGCATAGGTATAAACAACTTATAGGAGTCACTGTTTAAGAAAAGAACAGAAATTGGATTTGTGGCTCTGAAAATCACCAGCTGAATATTCCTCAAAACAAATGTCAGTGAATTTCATTTGATTTCCTGGAGGTTCACTTTGAAGCTCTGTGGGAGCAATTTAGGCTATGTGGGGGGTAAGCTTGCCATATTGGGCTTACAAATAGTAAATTAGGCTACATTTAAAAGTCATGCGCTAGTAAATTTTGAATTGAATTTCTTGTTATTAGCTCAGCTTAGTTTGAAAAGTAATCACAAGAAATTAAAAATTTCATGGAGTTGGCCTTTCAAAATAGCCTCACCCCAATCTGGCAACCCTGGTGTGGAGCATAGTTCTAAGATAAAAATGTATGGGTGAGAAAATGTCTCAAGTGTCTACATTCCAAAATGATGAACCTTGACGTGACGATTGTGTTAAAAAACAAGAAAGTTGAAGAAATTAATCTAAATAAACAAATATAAACATGCCAAAATAAATTCCTGATTAAACTTATTAAATTGCAGACAAAATGAATGAAATAGGCAATAATAAAAACCTGTCAGAATTATAAATGATTTGCTTCTTTACCAAACAAAGAGCAAAGAGATAGATACTGGTTGGCTGACACAAGTTGGATGCCAGACAATATAAAATATTGGAAAAACAGAAAATGTCAATTGAACTATTTTTTCAGAAATTTATATAATAGATTTAATCAGTTTATTGATTTTTCTATTGGTGTGGAAAACAACAATAGATTTTTTTTAATATAATTTCTATAAAATAAATTACAATAATATATATATATATATATATATATATATATATATATATATATATATATATATATATATATTTGTGGCAGAAAATTCTCTTTTAGGCATGTCTGATTGAATAAATTTCAAACATTATTTCTGCTTATTTTTATCATAATCCTTTCATATTCACAAATATATTTCTGTATATTACAATTTTAATAAGGCAAGAAATGCACTGTAATAATTTTTTCCCTTACCAGTTGCACCCCTGATGATGAAAGAGATGGAAAGTACTTTGGAAATTTTTTTTTTTTTTTTTTAAGCATTTCACCCCAAGCAAGGCGGGGAGCCACTAGGACGCAAGGGATTACAGAAAATAGGAAGATCAGATAGGAGTGATAGAAGAAAGGATGAGGGTAGTAGATAGATTAAGGCAACTGGAGATGTCGATTGACATTACACTTGAATAGCTGGAGATTATAACTCTCAGGGAAACAGGAGAAGGGAAGAGAGTTCCACAGGCGAGAGGTGCGAGACATGAAGCTATTAGAGTAGTAGAGACGGCTACATTTATGAGTTTCGACAGTGAAGGGGTGAGAGCGGGATGCCAGCCTCGTAGGGCGCTTGAACTCAAAAGTGATTTTCACTGTTACAGTGCATTTCTTGTCTTATTCAGTTGTAATATATGGAAAAATATTTGTAAATATGAAAGGATTATGAAAAAAAATAAACAGACATGTTTCCAATTTATTCAATAAGACATATATATATATATATAATATATATATATATATGTGAAAAGTGTATATAAATATAAATAAATATATATATGTATAATTATTTATATATTATATATGAATACGATCACTAAAGCGTGAAACCCAGGGTCACAAACTCACATCTATCCAACCAAATATATATATATATATATATATATATATATAAAAACTCAGATGAAAAACCTGAATAATACAATTTTTAAACAAATTGGCATCCAAGGAAATATTCACAAAGAACCAAAAACCTCTGAATAGGGCAAAAGAATTCGTCCAGTACCTTAAATTTCTGGTACAAAGAAAAAACAAAAAAACAAAAAAAAACCCAGTGATTAAAAAGTTAAAATGAAGAGTTCTCAATACGCACTTTAATCAAGTGTTTTTTTATATCTTTTTAGGCTTCTGCTAATTTTAGGATTTAGCCGTAATTTTCTCAATAAATTTGTTCCTCGTTAATTTCTCCTTAGCCAGTTCACCCTGATGATCCCATGTGGTGAGACCTGACTCATTAGGATTTATTTATTTTTCACATTACATATATACATACACACACATATATATATATATATATATATATATATATATATATATATATATATATATATATATATATATATATATATATTATTTATATATTATATCTGCTCAGTACTTATTGGAAAGCGCTCAATATCAGTGATAGAGCTAACATATTTAGTTGGGTTGATGTGAGTTTGTGGCCCAGGGTTTCACGCTCTCTGTGATTGTTAGACAAACTGATTAATTTTTTAAATTTTGAGTTTATGGTTGTGTATATCGGTGTTCTATGGTATGCATGTAACACATGGATGCGAATATACGCCCAGTCCTACACTGTTCATATATGTTTATGTGAACTGCAATGCGTAAACTTGTGTGTATGTATATCTACGTGTGTATGAGTGGCGCTCCGACGATAATTTTTCTCCCAATACCATAGAACAGATATATGCAACAGTAAATAAATTTCAAAAATTAATCAGATTTTTCCAACTGTGTGTGTGTGTGTTTGTATGTATATATATATATATATATATATACACACACACACACACACACACAGTTAGAAAAATCCTCAGATATCACAACAGGAAAAAAAATTTATTAACAAAAAAAAAAAAAAACAAAAAAACAAAACATCTGAGCAGGGGCGAAACAAGTCATCCAGTACCTTAAGTTTTTAGTCCAAAGAAAAATCCAAGTGCGTAATAAAGCTAAAACTTTTAGGTGAAACCTAGGTAGGTTGTCCCTGGCTCTTTAGGATTTATTCTCTCTCTCTCATATATGCAAGTTAAGAATGCAGATTTTTATCAGTTGGTATGCAATGGAACATGCAGAGAATGTTTTGCAAAATAATAAAGGCTAACCTTAGTTGAACAGAAACTTTATGATCTTCAGTTGGAAGCTGAGAGACAGGAGATGATAACTGGAAATAGAAAATTAAAAATAAATTTAAATAAAAAATTGATGAATCATTTTTCAAGTTAATGCAAAAATTTCAGAATCACTTTGATTTTATTTTATTAAATTCTGATTAACCTTTTTCTCTTCCTATTTAGATCAAGAAATGAAAAGACCACATTTTTTCGGAAAATGGGGTTGAGATAAAAATAAATAGATAAAACATAAGTATTAAGGATATTTGATAACAAAGAGGGTCTTTGTGCAGATGACTAATTAATCAAAGTCCCTGTTCGGACTGTTATCCTTACAAGCTCTCATTCATACCATTTTACCCAGTTCCCCGTGCTTGGCAGTTGGGATCACTCTAACATCCATTATTGGTGAAATTCAACACCCATATTTCAATCCTTAGATATCTCACAATGCTTCAAGGAAATAAAAGAATTTACTGAAGTTGAACTGCATGAGTGTGATGATAGCAACTTTGATATTTTCTCATTGTTGATAGCTTTGACAATAGAATTTGTTCTTTCTGCTAGAAATTTGCTATCTTTCAGGAAGGTCGCCTGAATTAAGAAAATCATTAGAATCAAAACATCACCTGGAACACAAGCAAAAACCTACGACCTGTTGAAGTGAATAAAAAGACATGCCACATAATTAATTTCAGATTTCCATTAGACGACACAGGTCCGGTGAGAGAGATGAACAATGGAAATAGCCGTGCATAATTCATGCATTCTCAAGTGAATTGTAATATTGGGAAATTGTGGTTGCCGGCAAAAGTTCAGATTAAATATATGGTGACTGGAATTGCTGGCTATATCATTAGGTCATTACTTTTACAGATATATCGAGCAGACAAATACTTATCCAGTTGTAAAAGATTACCAGGACATATACGTGCAAATGGGGGTAGTGGGTAGTGGTCAGGGGTTGAAAAAAAGATGTGTGTTTGTGTGTGTGAGAGGAGGGGGGGTCCCTTCAAATTTTGGTTTTTTTCTTCTTCTTATATCCAAAAGAATCAGAGTAAAATACACATTGGAATGACTTTCATATGAAAATGATTAATGTTGGCTTGAAGAATTAGAAAAGCCATTTTTCTAAATCTATAGCAGAAAAGAGTGTCATACCTGGTACATCTCATCATCTTCATCTTCTTCTTCCAAATCAGCAAATTCAATGTCTGCAAACATGGGTGGTTCGGGAACTGCAAATTTAATAGCAAATTAAATTGATTCTTTTTTTTTTTTTTTTAAATTTCTTAACCTATAAGTTTATGTAGAATTCTTTAAATTTATTTTTATATTTTTCTAAAAATTATTTATTTTTGAAAACTTTCTTCAATTAAATAAAACTTAAACACAAAATTTAAAATGACTTTGATTAATGATATATTCTAAGAATCTCGACCTGATGAAATGCTGGTAACTCTATGATTCTAGAAAACAATATCCTCACCTAGTTTTTTGTTTACATTATATATTTTCATTAAAAAAAAAAAAAAAAAAAACTTACGTGGCTTATTATTTTGGAGTGCTGACATCATGTGAGATTGGGAACATATTTTCAGTTGGAATTTGTGTTGGTCAGTAGACATTTGCAGTAGATATCGTCCCCTGATATAAAAAGGATAAAAATAAATAAAATCAGATTAATTTTATTGATTATCAGTTTTGATTGAATGTATCATGTGTGGAGTGAAGAAGGAAATAGACACCAAGACAGTCAATCATCAAATGGTAAAATAATGACTTCAGAGGCAGAGGATTCACACATCCTTTTTGGTTAATAATTTAACCCTTTCAAAATAAATACTTAGCATTTTTCTACAAATGGCTCACATTCCTGTCAATAATAAAAATATGCTTCATGATCCCTTTGAAGACTACATAAAGTCTCTAGATGGACAAAAGCAGTAAGGGATGGCAAACTTCAAAGAGTCCCTTACTCATTTGCCTGTCTTCCTCACCAAGCTACGTGACACTTACACTATTCCTCAACCAAGCTACGTGACATTAAAAGAGACAAACAGGTTTACTCACTTTCGATGGCTATTTGTGTAGAAATAAACCTTTAAAGGTTTTCCTCCGACAGTTGGGTCTGGTTTAACTTGGACAGTAATACGCTTTCCTTTAAATGAAAGTTTGTCAACCATGGCCCATGGCTGTCGTTCAACAATTACCCGTTCTTTTTTCAAGTTCTCTGCAATGATCATACTGTGTGCCCCAATACCAATCCATGATATGTTGTTTGGGTTTTCATTTTTGGTCTGGAAAATAGAAAAAAAAATTCAAACAGTTTGAAATAATAAATAAACATATTTAACTGAATATTATTCAAGTCTTGCTAAACTTTAATTAAATTCTAAGATTAAATGTTTGTTCTGATTAATTTTTTTAATCAATTTTCTTCATCTTATTCTTTCGCTTTTAATCCTAACATTCTCACTCAAATATCTAGCAATCATTAAAGTAGTGTGACATCAAAATAAAGACGTAACTTTAAACAAGGTTTGATCTTACATCACTTATCTTTGGATCTTGTCCGAGTTCTGAGATAAAAAATAATTTTCATTATTCCATGAGTTTTTCAGGTTATTATCTTTATTGTTTTTATGCAACATTTAGGCTGATATTTTCTTTAGCCTTCTTAGATGTTCCTAGCTCTACTGAAGTATTTTCCTTATCCTTTCTTTTTTAGACTATTATCTTTATTGTCTTTAACACCCTTTTTGTGCTGAGATATCTGCAAAATATTTTAGTTGAATCTTGCATTTAGTGATCTTTAAAAACCAATTGATACTTTAAAAAAAAATTCATTTTCATATCCTCAACTAGAACATGACTCTAGTGTTGAGAATTTTGGTTTGCAATGCTAATCTTAGAACAAACGAAAGTATATATATATATATATATATATATTTCTCAAGTACTTTCAATCTTCTGAGCTCATCTTCACGGGTGTATGCTAAGCATGACTGTCAACCATTGCATTTGAAAGCAAAAAGAAAAATTAAAGTAATGGATATCAAAAAACAGTTTTGTATTACTATGTACACCTCTGAAGATGATCTTGGAAGAAGATTGATAGTACTTGAGGAAATGGAAAATAAAAACGATTTTCAAAGTTATAGCACATTTCTCATATCATCTAATTGCAATACACGGAAGGTTATCTGTGAGTATGAATGGATTTTATCAAAAATAAGCAGATATAATGTCCGTAATTTATAAAATCAACAAATCAACTTTTGAATGTTGCTACTATAAGAGGAAGAGGACAAATTACATAAGTTTGTAGTGAAAAGATTTTAATTCACATATCTTGATTTTATGCAAAGAAATAATAAAAAGAAGATTTATTGGCAACCTACTCACTTTGTAAACTTTATGGAAATGTGTCCCATATTCTGGAAGCTCTTGAACAAGCTGTGGGGAAAAAATTGAAGTAAAGACAATAAAAGAAAAATGCAATCTCCGTTTTTGGTAATAATAATAATAATAATTGACAGATTTTTTTTAAGAATAATTATTGGTGGTGGATTTCTTGAAGTAACCAGAACAATGACCATTTTGTGTGTGTGTGTGTGGGAATAAAGCAAAATTTTTAGACGCCACAAACACAGTGCCCAATGTAAGGGGTGTACACACACACACACACACAAAAAAAAAAAAAAAAAAACAAAACAAAAAACAAAAAAAAACAAACAAACCAGAGCAAACAAAATATATGAAAAACAGTACTTAAAGGTCACTGTTGTCTGTGACTAAAAGTTTAATGTGGATGTAAAGGTGATAATGTTAGCGACCACAATCCTCAGGTGGTAAAAAGTAATATAATACTCATAAAAGAATAGTAAGTGTAGAGAAGACTATTCTTTTCAGAATATTATATTACTTTTTACTGCCTGAGGATTGTGTGATAATAACATAACCACCTTTATGGCCACATGAGCCTTTTAATTGTGGATTGCATTGGCATTTAAGTAGCGTTATATATAGTCAAAAAAAAAGAATGTTTAACATCAAAAAGCATAAGGAAAATTAATTCATTTTAATAATATGTGGAAATATGCACTTTTTGCCTGAAGAAGGTCGTGAGACCCAAAACACGCTCTGCAAAATAATGAAAAATAAATTACAGTCAAAAACGTTTGCGGTTTCTCTCTTCTTTTTAAAATATACACTTTTCTCTCATTGGAACAACTATGTTGTAACCGAGGGAAGGTTACTGAATAGAATAATCGCACAAAGGTTGGTAATGAAGATAATACATAGGACAAGAACAACACATGTAAGATTTGCCAGCGGCACATACAAGTAGTCAACTGCAGACTAATATACAGTATTTACTACTGCATTTATGTGAATGAGACATACCCAGTATCATCTGTAGGTATGCTACAACAAATATATATACATATATATATAGACACACACACGACACACATTCAACTCCAAACTGGCACATAAGTAATAAGTGAAGCTTGTAATTCTACTGACCCGAATGAATTTAGCCATGGCATCATCTTGGCTTAATCCATTGATTGACCTGTGTGCATCTGGAGTGTGATCTCTGATAAATCCTGTACCATACAGCTGCAGGATACGTTTACTGAAGTAGTACTCAGGCACAAAATAGTTTCGTCCCATCAACTCTTTCTGGTAATTACCACATTCTACTTGCAGAGCAAAGGCTGCCAATGAAAGCGCTCGATTCTCATCACACTCTAACCGTTCCTCAAGGATGTCTTGACGAAGTTGCAGGTAGAGTAAATGTTGATGGCTGTGAGGTGAGAAAGAAAATAAAAAAAAGGATCATTAAAATGAATGTCTGATTTCTTCTGCTCTTTAGAGAATGGACTTTTTTTTTAAATTTAGAAAACTAGCTGCTAAATATATTAAAAAAAAAAAAATCTCCATTTCAAATTTCACCTTCATTTATATACTTTGAATCATATTATTGAGTGGACAGTACATCTGACTTTATTTTGTTTTCTTTTAGACTAATTTCTTCTTTGTTTTGTTGTATTTTTCCCCCAACATTTCCATCTCTGGGCTCTCAGGCATTTTTTCCTTATTTGCTAAATTTGGGTGACTTGTTCCAATGGCACATGTAATTCTATTTACATCACATCCTGTATTTGTGTTCGCAAAATCCAGGAACAAACCTCCCCTAACCTATGCATTGAAACTGAGACATTTCATTGAATCTCAGCAAAATTTTACTAGCACCCACATTGTTAGGTGAACCTCAAATTCACCTAACAATACCTATATATTTTATCTATATAGTTCATATCATATATTTTATATATTATCTACATTATATATTTTATAAAGAATGCCTGATTAAACCATTATATTCCTCCACAAAATCTGGCATTAAATATAAAATAAAAATCAAAATCAGGTATTAATTATAGTCAAATTTTTATATCCCAGTATTTAAGTTTTACTGTTTAAGTAATTGGGCAAACACTCTCTCATAAGTACCTTACATGCTCAGGCAGTAACAGCAGAAAGCTGTTACCCACTTTATTCCACATATCTATTCAGTCACCTCCCATGTTTTATAAATCTTGGTGATGGTCAACGAATTGGTATTTTTTTTTTCTTTTTTCACAAGGACATCTTTATGTCTGAAACTTACTTTGTATCAAGAATGCTGGTTCCATAATATTTGATTCTGAAGAACAAGATGAATGTGATAGTTGCATATCCTTTGCCCCCTTCTCTCCAACCGTCAGGGGCCACTTTGTGCAACTTTGTGTCTTGGTCCAGAAAGAAATGTTCTCCATCTGGGGGAGAAAAAGATAACAGAAAATAACAACTTGAGCATCAGGAGAACTGAAGAATTACAAAATAAATTAGTTTTGAGTTACGTAAGTAACTGAAATTGAATCTGCAAACAAAGAGAAATAAAATATATTTCATTGTCCCATTTTCAGCATCTTCAGCCAATGTATAAAGAAAGAAAATGACCCTAGTATTATTTTTTAGACAAAAAAGTATAATACAAAAGTAAAAGGAGTGGTTTTAGTATTACTAGGAGTAGTAGTAGTAATAATAATAATAATAACAAAAATTATAACAACAGAAACATAATAATAATAATAATAATAATAATAATAAAGTAATCTATTAAGAGAACTCCTGATTTGTCATTCTACAGGCTGTGTAGTAAAGCTACTGAAAGTGTGCAACAATTGGTTACACTCAAATGGCATAAAAAGAGTGAAGCTGACACCATGACAAAGCAATCCCCAGAGTACACTGGGAACCATATAGTTCTCATATATGGCCTTTGAGTGCACACACTGGTACCATTATTCATCACTGTTAGTAGCTGATAATCAGCAAGTGAAGTTTATCCTGACTGATAAGTGCTTGGAGAGCAATCATCCTGAACTGCATCATTCAGTAGACAGTTTTATTTTGGTTTCTTTTAAGAGTAATTTCCTTGTTTTTGTCACACTTTATCCCAACATTTAGGCCACTAACTCTCTGGCCTTCCTTGCTTATCTATTGTATTCTGAAATGTTGAACCTTATTCTGAGGGGGCTGGTACATCCCTCCCATTTACACCACATCCAGTAATGGTTTTGTCATTTTTTGGTCATCCATACTTCAGCTATCCCACGAGAGACTGGAAAATGTAAATAGGTTTTCATCACATTTGGGTAAAGGAAATTGACAATATCACTTTGTATGTTTTGTGCATGACAAAGGAACAGACAATGGCTTATATATGAGAATATATTTTTTAAAAGAAAGAATTAATTTATTACCATAGATGTAGGTAAGACCAAAGTAAGATTGGATCTCATGAAGCGCCATGTGGGAGATGACAGCTTGGAATAACTGTTTGCTTGTAGTGGATGGATCGCACATAACCTCAAGTTTCTGTCCATTCAGTAGGACTATGATTATTCGACGGGCATTGGCTGGATTTTTTGCACTCTGAAGAAAAAAAACAATACAATGAATGAAGACGTACAAAATATTTGTGCAATTTGATACACACACACACACACACACACACACATCAACACTAAAAAAAAATGTTATTGTAGAAATAAAATCAAATGACCATTACAGGAAAATGCAGAGAGAAAAACATTATATATAGTGAAAATGAAAAACAAAAGAAAACTGAGGAGAGAAGATTTGATTAAAAAGAATATAAACTTGTAATTCCAAAGGAAAATTCATTTTTAAAATAAATATATTTTGGAAAGCTTCTGCAATCATTGATCACTCTTGAGAAATAAATGAAACAGTGGCTAAGCTACATTTGATACGTTATAAATTCAAATTAACAGAAAAAATGTTTTTTTTCCTCCATTAATTTGAATTTATAACATATACAATAGTAGTAGTTATTGTATTTTCATCTAGCCCAGAATTCACAATTTTAGTGGTATAATTATAATTATAGTGGTATAAAAATATAAATCTTATTGGATAATTCTTCTTATTGGATAACAGATAAAACCATAATTAGTTTTAATTGTATTTATCCTGCCCCTTCACCCCAATTGTGATTTCTTTTAATGGGGGCAAGAGTCTGGGGGGAGGGGGAGATGATGTCAGTTTTCCTGATACCCAAAAAAGAGGACAATAGTCTGTATGTAAATATTAACATTCTCAATTTTACTTCTTTTTGGTCTGCCAGTTGAGTTTCTTTCAAATGTTTTATTTGTAATAACTTAGAAAACGTAAAAGTAAAAGCTAAATTGATTTTTGGCACAGAAGTAGTGTAGACAAAGAGGCATCCTCTTTCAAAATTTCACAATACAAAAAGCCCTTAGAGTTTTTAAAAAAGAACCCATTTTTGTGGCAAAATATTACGAATACACATACTCTGAATATATAAAAAAAAGTTTTTATGTTAAGATATATATATATATATATATATATATATATATGAAGAAATATAGTCTTAAGATGTGCTATATTTATGGGATAAAGTGCTTGATATCAGAGATAGAGCGTGTGTAAATATAAAAGCGAACATAGAAGTCAACACTTAGAGGCAAAGTAATTTCAAATTAATTTCTTCGTAGATTGTTTTTAAAATTTTAGATATTTATCAAACCTTAACCTCCCAAATATGCACGTTAAAGTAACGCGAACTGACAGCGTCTAGGAATTTGAATGAAACCTGTCGTGTAATTTATTGGGGCTGTTGTAACGCGTCTTCCTTAATGTAGCCCTTATCGCCCACCCCATAACCACATTTATCTAGAGACGAGATGCGTTAGATTTGAGCAACATCCAGCCGACACACTGGGGTTAAAATAGGAAACTAAAATGATACATATGACACACTCATATCCTCTCTCCCACTTCACTTCCTCACTTCGTTAACTTTGCGTATACTTGATGAGGTCCGTAAAAAACATGTGAATTTCTTTTCATTCTTCATTTCAGCTTTTGGAAGTAAAGTCTGATGATCCAGAACCCTGTTAAAGGGGTTATGGTGAAATAGCTTATTACATGGAATCTTAACGTGGTCTGTCTTTTATTCAATATATATATATATATATATATATATATATATATATATATATATATGTATGTATGTATGTATGTATGTATGTAAATAACAATATCGACAAATTTAAAGATTGAATTTAATGTAAATAGTGTAATTTTACTTACCTCACCACTTAAAAGCATATTCAGTTTAATCAATGGCTTCCGACCACGGCAAATGAATTCTGGTCCATTGTATTCCTTGAGAAAAAATTCCAGATGCAAACCAGTATTATCAATATTATTTTTGTATCAATCAGTGCAGTCAAAATTAAAAAAAAAAAAAAAACAATATTCATATATAGACATAAATTTGGGGAAATTATTCCAACATTTGAATGGATTTTGGAAAGAGATAAAATTTTAAACTTCTATTCAAAAGACTATTTTCATTCGTCAAACTGAAGATTTCTTTCTTTTTTTTTTTTTTTTTTTTACTGTATAAATTTGCATCTTTAACAAGTGTATCAAATTAAATTCATAGTTTGATAATTTAGTAACATGTGTTAAATTAAACAAATATTAAGAATAAAAGAAAAAAGTTAAATAACCAAAGAAAATTCATTTTACAAGAAATTCTTTTTGAATACTTGAGAAACATATACATATTTACTTTTCTGTGAAACATGTGAGAAAAAATCCTGGAAGATCTACTCATGTGTTGTCTTTACTGATTAGAAAAGATTCCTTCTTGGCATCATCTTGTATTATTGAAGTTGTATCAAATTAAGAGGGTTTGGTAAAAATATTTAGATCCTTTTCTTTAGAAATGGAGAACATCTTAATTTTTCTATGGGTCTTGCAATACAATCCACTATTCAGTGTTTACAAATCAGTTAGTTGGAGAAGAAGAAATTATAAACAGATTTTACTGCCATAATCCAGTCACATTACAGACAGATTACTTTACATATAAGTGGAACTCTTCTTTTAGAAGTAAAAAAAATCTATTTACTTTCAGTTGACTGTATTACAGCAGATGGTGAAGATACTATGTATTTATTGTTTTTTCTTCTTAGAAAAACTATGGATTTCTGTTTTGTGAATGTTATCATAAAATAACATTATTAGGCACAAGAAAAAAAAAACTATTTAAAGTTTAGTTTACTTTGATATTTTACTAACAATCTTTGCTATTAAAAGCTGCTCAAGTTTAAAATTACAGGAAGTACAGACGGAAGACAGTGGCAGATCACTTCTGAATACTTATCTTGCTTCTCTTGCTTTTAGTGCATACTTGCAAAACTCAGATAGAAATGATATACAATGATGCATCAACAACTTCAATTGTCATAAATGATATTTAAAGTCTTTTTTTACAAATTGAAAACCATGTTAGTTTACAGTGAAACAAATGACAACATCTGGTTGAATGATAGAAATGTTAGTAACTGTGTTTGATTAGATATGCAGCTGCTATGTCAAATGTGGAAGGTGGGGAAAGGTTTTCCAAAGCTATTAAAATCTAAATTGATAAAAAATTTCATTGATAAGAGACATTAGTGTCAAGTGTCAATCTAAATAAGACTAAGTGGAACTTATTTAAATAAGTTATCCAATAAATTGACATTTTCAAATCAAAACCTTTTAGATCACAAATAAGGATTTACAGTGTAAGCATGATCTCTAAGGTCATTAAATGTGGTAAAATGGTTTTAAAAACTTGTTTGATTAAACTGAGAATGTTGTAGTGTTTTACAGGAGGTAAACCCAGCACCTGACTGATTGTGAGTCTTTTGAGAGGAAATTATTATTTAAAAAAAAGAAAAGAAAAAAAGAAAGTATGTTATGGGGTGAATAGTTACCAACAGCTTTATTGATTCCAAATAAAACAAAATGAAGTCTAAAGAGGCAAACACCAGCTGGTATATTTTCCAACAAATATTCTTTTCTCTTAGAGACATTAAAAAATTTTTTTTAAAAAAAATCGGTTACTGACCGAAAATGAATTTACTAGTTTACATGTAATATGTGAATGAATTTTTCTGCCAATGTACTTGCATTGTTAATAGTGATCATCAGGTTACCATGCTAGGGACATTCATATTATTTCTAGGGTAAATGGAATTGTTACTCTCAAAATAACAAGACAAAGTCACATGGCATCAGTTGTAGGCAAGAATCTTTAACCTGGCTGTATTCTTCTCTGTTGCTCATTGTGGAATGCCAATAATGAAACCTACCAATCTTTACAGAGTGCATGGAGAAATGGATCCAGGCCTTTCTTAAGGAAATTATTTTAAATACTAAACTTCACCCACTAAGAGGCTTAAAAACAACTTGTGTAAGTGTGTGACATGAATTTAAGAAGGAGTAGAGGGAAGAGAAGAGGATGAGGATAAGGAGGATAGATAGCAATTGACCCATGACTTGAATAGGTTAAGATTATAGTAATGGAATATGGAGAAAATGTTATGAGTTCTCTTTAAAAGTGATTACATTAAATCTTTTTATAATTCCTTTATTACCCTGGCAACCATTTTTTTTCTTTTCAACATATTAAATCTATGATATAAGAGTGTCATTTTTTTGTATTTTTTTCATGGGACTAATTTGAATTGCAAAATAAATACCAGGAAAACTGGGTTTTCCATGCACTGTGTGGAGAGTTACTCATTGGATTATGTCAAGTTTGGCAGAAGGTCAATATTAAAATGTTCCATGAAAAGCAAACTCGTTATTAAATGGTTTGTAAGACAAACATGTTAGTGAAAGAGAGAATAAGAAAGAGAGAGAGAGAGAGAGAGAGAGAGAGAGAGAGAGAGAGAGAGAGAGAGAGAGAAGGCCAGCTGTTGTGAAGGGCCTTAAAAGGTGAGTGCTAAAAATGAAAGATTTTTTTTAATATTAACTGAATTTCTAAAAAAAGCAGGATGTAAGTTTACTGTTTTATTTATTTATTTATTTATTCTTTTTTTAACATTGATGCACCTGAGACTAAAAAGAGAGTTTATTTTACTCATGATGCAAACTTGAAAGACAGCTAAAGTTATAGAAAATGCTTGCTTCAAAATTAATGAAAAAATTATGGAAGAAAATGTTATGAAACAATCATCAGAAATTAATGAAAAAAAAGAAAAAAAAAAAGAAAAAAAAGAAGAAGAAAACATTGTTAAAAAAAACTGTTGATAAATTTGCATTAATTCACAGAAATAGTGGTTTGTGAGAAATATGATTTCCAAGGGTTAGGTTTGTGGATGGAACCTAGTTTTTTTTTTTTTAAAAAAATAAATTAATTGATTATTATGTTCCTACAATTTTGTAAATTTACTAACTACTGAAAATTTTAGCACCTAACTCTGCAAACTAATTCATGTGTATTTTCCTATAAAAGTCAGCCTCCATTAATCGTTATATAAGAAGGTAACTTCTTGTCCTATATTTTCTGGTTTTGTGAATAAATGCTTGATTTTGTTTTGCCATCATTTCTCCTTAGTTTCCATAAATGTTTTATGGTACATTTTAGGTTAGTTTTTCATTTCAGCCCGACTAAGTAAGCTTTACAACAAAAAAATATATTTGGTTAGATTTTGTGGATTGGACTGCAAACATTTCAGCATCCCCTTGTATATTCTATTTTGTCATGATTTTATTTCTGAAAATGTCTGTCTGTTATAAATTTACCAAAATGTGATTGGGTTACAAACAGTACAGAAGTTTGGTTCCTACTTCGCTGACTTTGGTTCAACTTCTAAGGAACTGTGTTTGGTTGAAAATTCTTAAAGCAGATATTCAAGTGGCTTTTCTGCTGTGTCACACTTTGATGCTAAGATAACTGATAAAAGGTGAAGAGACTTGTTTAATATTTCATTGATAATGAAGAATCAGGTGAAAAAGAGTGAAAGAAAAAGAAGGGAAGGTGTAAAGGAGGAAAAAGAGAGAACGAAAAGAAGTGGTTGAACAAGAGAGAAAGAAAAAAAAGGAGGAAGAGAGTAAAGAGAGATCAAAAGCAAAAAGTGGAACAAAGACAATGAAGGAAAAGAATGAGAAAAAAGGAAAAAAGAAGAGAAAATGAGAGAAAAAAAGAAGACATATCAGGGGAGATAAAAAAAAAAAGAAAAAAGAGAGGACAATAAAAGAATAATGAAAAATAATCTACATATATAAAATGCAATGTGTATGTACTCAAAATTTGGTGTGGATGCAGGGATACTATATTCCGATCCCATGTAAAATTGCTCACTGACAAATAACATCTTCATTTTTTATGGGTACTATGCTAGTATAAATTGATGAAAAAGAAAAGATGGGTAAGAAAAGAAAGAGAAAAATGAGGAAGAAGAAAAGAAAGAGAAGGAAAGGAAGAGAAAGGAAAAGAAGAAAAGGAAGAGAAAGGAAAAGAAGAAAAGGAAGAGAAAGGAAAAGAAGAGAAAGGAAGAGAAAGGAAAAGAAGAGAAAGGAAGAGAAAGGAAGAGAAGAGAAAGGAAGAGAAAGGAAGAGAAGAGAAAGGAAGAGACAGGAAGAGAAGAGAAAGGAAGAGAAAGGAAAGGAAAAGCAAGAGAAAGGAAAGGAAAAGAAGAAAAGCAAGAGAAAGGAAAGGAAAAGAAGAAAAGCAAGAGAAAGGAAAGGAAAAGAAGAAAAGCAAGAGAAAGGAAAGGAAAAGAAGAAAGGCAAGAGAAAGGAAAAGAAAAGAAGAAAAGCAAGAGAAAGGAAAAGAAAAGGATGAAAAAGAAGAAATTTATTATAGAACATGATCACAGAATATCTAATGTTTGGAGAGGAGCCAATTATTTAGTTATCACTTTTACTAAAACAACCAAATAAATATGGCATGAAAGCCTGTTAAAGAGCAATGGGGGAAGGAATAAGAGATAACTGAAGAAGAAAAAAAGAGGGTGTGAAAAGTAAGATTAAATAGATGACAGTGAGAGAGGGAATAAGAAAAAGTGAAGAAGGCAGAGAGAGAAAGGTAGACAGAAAGAGAGGGAGTGAGTAGGCCAGCTGTTGTGAAGGGCTTTAAAAGGTGAGTGCTAAAAATGAAAGATTTTTTTTAATATTAACCGAATTTCTAAAGTAGGTCATCATCTGCTAAAAGAGACAAACATCTAAATATGGCACATTGATCGTATGTTCACTGAATGTTCTACCATGACACTGACTTATCTATAAATTGTTCAGTGCAAGAATTGAATCGCAAATTCCAGCAAAGACATGATGAACAGATATTGCTATCTTTTGCCAAGTTTTGAATAAAGTGCTTACTCGTTATTTTTCTTAACCATTTTCAATCAGTATTTCACCATTTCCAGATATCAGTATTAAATTCAAGGTCGATGGCGCAAAATTCAAGTGGATTTTTCAATCTTGTGAAGGAGTCTTGATTTGAACTTACTTTGTTTCCTGTGACACGTTCATCTCCAAAAGAACTGAGGATACTGCTGCTGGGACTGCGAGGCACCTGACTGTAAGGAGCTGGATGAATGTTGGAATGATGAAGAGCTTGTTCTGTCATTGACTTCAGAGATGGAGCAGCATACAAAGGGGTGGGGTCAATCTCAGACCTGTATAGATGGAGGAGGGGAAAAAAAGCATTAAAGCAAAGCCTAAGCATCAGAAATTAAAATATAAACAAATTTTCACAAAAACAAATCCCCCATGGCACACAGAGTACTCCTCTTATCTACATAAGCTAAGCTGTTCCAAGACCTCCCATAGAAGGGAACTCAAACTACAGATACTGTATTGAGGGTTTGGTATTATGTTTTCTTTTTACTTTACATATATACCTATTATAAAGCTGAATTTATAAATTAGGAATAAAAGATTAGCAACAATAACAAACAATAAAATGGAACAAGTATAACAATATAGTGGAATAAAAATTATGTGTTGAATAGAGCATACATTCGCACCATATATATATATATCATAGAACCCCCCACACACACACTTTCAAGTTAAAAACTTAAAGGGAACCCATTATGGCTTCTCTTTGAAATATTCAAATTGTTAACATCATTAGCATTTTGGAAGCATTAAGAATTGTTTTGTTTCTGGGTTTGACTGCTGGTAACTGAAATTACTACAATTACAAACCAGACAAGGGGGACCATTCTCTCTCTCCCTCCCTCCCTCTCTCTCTCTCTTATGCACGCACATAGGATGCTCTGAAGTAATGCCTCACATTATTATTATTATTATTATTATCTCACAGTATAGCATAACTTCAAAAAAGAAAAAATTTTTTGCTAGATAGTAACCCGAGTGTCAGTCTGGCAAATACACACACAAGTAGATCATTGAATTTCTCTGTATGGAAAACTTGCAGCCATTGATATTCAGCAATACTTTCTAAACATTTTTGGAGACCAAACAGTGAATCTGAGCCCAGTAATGCATTTTAAAATTGTTAATAGTTGTGTGTGTGTGTGTGTGAAACCATGTTCCCATTACTGGTTCTTGATCATCACTGATGAAAATGCATGATGACTATAGTTTTTTTTTTGTAGATGAAAAGTCACCTTATGCAATGGCATTACTGTGCTCACTGTATCTGTTGTAGTTTCCATATAAATAAATAGGATATATTATTTTCTGAATGTGTCCTCACACACACACACTAAACTGCCCATGCCATAAAAATGATGGAATATTTTGTTAATAATAAGTTTTTGTATATAAGTTTCCATATTTTCCAATCATTGTTGTTTATTCTGCTCTTTAATGGAGTAAAATTTTTACAATTCCTAACTTTGAGAACATTTATGTCATGGTCGGCCATTGTCATAATCAAAAACAAGACCATTGAGCCGCCATCATGTATGCAAGGGACATAACTCTATTATGACAAAGTTGCAAATATTACAAGTAAAGGATTTACAAATACACTTGGTGTATTACATTGATATTTACTAACTAACTAGCTGACCTAGCTGTTACCTCAGTGTTTTATTAATGTTTACATTTATCTGTCTGATTTACATAAGGGGATTTAGATTAATCCTTTCAGAAATCCTGTTTCTATATTTTCCTATCAATTTAAACACTTAAAAAAATTGTCCAGTAGGTATGAATTTGGACATGTCTATAAATGTCTTAAAATCTTATTTTTTTCTCTAAAGAGTTAGTAATTTTGAAACCGTCAAGTGAAAATTAAAAAGGTGAGGAAGGCAAATTTTGTCTTTTCATATCAGAAAATATTTGACTGTATGTATGGCACTCTAGAAAATGGTCCTTCTAAACTACAAAAATATATTTCCCATAATTATTTAGGTTATTTTTTTTTTATAACCTACTAAATTTGGCTCTTGCCCGAAAACAAAAAAATTGACATAATCTCTGGCATGATATCAAAAAATGTAAATCCCAAGGATAAAAATCTTTAGTTTCTGTTCCTGCAGAAATTAATACTTGGGCCCATTTTTGTTTTTTTATCACATTTTGGCCATTGTGCTATCAAGCATTCCTCAAGCAGTAGCACTCGTCAGCAGGCAGGTTAGGTTTAAGGCTCCAAGTTGTCCACTCATGATGGTCCTAGTTGATTAAAGCATTGGTTTGTGAATTTGATGATATGGTAATTGTGAGTACAATCTCTGGGCTGGGCAATAGAAACAGGGTGAGTAATAAATCAGAACCAGTTGAGATATTTCTAGTCATGGACAGTGGAACGAGAACAATCTACCACTGTAGATTAAATAAAGGGTTAATTTTGAAATTCTCTGAATGTTAGCTAGATTGACAATCACCTGATGTGGATACAATGGTCCAAACTTAGATAACAACAATAAATATAGGGACAATAGTCCACTTGTAAATAATGATAATGTTCAGAGGTTCAGACAAAAATTAGTACTTGGGATTAGAAATTATTTTTGCTCGAATCGAAGGTGATTATGAGATAGGACTGAAATCAAATAATCACATTAGCATCATTGTCAAAGAATGAAGAAAAGGGGAGACTGAAAAAAAAAAAAAAAAAAAAAAAGAAAGAAAAAGCAACCAACCTCATTGCATTGGGATCGTGCTGGAAGAAGGACATTTCACTGCTGACAATACTGTCTCTGTCTGAACCCCTTGGGCCAAGTTTAAGAGCCATATCTTGTCCATACCCTGAACTGAGATCTGGCAGAAAGCTCCCTAAAATTGAAGGGGGAAAAAAAAAGTGGATAGATAATACATGTTTTATAGTACTTTTGATAAAAAATGCACACAAAAATATTTTTTGAAGTAAGTTATTTTAAATTCAGTAAATAACAGACTCAATGTACCAGTGAAAAAAATTAATTAACTATTTAAAAATTTTGAAAGAATTAGTTAAGCAAAAAATTTATTTTATTTGTTTACATTTGTCTCATGATTCAAGTCTAGCAAAAGAAAAATTTTGAAAATTTGATTCAATTGAAAAAAAAAAAAAAAAAAAAAAAAAAATCTAACTGAAGGTAAAATTGTTTGAAAGTAAAAGAAAAATTCATTATGAATCTTAGTGGAAAAGAAAGCAAAATTCCTTAATTCTTTGATAAAATAAAATTTAAGTATTTCAAATTAACACTGATGGGAATGGATTAATAAAACAAATATGTAAAAATTTGATTTTCAACCAAAATTTTTAAAATTACATCAGATTTTGTGCTTTAATGAAAAAGGAACCTCATATCAAAATAAAAAAAAATTGTAAGAATAAAGAAATACAGGAAGACATTTTGTTTTTCCTCAAGCAAATCAACAAAAATAACAAACAAGAATAAAAAAATTGTTAGAAAAATTTAAATAATGAAGATGATGAAAATAATGAAGTATTGAATGTTTTATCATTTAAGATTTTATTTTGTCTTTCATTTTCTAAGAAAATAGATTTTAATTAAACTCTTCAGTAAATTTTAACATATTGAATTACATGTAAAATTTAAACTAAAATTTATTTAAAAATCAAATTAGTTACAGAGTGAAAGTCACTTATTGGAGTTAAAATTAAATTTCTACCTTATAATCAATATTAACATACCCTATCCCTCTTCACAAATTTTTACCACTCAAAACTTAAAAGAAATATTAATTCTTTAATTTTTTGTCAAGTTTTGTATTAACAAAAAAAAAAATTTATGGAGTCCTCATATCAAATTTGGTGATATGTATTCTTTAGAAAAAGAATCTTTTTGTAAGACTGAAAAATTGTCCATTATTTCTTTTATATTTCTTAAGTTAAATTCTTTACTGAATGTTTGACTGGCATTAAATAAGTTTAAATTATTTTCTCCATTTTGATATTGGCCACATTACATTGTAAATGGTAAAAACAAGTCTCTAGGATTTAACAAAATATGGATATAAAAAAAACTGTTGCAAAATAAGTTTGATTCTTGTTCAAAGCAAATTTTCAGTCTTTTTCTTTTAATTTTAATTAAAGTAAAATTGGAATTTTTAAGTGAATTTTAATTCAAGAGAAATCATTTTTCTTATTGAAGTAAATAAATTTGTATTATTTCCTTGGTTGAATTTATTTGTCTGCCACTCTACAAAGCAATATAAGAATTTGGTTCATCTTGGTTGATGTGTAACAGAAATGTAGTCATGGCTTGGGCGTGGAGGTTGTTTGCAATGATGAAGTGGAGATGAAAGAAAAAAAAAAAAAGGAAAAAAACACCACTAATTATACTCAAGAAGACATCATGCAAAAATAAGTAAAGAAACTCAAAGAGGAGACATCCAAAAGTTAGCAGGTCATGTGTTCAAGGGAGATAATTTTTATTCTGGATTTATTTATTTATTTTTTTAAATAAAAACTGTTTTGCTAAAATCTCAGGGAGAATGAGTTTTATTGCAAGTTTTGCAAACAAGCAAACTTCTCTTTAGAGATTTCCAAAATATCTTTCTTCAAAACTGGATGAACACAAGACAAGGAATAGCTTTACTTTAATATGTTGTTGCCCTTATATTTGAATGTCAGGAAGGCTTTTGCTAGTCTGATACTCTACACAATTATTCTGATTATATTTCCAGTTTAAAGTATATAAAATTAATGGTGGAATTCAATAACTTTTTTTTTAAAAATTACTGTCAGATGACAGTTCTATCAATGAAATTCTTGAATGGAATTATTTGAAAAATTTTACTTTTTGGAAAAATGGCCTTCAACACCAAAACTATTTTATGGAAATTGGACAACTCTTTGGAATTTCTCAAAAATTGGATTTGTGGCCTTGATCTAATTTGGCAACTAAGCAGAGGGGACTTTACTATGCATGCATGAATAGAGACTCTCATGAAGTTACTTAGTCAGCAGTGAAACACCACTTTGAATATGTGCACTTTAAGGCTGTTACATTGACAGTGACCAATTCTGATAGTTTCCCACATCTTGTGTAGGGTATCTGACAAAAAAAAAAAAAAAAAAAAAACAAAACAAAAAAAAAAACACACCACCCAGATCTCTCAGCTCTTCAACCTACGATCAAGATTTGACAGGGTTAATATGGCATCTGATGATGATTCTGAAAATGGATGTGCTCCTGGGATAAAGGTGTAAGATCCCAAAGGGAATATTTTGAAGGAAACCAAAGCACCTTTACCCTAGGTAGGCCATCTTTTGTTTTTAAATATTTAATGGCTGAATACATTCTGGACAAATTTTCTAAGAACACTTAAAAATCTGGTCTTAGAAAATCTGTCCAATGCAACATTTTATAAGAAAAAAAAAAAAATTTAAATTTAATTTTACTAAATTAACAATAAAAATTAAAGAGTGATAATATACATGATAAAAATCTCATTCCTCTTTGAGTCTCTCACACGTGTGGCCTTGTGCCAGACTAAATCAAGCTTAGTGTTTACCAGATGTCTCAATGTGGCACAATTTTTATCATGCAAGTTTCAAAAGACAAAATGTGTGCCAGACAAAATAAATACTTTCATAGGTACATCAGTATGTCTGGAGTCTAATGGTAAAAATAGCATTTATTTTTCAACATAATCTCCTTCTTTGACAATGCACTTAAGTAATGAATATTAATTATATAAATAAGACATTATACATAGAAAATTTCTGATTAAAATTAAGATCATAATTATGTATCAGACTGTGGGTTTCTATTTTGGAGTGAAGTAAGGGTCTGGCACCCACAGCTTAAATGTGTTAGAACTTTAATAACAAATGACAATAATGAAAGTTTTAAAACTGGTTAAAAAATTATTTTTTTCTTTGATATGAATTTTAAGTTTTCCTGGTATAGATACCAAGCATTCTATTCATATAAACTGAAGTATCAAAAGAATTAGAGACCACAGTACACTGGATGAATTTTTCACTTGTAGAAATGGACTCAGCTAGATGATATATATGTGACATAATAGGTAAAGAGGTAGTGTAGCTGTGGTAACAATAAATTGCAGGCAAGATTTAACATTGATTGTAGAATGATTGTTAGGAACGGTAAGATCACACACTATCTTTGGCAACTACTCAAGGTTTTTGTGGGCAACGGTAGTAAGGATATACTAAGAATATGTACATTCAAGACATCAGTGGCATAGGAGAACTACAGCCACTCATAGGTAATGTAAGGATAGTAACCAGCCAATGAAAGGGAACATTGCAGCAAATTGGATTCCTATTCAATGCTGGTGCAGCTTAATCCATAAGCCAACATTCCATGGGGTTTTTATGCATAGACTAACAATTTTATGTTCATTACATGACAGCATTGGTTATGGTACCTCTCCAGAGTTAGAGAAACTTGCCATTGGACTATAAAAGATTGGCACCATATTGCCTGATCAGACAAGACATCCCCAGCTCTTTTAGACATATGGTTGAGTTTATGGGTAAAGGAGAGCACATGAACCTATACTTTCAATTAGTCAGCTGGATGTTGCACAAACTGACAGTGGCTTTGTAATAGTGTAGGGTACATTCTGTTGAAGATCACAAGGACTATAAATTAAAGTAGAGTTTATCTTGACAGCATCATACAGATCTTATAGCAGACCATTTACACCTCTTTATGCTTGCCATGTTTTCTGATCATGATGAAGTGTTTCAGCACATGAACAAAACCAGTTCTAGATGTATTTTGGTTATCTTCCATCTACACTAGTGACTCTGTATTCATTAAATTTAAATCCTGTAGAGAGCATGTTGCTAATCTTTTTAAATTCCCTGTAATCACATCCTGGAATGTACTTGGATAGATGGACCCATGCAACAATTGTTGCAGCTCAAAGATACTATACCACATTTTGTAACCATTGTTACTAAGGAACTATTCATTATTAGGTAAGTGTCTGTAATTTTTGGTACTTTAGTTTAAAAGTTGAGTGTCTTTTTAAATAATTAAAGTTAAGTAATTCTCCTATTCACATGACTATTCACTATTATTTTTATGTAATTGAAATTCACAAACCAATTCCTTAAAGCCTTGATAAAATTGTCAACTGAAGAAGAAATGATTGAAACAGGAAAAATATTCTTTAAATGATTAATAAATTAATTTGCAAAATTGCAAGTTAAAAATATTGAGGCAAATTGTGTTAAGTAAAATGCTTATTATTCCAAGACAACAACAACAAAAATATATATTTAAGCAAGCAAAACCTGGTAGGGAACAGAATAAGAAGTAACAGAATGACAATAAGAATGAACTGGACACACACAACACATTGTTATTTATAATTGCAATATATTGGTATGAGTGATCTCCCCTGAAAATTCAAGACACGACAGAAGTGAGGATTTTTTATGATTCAGCAGATTTCCAATCATTTATACAAGACTGAACTGTTTTTACTTGAAAGAACTGCATGAGACTTTTTTTTTTATATATATATATATATATATATATATATATATATATATACTCGACTCTCCCATTGAATTCAATGTATGAGGGTCAAGCGGATCAGTTCCTAGGAACCAACAGCCTGACACCAGCACATGAGATTTGATTATAGTGGTGAAGGTTTTGTGCAGAACCATCCACACTTTTTGAAGGGCCAAATACAGAGATCTGGTGCACTACGTGCCACAAAGTCTCCAAACAATTGCCCATAGGTTTTGAATTCAGAGTTGTCCTTCTCCTAGACCAGTTGCCATCCAAGGCTATAGAACCCAGTCTGTCCTGTTAATTACCCATAGCTGGAGGGAGAAGAAGAGGATTCATACCTTTCCCAAGGGTATTAGCATGTAAGTGAATTTAATGGATCTGACTCGAATTCAAACTTGGCAAGAAAAAAAATAGTGATTCTAGTTTTTCTGCTTTTCATCTGTGACATGTGCAGAAAGCTTTCACCAATTTGCCATTTAAGACAAAGAAAAAAATAAATGTCATGAAAGAATGATAAATGAAAAGATAAAAAGTAATGTAATCATCTTTAATTGGTCCCTTAATTACTCTTGAATTGGTAACTTTAATTTAGTTTGACAAAATTATTTAACTTGTAATGCTTTAGTTTGGAATCATATACTTTCTGGAAAATCATATGTATATTTAGGCAGAATATCTTCATTTAAGCATATTTCATTGAATAATATAAACATATTATGTCTATTTATTTTTATAATAACGTTAAGTTGAAATTCATCAAGGAAGGTGCCATATTTTTTGCCTACCCAAGTACTTTCAATCTTCTCCAGACTGAACTTTTAATTTATCCATTATAGCTACAATGTTTTTTTTTTGTATACAAGTGTCCACAATGTAAGGGCACTAACCAGAGATGGTAAAAATGCAACATAGTGTTGAATGTTACTCAAATTAATTTTAAAACATGGCTACTGCACTCATGATAAATTTTGTTCAGTGTTGGTTGCTTGCTTTTGCTATAGAGGGCCTTGAGAATCTGATGGTACATGGCCTGACGATTGTTTTTAGCATGAAACAAACTGTTGCAAAATCAACTGACAAAGTTTTCCTAAGTAATTTTTGCTTGTACTTTTGAAAAATTTATCCAATATAAATGATTTGACTCAATACAATTTTATTGAGAAAATGAGATTTTGTATTTGGGTGTCACTTGTACCAATGTATTAGAGATAACAGTATGGGTGTGTCATTGCTAACCACTATAAGCTTTGTCAAATTTGGCCCATGGAGGGTGAGGAGGGGAGGTGTAGCAAAATGCATTCTCTCTAATATAACATGGTTTTTGGTAGTCAAATGGTTCTTGCTGCTTGTGAGTACATTTTCAAAAGTGAATACTTAAAAAAAAAAAAAAAAATGTGGTAAGACAGCATTCAGTGAGTGCTTTGTGGCAGACAAACTTATTGTCAATGGCTTGCAAGAAATTGCTCAACAGCTAGTTCTTCCCCTGTGAATAAAAATTTAATCTGTAGTAAAATTAAGCATGGAACATCTTCAAGATATGTTCATTGACTCAAGTCTACAGAATTCATTGTCTTGAATGCATGTGATTATTTGAAAAGCATAAGTGATTTAAAAAAAAAAAAAAAAAAAAAAAAAGAAAAAAAAAGATGAGGTTTTCATTGACCAATTTGTTTTGTCCACTTTTGGTTAAGCAAGAATCCTCACCAAAAAGCCTCAGTTCCAGCATTAGTATTGAAACCAAGCAATATTTGCAAAATAATATTTACAGTGATTTCTGGAGTTGACATTTTTGTTATTACCAGACCGTGGTGGACAATGGTCAGCTTCATCTGCGACAAGACAGAACATTATGGTTGCCATCACAAGACCACCCCCACCAAAGAACAAACATGGGCATTTATAGACAACATAAAAATACACAAAACCAACTAAATTTCTGTCAATCCTCGTAGCAATGGAATGGCCCAAAGTTAATGGAACAGGAAGTCAAATTTAAAGCTGAAAACAGTTTTGAAAACAATTGCTACGTAAAAATCCAAATAAATTAATTCAACATTTTATTTTGTATATTTGGTAAGAGACTCTTTTATAGTAAATACTTATCCCAAGAATTAAGTAGCAGTTTAGGTTAGGTACCATTTTATCAAAAAAAAGGTAGCATGGCTTGTCTAGCACTAGGTCAAGAGAAAGAGAGATTTGATATCTAACTAATAGTCTAGTGCCCATTTTGGGGAGTTACAGATGCAAAGTCTTCTAACTTTAACTGCATAACAATATATTAAAAGCTTTATAGTACAAGACTATAAAGAAAACGGTAACATTTGGTTTAGAAATTGGCCAAAGTAAATAGTCCTTTTTTTTCTTTTTATTCAGCAAATATTAACCTATTGGTGAGTCAACCTCTAATCTTTCAGCCACAAGTTCTTTGTTCTGTTATTTGAAAAACAAATTCATAAATACCCTCTAAAATCCCATTGGCTCAAAACTTCACGTAACCAGGATATCCAATATAATGTCCAATAAAGTCTTTTCAGGTCATTGGTGGTAGTCTACAAGAGTAATGGCCCTTGGTACAGAGACAATCCTTTTTCAAGAATCTCATGATGAGCATCTTACTCTAATGTCAAACCATTGTTGGGAAACAATGTAGTGAAAATATTCATTTTATTTATGGAAATGACAAATCCACTATTAAGATCAAGCTTCAGGGGGCTTGTCTCCTTCAAAAAGGTGGCTGGCATAAGAGACATTCCCAAGGAGGCTTGAGCAATTTTTCTACAGATGCCAAATCCCACTTTAAACTTGACATTGTGCCATATTTCATATATGGGTGTACAAATAAATCCTACTTCGGATTCTATAAATGAAGAGGTTTCACATAGAATCTTTATAGTCTTACTAAAGAAAGATTGTGCCTCCAACAGGAATCAAACCTATATCCCCTTTTCCATCAGAATCATTTCTATAGCCAAAATATGCCTTTACCAATTTGGCATCAGAAGCCATGTTGATAAAGCTTTTGAATTACTTATTTAAGGAATTCACAATTTTTTTCATTGGGTCTTCTACAAATCTATATCTGTTAGTTTCATTTTCATACTGGAGTGAAAAAAAGAAAAGAAAAAGAAAAAAGGGGTTACAGGTTCAATTCTCACCAGAGGCACAATATTTTTTTCATAGGATTTCTCAATCTAGATTGGTTGTTATTAATCTCACTAAGAAAATAAAAAGAGAGGTAGCAACTCAATCATGTGTACCCACTAAAAATAATGTTTATAATAATACATATATTTGTTTAAATTATCTTGCCCTGTTGACCTAAAATATCTTTTACTGTTTTCTTATACAGCATGCTCAGAAATTCAACAGCGAGAACTCTTACCTTGCATGATGGAAATGCCGGAAGTTACTGATCTTGTGTCTGAAAAAACATCTGAATTATCACTTCCCCAAAAGCCTGTTTCATCAGTTGGGGTCTTTTGGAGAGCTTGCAGCTTACGTTGGCGGTCTTTCAGCCGAAGATACTTCTCATAGGCTGGGGTGTTGACTAAATGAAGATCAGCCTTGGCACCAAATAAGGAACTTGGAGATCGTCTGTGCTTAGAGGAGGAACTAGAGCTGAAGGAAGACTGTGATGCGTCAGACCTGGCCTGTGATGCTGAATTGCTAATTGTTGTGGCTGTAGAATTAGGCAGGATGTGCAAGCTTGAAGGTCGGCTGTTGATGGACGGTTTTCGTTTTGGTGAAGCTGTAACATGGCATGTTTTTATCATGCTTTGGCTTGAAGTAGATGAAGTGTCTGTGTATTTGTCGTCTTTGGGATCAATATTTTCAACATTTCCAGCTGGAATGAATTCAACCCCAGAAAAAGAGTGAGAAATGAAAACAAACATGCTGAAAACAAAGAACACACCTATTGGCTTCATTATGCACAAATACACGTGTTTGTGCTCAAGCATATGCAGGTGTGAAGTGTCTAGTTAGCAAAGTCGAATTACTTCTTCCTCTGTAGCTAAATGGTATAGCATGTTAGGCTATATGACAATTCTGTGCAGGATACAGGTTTGATTCCTGTCAGAGGACATATATTTTCTATGAAATTTCTTGGACATTCAGGCTAGTAAATGTTGTTAATGATGTTTATTATAAACAGAGCATTTACTTAAATATTTGTATCTATAAAAATAACGTATAAACAGAAAATATATTAAAATAATTGTTGGACTTAGTCCATTTTATAATATATGACATCATTTGTTTATGTTAAGATAAACTGTGAGCAGATATGAGCGTTCGAGAGAAATCATGGGAAATTTGTAGTTTAAAAGCAGTAATTCCACCTTGGTAAACAAACTCTTCCTCTGTCAGGCTATATAACAGTTCCATGTTGGATATAGGTTTGATTCCTGCTGTAGGACACATATTTTCTATGAAATTTCCTGGACATTCAGGCCAGTAAATGTTGTTAATAGTGTTTATTATAAACAGAGCATTTACTTAAATATTTGCATCTTTTCCTTCCATTACCATAAAACACTGATATATGCAACCATAAATAAAGCCAAAATTTAAAAATCAATCAATTTGTCCTACAATCACAAAGGGCATGAAACTCAGATCAACGCAACTAAATATGTTAGCTCTATCCCTGATATTGGGTGCTTTCCAATAAGTACCGTGCATATATATATAATAGGAAAGAACTGGTTAGGTAGATCCAAAGTTCCTTAGTATTTTAGTTATTATTTTTTAAAAATAGTGCTCGATACAAATGTAGAGCATAAATATAATTATTTATTTAAATAATTGGGATCATATTTTTAAATAAATAATTATATATATATATATATATATATAACAACTAAAAATAAATTTTTCAAACATAAAATTTTTTTTTTTGAAAATTTACCAATCCAATATTTTTAGTACTTCTCAGTGCATGTTTACATTTAGATACCCCCACTACATATTTATAATTTTATCAATAAGAATATTACTTTAGTCTGATGAAGTTCTTTTAGAGGACAAAATGTCTTAAACAGAATTTTCCTACTTTGTCATTCAATTGCCTAAAATTGTTCTTATTCGCACACACACACACACAGCGGAACCACTTAAAGTCACTAATACAAGTAGTAGGACTAACAATGTTGATAGTAATATTTTTTGTTCTATATTTATTGAAACATCAATGAAGTTGAAAGTGTCAAATATTCCTTCATTGACCTTTTCATATGAATGAATAAACTTTCTTTTCCATAGTTCCCCCCACCCCAGTTGTGACATGCACTTTACATAGGAAAGTATGTAGTTACTAATAGGATAGAGATTATCATAATCATGAAAAGAGAACTATTTTTTTTCTTCTTTTTACCGTTACTGTATGATCTGGAGCGAGATCTGGAAGAAGATGTGGCAGGAGATCTGGATCTGGAACGGTCTTTTTCTTTGTGGCTGCGGCCACTTCCATTTCGACGCCTGTTTCTTCGAGATGCTCTACGGCTCTTCAGCGATCGGCGATTGAGGGTGCTTTGACGACTTTGGTCGCTGCTGCTACCACTATTGTTGTAAGAATTGTAATAGTCATAACTCCAGTACGACAGCTGCAACACAAAAATGTAACATGTGTGACTTTTATATAATGTAGAGGTGTGTGTATAAGTGTTTATTTGTTGTGCCAAGGGTCGGAGGTAAGAAAGTTAAATACTCAAGAAAATAAATTAGGTAGTGGGGGGAGATGAAAGGAAGAGAAAAACATTCATCACCATCTTATACAGTAAAAGACATTGAGATAGGAACAAGAAGATAGAAAGATGTGTGTGTACAAATTATATACATGTGTAACTGTTTCTCTCACTGGAAGGGAGATGTAGCATAGTGTGATTGGTATAAAGAATCATAAAATGGATAAAATTCAAATTTTTTGCTTCTCATGTTCATTTCATATTAATGCTCTTGAGGAAGGCATGAATCAAGTTTTCCCTATGACAGACATTCTGGTATGAATACCTGATGGCTGATAGAAAATGTGTATAAGAGAGAATTTACTCAACTACCTTCTGACGTGCACAGACAGTAGGAGATAAACATTGACACATATATTGATAGATGCCATATATATATATATATTTACAAATAAAAAAACAAAAGTATTGGTAAGACCAACACAAAGCCAGACAAGTGACCAAAGACAGTAAAAACCAATAAATCAAAAAAGAAAGAAAACAAAGTGAGAAAAAAAGAAAAGAAAGAAAACATAAACTGAGAAAAAAAAAAGAAAGAAAACATAAACTGAGAAAAATAAAGAAAGAAAGAAAACATAAACTGAGAAAAAAGAGAAAGAAAGAAAACATAAACTGAGAAAAAAAGAGAAAGAAAGAAAACATAAACTGAGAAAAAAAAAAGAAAACAAACTGAGAAAAAAGAAAGAAAACTGAGAAAAAGAAAAAATGAAAGAAAATATAAACTGAGAAAAAAAAGAAAAAGAAAAAAAAAGAAAACATAATCTGAGAAAAAAGAAAGAAAATCAAGGACAGACATCTACCAAAACAGTAAAAGACACTTTTATGTTTAAATGGCCAACACAAAGAAAATAGACTCTGCCTAGTACACCTAGTGACACTACTAAAAAAAAGAAAAAAAAAGAAAAGAAAAAAAAAGAGTTCAGACAGTTACAAGTTTCATACTACTGTTATTGACAGGCAGAATATATATATATATATATATATATATATATATGAAATACTCAACATATCTATTTACTTGTACACACACCTTGTCAGTCATAGTGAAATGTACACAGACAAATTTAAGGTAATCATTTTTATAACATTAAGTGATCATTAAAAAAAATAATCCTTTAAAATATGTCAAAGAAAGATTGAAAAATGATATTTTAAAAAAAATGTTATACTTTTTTTGTTGCTTCTTATTACAGTGTTTTTTTTTTGTTTTTTTTTTATCTGTTCTCATTTTTGGCCATTAAATTCATCTTTGGGAATTCAAAATAAAGTAGCAGCTTTAAATGAGACTTGAACTCAAAATTTCACATTTTGAGTGCTTGTCTATCATAAATGATGATGCCTATGTGGCTGTTAGGTAACCAAAGCCATCTCAATCAAGCAGATCCATCATCTCTAGCCTTTCTGCTTCAGTGTTTCTTTTAATGATTGTATTGTTGATTGCCTCATAGGTGTTCCTGTTTTGAGATTTTCAAGTTAAATGTTTACATTATTAGACAGATTTTTAGTACTATCTTTTCTGCTGTTTCTTTTTTTTTTTTTAAACCATATTTTTTCAGTTGAGGTTAAAGAAAGCCGCCTAAAATCATGATGCGAATTGTAAAAAATAATGAAGAAACAAGTCAAATTAATAAATCAATCTCGGCTTCTTACAAATTACTCCAATCACTATCTCTCTGGGTGATAGGAGAAGGGAAAGAGATCAAATCACATCATGTTGAAGAAGAACAAATATATTTACTTATGAATATTTATCAAGACCTATTTGCAACAGCTGTTAACTTTTTTTTATGTGTCATAGAAATGATTGTCTGGCTACGTGAACCAATTGTTACATTCTGATAACTATGCAGTCAGGATTTAGACAAGTTGCGTCTTTTATTTGAAAGAAACCAGTTTATTTGAGTTTGGAGAGTTTTGCCGAAAAGTATAATTTGGCCATTGAATTTGCTCTAAGTTGCTATTGAAATTCTCTGGGAAGTTGGAAGGGAGGAATTGGGGTAGAGGAAAAAAAAAGAAAAAAAAAAGAAAGAAAACCTTGTTGCACAGATGAGATTTTCTTATAAAACTGATGGTAAAAGATCTTTTTATATAAAACATGGTAAAAGTTCTTAAAAAAAATTACTGATGGTACTAAGTGTTTTTGCAAATATAAAAATGATGGTAAATCTATTTATTTTAATGAAAATGGTGGTAAAATTTTTTTTAATTTAAAAGTAATGGTAAAAGTTCTTTTTCTTTTTCTTAATAGAAAAATGATGGCAAAAGTCAATTTTTTTTTTTTTTTTTAGAAAAATGGTAAAAGTTCTTTTTTTAATAGAAAAATGATGGTAAAAGTTTTTTTTTTATATAGAAAATGATGGTAAAAGTTTTTTTTATATTAAAATGACAGTAAAAATTCTTATAAAAATGATTGAAAAGTGATGGTAAAAGTTCTGTTTTTAAGCATGATGATAAAAGGTTCTTATAAGAGTAAAAATCATTGTGGATATGATAATGTAATTATGTAGCCCCATAGATTCTTGAGAAAGGATAAAAAAATGCGCTAACGAAAATATTTGCATGAAAACAACAAATTCGACTTGAAATAATTCATAGAATAATGGTAATCTTCTTTGGTTTAAAATGTAATGAAAAACAACAAAGATGATGATAATTGTCTTTTGATATTTGAAATAATCAGCTGAAAATTATGAATTCAGTTGATTTCAGTTTTGGTAGAAAAGGTGCAGACAACAACAAAAAAAGAAAAGAAAAAAAAAACAAACCCAAAATTGAAAGAGGAAGATGTAATTGGGTTGGCCAAAAGGTTTGTTTGGTTATTAAGTACAAAATTTACCTAATAAACCTAATGAACATTTTCGGCCAACGCACTACAAATTAAAAGCAACATAATCAAGTTTGTTATAATTGAGAGATTAGAGGAATTGGAAACAGAATAATGTTAGATGCCAGGTATTTCAGGTTCAGTTACATTAATTAATCCAGTTATCCTGGTTTTAGCTCTGATCATAACGGTTTATAGGTCGGTCATAATGGATAGAAAGGGATGAAAATAAACAGACATCAAGAAGTGGATGTAAGTAAATCAATTTGATCAATTTCCAATTAAATTTTTTTTTTTAAATATATTAAGATGTATCTAAATAATGGTAGCATTTTTAAAATGTAGAAATCTATGTCAGATGTAATCAAATATTTGCTTCCTTATCTACAGAATCATATCATCTGGTGTGGGAGGGAAATGTGAAATGCTTTAAGCCAGGGGTTTTCAACTTTGCTTACCCCTTTCACTATTTGTCAAAATGCCATCCCCCCTCCTTTTCAAGGCGATAGGCCAAATTCTATAATTGAAACAATTTCCTGTGGTCACGATTCACCCCTGTTGAGAAGCCCTGCTTTAAGCAATTCAGAGACAGCCAAAGGGCAGAAACAATTTTGGGAAAATCTTTTTCTTTAATTATAAATCTATTTTCATTGTTCTCTCTTTTTCCCTTTGAGACATGTTCCTCATTTCCAGTCCTGGAGCTGAGTCAGAGCGGGGTGGTTCACTTTTACAACCACATTTGCTCTGATAAATATCTTAGCTCATTAGTGGTGACAATTAATCAATATTTACCACCTATATGCAAAAACTATATAATTAAAAGTGTATTTAGGCAGCAACCCTTCTTTCATGCAAGTTTCATTAAATATGACAGACAAGTTGCTTTGATTAAGTTTTTTTTATATAATTTCTCATGTGATCTTATAATTTTCTTCTTTTCAGTAGATAAATTATATAACTATCCAAATGTTGTCCCCCCCCCGAGCGCTTTCGGCTATACATTTAACCATTTTCAAGGTTGAAATATATCAACAGTGAAGTAGAAATAGATTGCTGCATGCATGTATTTATATAATGTTTCATTTTCAAAACACGGTCAAGATCCATGTTCATAGTTGATATTACTGAGTGTTGATTGTTCATATATATATATATATATATATATATATATATATACTCTGGTGATTAAGGCATGAAACTGCAGGCATATTGTAGTGTTGATTTCTATTTACATATTGTTTATATATACTGGGTGTAACAGCAAAATTGTCCAAATCATAACAGTATAACTGTCCACCCCACAAAAATGTTTAATATCTAAAAAAAAAAACAAAAAAAAACATTGAACTCATTGAGTTACTTTTTTTTAAAAAGGTTTTCAGATAAGACATTTAGCCATCTTGATACCATTTGTTGTAAGAATCAATGAAAAACTCTGAGTCTATTCAAGAACCATCAAGAGAATAGTATTTGCATGCATGCCTGCGCACATGTGTGTGTGTGTGTGTGTGTGTGTATATATATATATATATATATATATATATATATATATATATATATATATATATATATATATATAATTTTATATATATTATTTATATATGTGCAGTACTTATTGGAAAGTGCTCAATATCAGTGATAAAACTAATATATTTAGTTGGATTGATGTGAGAGTGTGAAACACAGGGTCACAGACTCACATCAATCCAACTAAATATATAGCATGAAACAGCCTGTCGCCTCTGAGTGTTGTCTTCAATGTTCACTTTTATATTTACATATGCTCTATATCTGATATTGAGCACTTTATCCCATAAATATAGCACACCTTAAGACTATATTTTTCTTCGTATATATATATATATATATATATATATATATATATATATATATATATATATGAAAAATAAAATTTTCACCAAGATGCTGAAAATTCCTTAGCCTGACCAAGAAGGAAATCACTTCAAAAGAGAACTTTGTAGCACCACCCTGCATAGGCCTTCTGTCTAACCATTTTTTGACCAAAGATTAAAAATAACCTTAATGTACCCCATAGAGAATTCCTCTGTTAGTCTTTGGATATAAAAAAATTCTTTGAGCTTAAAATATTTTTCCCCACTTAAAAAAACAAAAAACAAACACAACACAAAACAAAAGATTCATCCCATCTCCTTCTTTTGTATCTTCTTTTTTACTAAGCTTATAAATTCTTAGAATTAGAGAAGTCATAGACTTGGAATGGAGAGAAGGTCGAAGGCATGGGCTTTGTAATAATTGGAGTAAGAAGATGTAAACAATTCATGTACTTACATCAAGTTGTGTTCCTGTAACTGTTTTTGCAAGACGAGCTACACTCTGAGAAAAACTTGGAGTGCGAGTTACAGTGCGTCTCTGTGATTGGAGTGAACAGGCCTGGAAAAAAGAAATTGTTTCCTTTTTTACTTGATATACATTTAAATTTACCTAAGTTTTAAAATGAGGTATAAAAATTATTTACATGCAGAATATTCTTCCCATCTTTGTTGTTATCAAACATTTCAGCTGTTGAAAGAAATGACAGAAAAACTCCAGGTTAGGTTTAAGGCTCCAAGTTCTCCACTCAGAATTGTCCCACAAGACAATAGACTAGTGGATTGAGCATTGGCTCATAAATTTGGTAACATAGTAATTGCAAGTTCAAATCCACGGCTGAACTCAAGTGGAAATAGCATGAGCAATAAGTAAATAAGACTTAGACATGATAGCCCTACATATGGACAGCAGAATGAGAACACCCCCCCATTAAATAAAGGGTTCAATTCAAAATTCACTGAGGAATACCCAGAATGACAAGAACTTGAAGGTTGAAACATTGTGATAACAACAAAAAAGACAGCGACAATAGTCTGCATAGAAATAATGATAACTCCTCATTCCAAATATGAGGACATAACAATTATTATGTACATTTTTGTAGTGTATTTGATAAGAACAAAAGCAAAATCAAATGTGAGCTTATACATAATGCATCTATATTGTATAAAAGAAGTAGTTAGGGTGGCACTTATTGAGATTTTGTAAGAGTTACTATGACAAAAGATTTATACTCTTTTCAACAGCTGAAATAATTTTAGTCTGAATAAATAAAGAATCATTTAACTAATTCAGCGTAATAAACTTGGGGGGACTGAGGTGTTGACAGCTTTGTATAAAATCTGTTAAAGATTAGCTTTAAGCTGTCAAGATGATCTTTATACTGTATTATAGTTTACATGAAAGAAATGCATTTAATCAGAATGAAGAAAGCGAGAAATAATATTTAGACATATTCATAGGTTCTAACTCAAATTAACCAGGACATTTTATTAGATAAACTGGTTGAATCCATTGTATGATCTTTGATATAATCAAACATTGAATTTAAACAATTGTCAGAAAGGAAACATTTTTCCCATAAGATTTTTTAACTTTGGCCTGAAATGCGCCAGGGAAGGTAACCAAAGTATTTTTGTGTATATTTGCCTGATGTAAGCATTCTACTTTAAAGAGTTGCTTCCCTTTAGATGGAATGAACATTATAGAAAGAAAAGAAAGGTTTTACTGAATATTAAATTTCAGTGAAAATATTCAATATAAATGAGAGAGAGAGAGAGAGAGAGAGAGAGAGAGAGAGAGAGAGAGAGAGAGAGAGAGAGAGAGAGAGAGAGAGAGAGAGAGAGAGAGAGAAAGAGAGAGAGTTCTTGATATGAAACAGGTGATATATTTGTAGTCCTTATGGATTAGTTGTTGAACAAAACTGTTCTTGTATCAGAATTGACAAAGGAATTTATACCAACTCAAAAGAGATACAGGGAAATAAAGATTTATGAATAAGAATTTCTTGATACATTGACAGCTATATGAGTCATGTAAGTCATTTTGTATTATGTGCTTGTTTGCTATACCTTGTATTCTATAAATGACGATAGTTTAAATTTCTAAATAAACATTAAATTGTTTTCAACAAGATCAATGTTTGATGACTGGCTTTACTTTTTGCTGAAAAATAAAGCTGACTAACATTATGGGTGTATGAGAGAGAAAGAAAGAGTGATGACAGAGGGAAGAGAGGTAGATAGAAAGGAAGAGGGAAAGACGCAGGGAAGAGCGGAAAGACGCAGGGAAGAGAGGGTAAAAGGGAAAGAGAGATGGAAGAAAGAACAAAAAAGGAAAAAATAAAGGGAGGGAAGAGAAAAGAGGGGCAGATATAAGGAAAAGTAAAAAAGAAAGAGAAAGGGAAGAGAGAAGCGGGAGGGAAGAAAGAGTGAAAAGCAAAAGAGGTGAGAGAAGAGTAGAGAGAGGGAGGGAAAGAGTAGAGAGAGGGAGGGAAAGAGTAGAGAGAGGGAGGGAAAGAGTAGAGAGAGAGAATAGGTGACTATAAATAATCAGAGACACTTGTGTTAATTAAGTGTTTTGTATCATTTTTCTGAAGAGAAATGTTCGTATAAATTTGGAATCAGATTCAACCCACTTTCAACTTCATTGTAAAAATAAACAAGTGTCATAAAGAATATTAATGAAGAACTCATTAAATCCTTACAGAAATTGTAAGAGATATCAAACTAATTCATGAGATTTAGTCATTTGGACAGATTTGGAGATGTGGGTCAAGCAGAGAACATTTCTTCAGAAAATGCTACTACTACTAATAATAATATAATTTCTTTATTATCTTTTCTTTTTCTTCATATATTTAAAATCAATTTCACTTTTTTCTTAAATTCATTTTTTTAACAATTTATTTTTTTCCATGTGTAAACGAACTGCTCCACTATCTTTCCAGTAGGCTACAAATATTGATGTATTACAACAGTTAGTTTATAATTTGTACTTAACATTTGATACTGGCGCAAAACTCAGTTGCATCAAATGGTGATGAACAAATGTATATTCTTAATATATATATATATATACACACACACATACATACATATATAATGTATAAAATACATTTGCATTTACGCATATAATTATAGATATATATGAATGCATTTCCATAAATATTTATGAATGCAAATTCAAAATTATATCATTAAATATATACAAAATATCTAATTACTTGTATTCAATACACATTTATCTATTAATATTTAGTTTCCTTTATATATGCAAGTATAAATATGTTATTTATACACAGACATCATGTAGATATTAGCATGAATTTGAATATACTTATATCTTTATTTATTTATACCAGTCTCAGACTGGTACCAAGAATAGTAAGAAAACCTTTTGTCAGCATTATGTTGAAAACAGCATTATCATAAAAAACATTATTGAACTCTGACTTGAAGATACCTTAAAAAAATGAAAAAAATCTATGTTATAGTCCAGGGATTTGCAATCCCCGGCCCACATTTGGCCTGCAAAGGATTTCTGTCTGGCCTGCCAACTTAATCATAGTAAGGAATTTACATTTTTTGTTGTGTTGCTATTGTTATAATCTTCCTAAAAAGCAGATCTTCTGATTCATGTTACACAAATTTCCACCACTGGCCAGATGTGAACACTCTGAAACTCAAGATTGTACTAAAAATTCCGTCAACTGCGCATTGGCTCTGCACATAGCTTCCGTTTTACTTACACACTCAAAGAAAAATATAATCCAGAATTTTCACCTAATAGCACCTACTCTCATCTCAAGAAACAAAATAAAAATTGAAGCCAATCTGAGCCTAAGAAAAGGGTATAAAAGCCAATCAAAGGGACATCTTTGGCATCAAGACAGCACAACAACCAGGATTCACACACTCGTCAGAACGCGGCCTCCCATCTCCTAAGAAAACTCGCCAAAGGCTGTCGCCACAGTAAGACACAACTCACCCTCCCTCTCCTACTGTACACCACTATAGACAACTTTTACAATTCTACTTATCTCTTTCTTTCAATGAGAGACATTTACACCAATTCACCATTTGTTGTATTTTTATGTTAATCAGTCAGTCAGTTATGTGCCATGCGTGATACATGTTTAGGTGATCATGTATCTTTCGATATATGACTCATGAGGCAGATTTTTCCCCGCAGTAGGTTGCCATTTCTTTCTGCCATAGAACCCAGTCTGTCCTGCTATTTATCCATAGCTGGAGAGAGAAGAGGATTCATACCTTATCCAAGGGTATTAGCACGTAAGTGAATGTAATGGATCTCACTGGAATTTGAACTCGGCTCTCTGATCCATCAGCCCAAGTCGCTATCCATTACTCCATTGTAATACAATTGTTTATTTCTTAAACCTCTGTCATTTCTTCTTTGTTCTGCCACCGTACGCATAATATAACATTATTCTGTGATTCCTGCAGCAAATAAGGAACCTTATTTAAATAATAACTTTAACTTAGTTGGATTTTGTTTAAACCTCCAGACAAAGGAAGTTTTCTGGATGGAGCAATCTGGGGTTGAGATAATTTATCATAGTACATTTGATATCATGGCCTTCTTCCAGGACACTGCATAGATGTCTGGCCCACACTTTCCAAAAGGTTACAAACCCATAGTATAATTTATTAACAAAAGTTAAAACACATTTTTCACACAGATTAAAAAGAAAGATATTTTCCTCCAAGAAGTCTATTATACTAAATAACTATAAAGCGAAAACAGAATTACAGATGATGTGAAAAAAAAAAAAAAAAAAAAAAAAAGGGGATATATTAGTGATACATGTGGTTGAATGAAGGCAAAGCACGTAATCTAGTCAAGTGATTTAAGTACATATCAGGATTAACTGACTTTAACAGAGAAAACACATTTAAAATGACCAACAAGCATTCGAAGATCATCATTTCTACACAGGTCTTGCTTGTTGACTTTTCTATGCAGTTGGAATTTGACAAACGATTTCAAGTTATTTAATTCAGATGACTTGAAATAAGGAAACCTTATCCTTTGCTTGACCACTATTTCTCTATTCTACACTCTAAACACAGGAGTTGTATTGTTCTTTGATTCTTGACCATTACAGAACATCATTAGCTGTTCCACAACATTCTCTTGTATTTGGTGTTGTGTGTAATGACAAAAGTATACAGGTGCAGGCTTTAAGAAAGTTTTATTCAACTGAGAATACAAAGTTTGTGTAGTGTCCTTTTATAGTCCCAGTAAACAGAAATAGCTCTCTCAAAGAGGAGAATAGCAGAAGAAGGGGAGGCTACTCTTGATTATTCATAACACTGTATTTGACTACTTCACCACACTATTATTATAGTTGTTTGTTAGAGACAATAGTATTGATCTTTACTAAATTTAGCTTAGTATGAAGGTAAGGAGATTGTGTTCCTGCCATTTTCAAACTAGTGAGAGCCTTTAAACCCTGGAAATCCAACATTTAAGATCTGAATTTTATTTAGCCTTAAATACTAATCTCTGGTGGTGAACAATATCAACTGTCTCAGGAAAATCCTAGGTATTTAGGGATTGTAGTCAGGCAAATAGTCTGAAGTGTGGGCTGGGCTAGCATACTAACCATTACTTAATGTCAAGCTAGTTACATCTAGCAAAATGTCCCAGTAACAATTGAATGTATGTTGTTCTGTGAGATGGACTTGTACTATAAACTATGGTAGGTGCCCAATCTGATTTTGATTTTGTCAACATGTTCACAGATAAGAGAAGAAAAATAAAAAGGGAAAAGATATAGGAATTGTATGCAAGAAAGTGAAAAGAAAGAGAGATAAGGAGACTAAGTTACATTAATGTATCATGTACACCTTACTTACTTTTCTCTCACACAGAGAGAGAGAGAGAGAGAGAGAGAGAGAGAGAGAGAGAGAGAGAGTTGGAAGCAAGGGAGAAATGAAAGGATTTTAATTTCAAGGCAAAGGCTTAGTTCAAAATATACCTGTAGAATAACTGAGTAGTTTCCTTTTATCTACCATGTTGTTTTAAGTATTAAATCAGAAGCCTATCAGCAGGTATACAAGTATTATGAAAGTCTTTTTCAACCATGTAATCAGTATATTGTTGCATTTGTAAAATCTAAAAGTTTGATTATAAATATTTTTATGCTGAAAAAGAAGGAGGAAAAAAAAAAAAAAAACCCCCACAGTGAAGCAAAAATACGTTTTTGACATGTGTGATCAGTCTGGCACCATTATCACTGATTTTTATTTTACGGGCCATTAGTTTCGTATTATTAGAAGTTTTTTTTAAAATGCCTAAGAAAAAAAAGAAAGAAAAAAAAAAGAAAGAAAAAAGACAAAAGAAAGAAAAGAAGAACTTTGTTTTAAGACAGGAAGAGAAGAGAAATATGATTCAGAGAAGAAAATGCAGTAAATCAGCAGCTATCAATTGGTCATTGGTTAGCAAGCTGGTCTTGTGTGCCATTAGTAATAACTTCAACCCTCACTGGTTACCCAAAACTTGTAGCCTTGTGCCAAAACTAAGGTACGATTAGTAGCTAACAACAGTAGTAAGAAACCCCAGATGTTTACACAGAAAATCAGGAACCTGACCCCTGGTTCATATTTCACTGCGTTACCATTCCAGCAGCCCCTACCATTATCTGGTTTTGACATTCCACTCTTAGTTTCCTTGGAAACCTTCTTTGGCTTATTTGCTTTGCCTGTGTTTTATCTTTCCTTGATTCCATCGGCAGAAGGCCAGAGTAACCCAGCAGCAGTACCAGTTGTGGTTGGTTTGGGGGGGGGGAGAGAGAGAGAGAAGAAGCAAGGTAACTGTAAAAGTGCACTCAGAAGAACTTTTATTGCAAACATGGAAGTTGCTTCTTTTTTTTTTTTGCAGTTCCATACAGTCAGTAATTTTTTGCCTCCAGCCACATTTCAGAGTCAAAATGAAATTTTTCTTTAGAAAATCAGGCTTCATTTCACCTCATGCATCTTGCAAACCTTAAGAATGGTAGACAGAGTGTGCTTACTAACAAATCTACAAAATTACCTGCAAAGATTGATGCATGTTAAAGCTGACATTATAAAATATGATGTGCACTTTACACAATACACTTAATGTGTACACACAATTTGCAAATTTCATGGTTTTTTTTTGTTTTTTTTTTACAGAATAATGAAAAGACTAATTATTAGCATCAAAATATACAAATTTCATGTTTTCAATAAATGTTATCAGTAATACTTTTTAAATATCCCATAATATTTTTCTTTCCTATCACAGTTGTATACCAAATGATGAAAATATCCAATAATATTTTTCTTTCCTATAGCAGATGATAATAAATGTAAAATTTTATTTGTATTTTACTGTTTATATAAGTGTATCTGACCTACACTTTTAAACAGAAATAAAATTTAATTGGTCCTTCAGCTTCTTACTCATGGCTGGGGAGAGAAGAGATGAAGACTTTCTCAAGGTTTTTAGTACAAAAACTGTCCAAGTCATCTACACCCACAAAGATGAAACTAATCTTAATAATTCATTAAATCATGATGATTTATTGATTGACCGATTCATTTTTTATGGATTTGCAGGTTATTTAAAGCCAGAAGATATTTTTTAGATTGTAAGGATTTTTTTTTTTTAAAGATAATGATTTAGTGATCCAAGACTTATTAATTAACTGATAACTGGGGGAGAAGTGGATTTATATCTTTCCCAAGGGTATTTGTGTATAAGTGAATATAACCAACTCAACTGGGATTGAAACTGGGATCCCATGGGAAACTTGATATGGCTATAAGCCTAAATCATGATAGAACTCTACCCAAGAATTTCAGGAAGCATTTAGAAAAAAATAAGAAACGCTTAAGGTCATATCATGTTGAAATACTGGTTCTAATACAATCACTGAAGTTAAACAATGTCAAGCCTGGTTAGTACTTAAAACAGGATAACTGCTTGGGAATACCAGGTTCTGTAAGCTTGAATGTGCAGGTGGTGCAACGGATAATGACTTGGAATTTGAAAAATCAGAGTTGATTTCCAATTCCAGTCAGGTTTGTTATATTCACTTATGTGCAAATACCCTTGGAAAAGGTATGAATTCACTTCTTTCCCCCAGCTATGGGTTAATTAGTAGGACTTGTATCAGTAAATCATGATTATCTCCCCAAAATTCTTACAAATAAAGAATATTTTCTGGCTTTAAACAAGCTGCAAAAGATTGATAAATCCTAAAATTCAAACAATCAATAAAAAAAATATCTATTTTGGGGTATTACATTTATTTTCAAAGCTACAGGAACAAAAAAAAATATAATAAATTGACTTTAGACTAAAGAAAATATACTTTGCAGTAAGGTGATCATGTGAACATATTTGTTTCATGTTTAATGATATTTCATGATATTTATATATATATATATATAAGATTTAATTATAATTTTTATTATTAGTTTCTTTTGCCATTAAAATTTCTTGCAATATTTTCCCTGTCTGTAACAAAGTATAAATATAATGCTGTCAACAATGTTAAATAAGCAATATTCATTGTATAAAATGTAATAAAGTCTTACCTCAAGGACATGGATGAGGGCAATACGAAGGGATGGATTCTTTTCGCACATGGCATTTAGTAAAGATTCTAGATTCCGGCTTATAGTCAAAGACTAGAAAAAAAATAAAAATAAAAAAAATCATAAAGATTAAAATATTTGTCCCAAAACACAAAAATAAAATTACCCTGATTATATACAACAAAATTTATCCTAAGTCAAATGCTGCTAATCAGTAACAAAGAATCAAAATTTAAATAAGAATCACTTTGTGAGTGGAGAAAAAAAAAAGTGTGTGAAAATTGGCTTGGAAAAAAAGTTTGGAAAATTGAATGAAATTGCTTTTGTTTGTTTATAAAACATTTATTCAGATACATTAATCGGTTTAGACTAATATCCTGATTTTATTTGATATAGTCACAATGTTTCAGTGATTGTAATCTTCAGGTGTTTGTAATATTTGGTAACCTTGTGTGAATTTTGAACTGAGTTCTTCCAAACTAAATTCAATTCATGTAAAGGAGATCTTGTATCTTAGGTAATTCTTCCTACTTCGTTCTTTTTTTTGGTCATGTCACTTTTCTCACCAAACCAGACTTTTACTGCCTGGGGCAGGGATTGAACGCTAGGCTCTTTTAAACATGTTTATTTCCTGTCAGACTGGAATTTAGGGGTCTTAAGACTAATCTCTTTTCTTTTTTTTCAAAGACAATCAGAAGAAGGTCAAAGTGCACAATGAATATCATGTTGTGATTTTAAAGAAACAAGATAAAGTCATTTAAATGACTAATTGTTATTTTCTTAAAATATGGACACATTTTTGAAAGAAAATTTAGAATTTACCAAATTTTATCTGTATTCATTTAATAAATTTAAGGATTTGTATTTTTTTTTTTGGGTAATTATGATGAAAATAACAACATTAATAAATTTACAAGTTATTTTTCTTTTATACTGAAATGTTTTTTTCAACTATAAACAGAATTACAAACACACAATTGTGCAATATGCTTCTTGTATGTGTTATGTCCCTTCAGGTTGTTAGCAATCATGACTAACCACAATTTTTTGTTTTTTTAGTTCTTAGTAAATTTTGTTTTTCTCGTACACCTTATTATGACATCCACTTGCACAAACTCATTATGTAGGTTATGTGCGATTTTCCTTTGTCCCTGTTGCTGTCAATATATCTTGTGAGTATCAAATTTTCCAAGCCCTCTCTTCTCATTATGTGCCCTAGAAATTTCAACTAGCTCTTTCTGATTTTTCCGTTTTGTCTCCAGTTTCTCTAAAACCTAGTCATTGCTCACATATTCAGTCCATGGTATTCTTAGCAACCTTCTGTAGAACCACATTTCTATCGATGCAGAGATGATCCAGCATTCATTGCCATATAGGCAAGCTGATATTACATAATAGTTCAGTCCTTTCTGTTTTTAATGAAATTTTCCTGCTTCTTAATACTTTGCTTAGTTTTTGAAAGGCACTTTCGCTATCTCAATGCTCCTTCAGATTTCAATGTTTCACTTTTTGTCCTCTTTAAAATCACTTCCCAAATATTTAAAATGTACTTGCTTGATGTTGGTATCTCCAATTTGTAATTTGCCTGTTGGGTTGTTCCTTTTGCTAACAACCAAGCATTCTGTCTTCCTGCAATTTACGCTTAGTCCTTTCTTCTTGCTTTCTTTCTCTACCTTCTGTGGAGTTCTTGTAGTTTTCTGTGTCTACTATCAATACTGTATCGTCTGCATATCTTATGATAAATTATGGCCACCATGAATCCTCAATGGACCTCTAATTTTCTTGAAATTGCCTCACTGTAAAGGTTGAATAAGTCCGGTGAGAAAACATATCTGTATGCAGGTGGTCTCCTACCAGTATAGGTTCTGGATTATTCTAATATTCTTCCTAAATATGTCAAGGCTACCTGCTTACTTGTATATAAAGATGCAAAAATGGATAAGCCAATGTTGTGTGTGTGTGTGTGTGTGTGTGTGTGTGTGTGTGTGTGTGTGTGAGAGAGAGAGTAAGTGAGGAGAGAGAGATTACTTACCGGATCTTTTTTGAGACTGTAGTCAATGGCAACTTGTAGAGTTTTCCCCAGAGAATAAACATAAATCTGAAAAGAAATTTGAGTTTGGATAAAAAATATCATGAAGTTGCTAATGAAATAAATTGGATGAGTTCCAAAATCATTAAAAATTTTAGTTGAAGTGTTTCTTGTTTTACACGCACAAAAAAAAAAAAAAAAAAAAAAAAAAGCATCTAAAAAGTATATATATATATATATATATATATATATTTTATTTATTTTTTTTAATAGACACAAGGTGAGAATATATGTAATGAAAGGTGCCCCAAATTTATTAATCCAGGGGCTTCTTAAGACCTAAATCTGGTCCTGATCATACAGCATCCATTTCACAGTCTGTCAGTCTAATACAAATTTACTTGTTTACTTGAGTTTAATTTAAGATGACAGCAATTATTTTTGTTTAAGAAAAAGGTTTAAAACTCAATTGCTCATTGTCAGATACAGTCTGTCAGAGAATCAAAATAAATGATTTATCCTTTTAGCACACACACAGACACAACCCAGAAGTTAGCAAAATATTGATGAATTTCTGAATAAACTAAAATAAACAGTATTTAAATTTGTTTTTAATCATTTTGCTCCAAACAAGAAAGGCAATAGAGTCACTAAGATGCAAAGGGTTAGTGTGAGTTAGAATATAAGAAAAAACTGCTATTAAGGAGAGAGGACACTAAAAGAACAAGAATTAACACAGAAGATAACGATTGATATTTCATTTAAATTTTTGGTTATAATGTATATAAAAAACAACAATTTAAAAATCTAAATCCCACATGCATTTATTGCAAAAAGATCTAGAAGAGTGGCCATTCAAGACAACTTTCATTTTGCAATTTGATAAAAAAAATGGAATCATTTCTAAAATTCTCTTTATAGAAAATTTAGCAAAATATTCCTCCTTATTGACTGAAATCAAAATAGAATAAAGTCAGTTTAAGTTCTAGAAAATGAAATTAATCAAAACATAGTATTTGGCTGTTTCTGGATTGTATCAATTCCTTTCATAGTAGGTAATCAAAAGCTAAGTCCACGTTCTGCTCTAATTTTGGGGGAATTTTCATTTTCTTAAAGTTAGATTAACTTGAGATCCAACATCCAATTGAACAGAACCATTTGTAACTAATTCATATCTATCTAATCTTGCACATATCTGTTTTTTATTACTATAAATGTTATTTTTACTGGATAGATGTGTTTGAATTGCTATCCCAATTTTTTTTCTTGAACAGTGAAATTAATAAACAAGTCTAAACTGAGAAGTCCCACTGAAGAAAAACTGTGCCTCCAACAGGAATCAAACCTGTATCCCCCTTTTGCATCAGGGAAACTATTTCTATAGCCAAAACATTATTAATTTCAGTGTTTAAGAAAATTAAAAACCAACATAGCAACTCAAACATGTGACCCCACTAAAAATAATGTTTACAGTAATAAAAAATAATGTTGGATAAAAAATCCATTGAAAAATTACTATATATAATCTGTCAGTATTTATCCTTTTGAACCTGCACATCATATCTGTCTGTCAATAAAAATATACTTTTAAGGTATACTATATTTAAGAGTTAAAGTGCTCAATATCAGGGATAGGGCTTATTTAAATATAAGATTTCAATGTCCACTTTTTTTTTTTTTTAAGTATACACACAAATTATTTATTCATGTATGTTTCTATGTGCGTAACTTGCGTAACTCTGATGGTTGCTCCTTATTGTGGTGAAGGGGTGTGTATGGTCCAATGATCCTGAGAGTGATGCCATTGGGAGTTCTAAACTCCTGGTAGGTCCACCTTAGTGCCAAGGTTGAAAACAAAGACCCAGACTAAGTGCAACCAACCCCAAAGACCCCAATATGCTGATGAGGATTACAATAGATCTCAATGATTAAACCAGAAAGAATGAAGAGGACTATGCATAACGGACATGAGTGGCAGTCTATTGCAGTTTCATAACTGGATTCTGCATGTCTCATTCCATATGTGCCACAGAGTAAAGTCATGAAATCAAAAATGTGGGTCACTTCCTGGCAAGCTGAGCTCCACCTTAAACAAATTCATGTCATTAGCACTTTCTTCTACTCTCATTTTGTTTCACCTCCAACCAACTCAAGCCAAATGGCAATGGGGAATGGGAGCAGGTTTTGGTGAAACTGGAAGCTTTTAGTCCTGGACTGGCATGTTGGTGGTGAATTTCGTCATCAATGTCATTATCATAAAGGAAGCAATCAGCGTTTTTGATTGTAATGTGAAGAAGGAGAAGGAGAAGAAGAGTGTTTAACATCAAAAACCATTCTTTGCCTGAAGAAGGTCTTGAGACTGGAAACTTGCGTGGCAAAATTATAGAAAATAAAATATATATATAGGTTTTAACAGCAATTAAATTCGGGGCTTTTAGCTTCTATTTTTGAAACAGGGTTAGAACTGTGTAGCGGAAAAAAACATATTTTAAATCAATTAATTTATAATATATATATATATATATATATATATATATAAAAACCAAAAAAAAAAAACACATTAGAAAAAAAAAAAAAAAAAAAAAAACACATTAGAACCAAAAACGTTTGTGGTTTCTCTCTTCTGTTTAGAATATACACTTTTCTCTTGGAAAAACTATAACTTCTTCCCTATATATATGTTCATAAATACAAACATAATATCAATAAATGAATAAGTAATTAGCTGAGACTCATTGTCTATCATGATCGCTTCTTGTTTTGGTTTTAAAATAATTTCTGGTAATGCTCACACAGCGATCCCCTAATTACCAGTGCTCTATAAAGGTGTAAGTTACCAAGAAATGGGTGTTTGCCACTCATGATCTTATCTGGATACCCTTGCATAATGCTGCTACAAATGTATACCATTTTAAAGACAATGTTCAGATAGAAACCAGAAAAAATTGAAAAAAATTGAGGAAAAAAAAAAAAAAAAAAAAAATCAGTGAAAATTATGATTATCCTGGAGACCTTGAAAGAAATTTCTTTGTTCTGAATCTTCTTACTTTGCTAGAATTGGATAACAATTCAAGTTAACTTGACAATGATTATCCAGGAGCAGCTGATGAAATATTTATCAATATGATGTCAAACATTAATATTAATAACATCTATGAACTTCAAGGGAAAATGACAGTTTTTTTTATAAATTTAACCCCCCAAAAAAAAAAACAGCTTAGTAACCAAGTGAGGAATAAATTATGCGAACCCCAAATAGTTAAATTTTTTAGGCTTAATATTAATTAAAAGGTTTAGTTATTAAGTTTCTAAATTAAGAAATTAAAAGGATTTAATTTGCAATGAAAAGTGATCTGATAAAATAAAGAAAACTATTTTTCAGGTTCAAATCTCAATGAAAACTATCTTTTGTGGTTAAAGAAATGCATTTATTTCTTTTTATACTGGAAAACTGAAGCTAAGAATGTCGACTGCAATTTCTATATCATTTGAATATTAACAATGAATAATTTTGTAGGATGTTATATCAGAAAAATATTTTGACAGACCAGAACAATCATTACGTATACCACTTTCATGGTCATTTACAAATTGTCTTGGAATACTTGACTACTCAATTTACAGCCAGAGTAATAAGGCTCAGGAACAAAGAAATGTCTTGTGAGATATCTTGTCAACCATTTTCAAGAAATCATCACACTACTGTAAATTGAACTTTGGTTTTTTGATAAGAGTAAAAGGCACTGGTAAAATATTTCTTCTTTTAGCAAACACAAAAAAAAAAAAAAAAAAAAAAAAAAAAAAAGAAAGAAAAGGAAATGGGCAATCTTTTCTCATTTTAGATAAGCCAGGCTTTCTTGAAGATGTCTCTACATGTAAAGTAAGAGGTAGGTTAGTGGAAGGAATTTGAGCTCTAAGCCTGAAATGAACTATTCTTTCTTATTAAAAAAACAAACTCATGAATTTAATGGCGATGTTTCCTGGTAATAAATAGAAAAAAAAAAAATCATGTGTTAATGCACTTAATTGAGTGGTTAATATTAATCACATAGATTGAACCATATTAATACATAGGTTATCTATTATACAATGAAAATTTCAGATCAAAATTTATCTAATAACTATGTGTTAGGCTACAGATATATTGATTCAATTTGTATTTTTTTCTTTGAAAAATTGTAAAAATGTATAATTAGAAAGATTTGATACATTGCATTCACTTGTCTTCTTTTAATCTCTTATGGATTTTTTCTTGATTAAGGATACTGTACTGACAGAAATAATTTAACTCTAAAACCTTCTGGTGGTTACTAGATAAGGATCGGTCAAAATGTTATTGATAAAGACAGCATGATAAATTGGTCCCAATGAATCAATGTATAAAAGTAACAATATTTCTTTCAAGAATTCAGATAAAAAAAAATAAAAAAGTTGTCTAATTGGTTGTGGATGTAAATAAAACAAAGTATTATATAAGTTCTTTTTTCTTACCTTTTCAATTGCTGCTTCTGACATAAGAATTCCAGTGTGAATTTCTGGTGCAATAAAATTTGAAACATTTTTGGTTTGTGATGACTCACTCAATTGAGCTCTTCCATTCGGACAAAGTAACAAGGTGTCAAGGGAAATGACGAAACTGGCTATACCATTTTGAACTGCTTCACCTGCAAAAGGTCAAATGAAAATATTCTTTTTTTAATACAAGGTTAAAAGAAACAAAGTATGACAAATATGCATCCCACCCCCTCACTGGTAATACAAATGAGTTTCATGTTCAATACAATCTTCAGGCACTGAATGGAGACTCTTAAGAGTCTTAAATCAGTTTATGGTTTCATCAGGCAGTAGAGGAACCCCTACTGCATGACAAAACCTTATCAGTGGAAACCATGATAGCATAAGTGGGTAGTATTTCTTTATTTTATATATATATATAGCGCTTTCTAATAAGTACCGCGCATATAATATATAAATAATTATACATATATATATTTATTTATATTTATATACACTTTTAACACACACACACACACATATATATATAATGTGTGTATATAAAAAACAGTGCTTGATGTAACATATAAAAAGATACAAAACAAGGTATAAATGAGGATAAGAGGTATTCAACTTGTCTTTGCAACTTCAAATTTCATATGCAGGGAAGCGAGCTTCACCAAACATAATCTGCAGGCATTCAGAAAGATTATATATTATATATATATATTATATATATATATATATATATATATATATATATTATGCCATTTTCAGACAGTACTGTTTCACAGCTCTTCAGTGCAACTAGACATCCGAATACCTCAAGCCCAGATTGAAACCCAACCGATTTGGTGTCAGTTACACACACACACACAGCCACACAAAAGTTTACAACACATTACAAAAAGTTTTTCTTTAGGTATTTCTAACAGTCACATTAATGAAACTTTTACTGCTAATAATACATGTTTAAGCCTTTAGTCAAATATTTTAAGTCAACTAAAAAATGAAAGTAAGCTTATCAATCTGTCTTCCTCTGTATGCGTATGTGTTTGTGCTAATGTATATTCTTAACTCAATACCCATTTATAAGCAAACACAAATACACATCTACACACACACACACACAAAGCATACACATGTGCCCACTTACATTTAAAATCACTTTGTTTTGTCAATAAATCTGTTTATTGATAAAAAAAGACAAACAAAAAACAAATGCATAGTTTTTGAACATAACCTTTGTCAGTGCACTTGGCCACTGCAGAGACTGAACATTATACAAGAAAAATTTCAGATCCACATTCAGCTGATAACTATATTAGGCTATGGACTTAATGATCCAATTTTGTATATACGATCTGACCTGCACTTAAAGGTAAGCAGAATTATGCACCCATATGCAGGTGTGTGTGTCTGTGCGCGCACAAGTACTGCATTTGAATACTTCAAGAGTTTTTTTTTTTTTTTTTTGAAATACCCAACCCGAACCATACACTTGAATTTTTATCCCCCACAGAAACCAAATTAATTTCCAGCTTTTGGGGATTCATTTTTTGTATTTTTTGAAAAGAGAAAACTATTTGGCCTTCTAGTGTGTAAATATCACAAGGCACCTTCAATTGGAGGCTTTCATTTTATTGTTTTCTTCAATGTCATGTTGAAACAAAACAATGACAGTCTAGACAAGAAATCAGATTAAAGAAGTTGAACATAAATCATAGCAGAACAGCTTTTATCTTCATCTCTGGTCTGGAAAATATGCACATATGTATAGAGGAAGACCAGAATTTTTTTTTTTTTTAAATTGAGTCACTGTGGGATTTTGTGTTTGTGAATGAAAAAGGAAGAACCACCCATGTTTGGTGACTCATGATGAAAGATGAGACTGGTAGCACTTGGGTGAGGCCTGTTACTTGGAGATTTGGGAGTGAGTTTATTTACGTCATGCATTTGTGCCTCTGTCGTCCTCTCGACAGAAGTAGTCGTTTCTGAACCTTGACTTATTGGGTACAACTTTGAATAATGACTCTTACATTTCTGCATAAGCTCTTTGGAAGAAAAACGGGGAACCAAATGTAAAGAGAGAAAATCTTTAATTTTATTTTTAGAGATTATAGTACTACTAGGTCAGAAAACCCAGACAGACATTTCTCTTCAGGCCTCTTTTCATATATATATATATATATATATATATATATATATATATATATATATATATATTTATTATGTCATTTGCAGACAGTACTGTTTCGCTGTCTCACAGCTCCTCAGTGTGACTAGACATCCAAATGCCCCAAGCCAGGATTGAAACCCAACAAATTTGGTGTCATACATGCACACATGCACGCACACATATATAATGCCACACAAAAGTTTACAACACATAAACAGTGTTTCTTTAGGTATTTCTAACACAGTTATATTAATGAAACTTTTACTGCTAATAATTCATGTTTAAGCCTTTAGACAAATATTTTAAGTCAACTAAAAAATGAAAGTAAGCTTATCAATCTGTCTCCCCCTGTGTGCATATGTATTTGTGCTAACGTATATTCTTACCTCAACACCCAATTATAAGTAAACACAAATACATATCTATACACACACAAACAAAACATATATGCCCACTTACATTTAAAAATCACTTTATATATATTATTTAAAAATTATAACATAAATATGTTATAAAATCACTACAAAAATAGCCATTTTGTTTCAACACCTCTGGTGTCTTATCAAGTGATGATGTTGAATGTAGATTGTAGAATAAAGGTTTTAAAAGGTTCAAATTAATTAATCACCCCTCTTAAGGGGAAACGCTGTTACATGAGCTGAAATGACCAATCAAAAAACAAGTATATGAGAATTCAAAAAACTTGACAACGAAGTAAAGTTATAATAACTATTAAATGCTTTAAAGTTGGGTTTATACTAAAATAGAATTTTTCTAAGTAATAAGGATTAAATTGTACGATAAAATTTGAAATTAAAATTAAAAAGTACCTATTTCAAAAAAGTAAATTTAATCTATATTAAGTTTAAAATTTTTAAATTAAGGAAAAAAGAAAAATATGTTATTGTATTCATTTTGTTTTTATTGAAATTATGTTGGAATAAATGTTAAAATCGACTGCCCTTAATTTAATGACAAAATGGATACAAATATATACATTGGATAATGACATCTTGCAAAAGACAATACAAACACAATCGGATTATAATACATAAGCACGCAGACATATTTAGGTATATACACACACAAAAAATCTGACGAGACAGGAAATATTTACACAACTTTTTACAATAAAAAAAAAAAAAAAAAAAAAATTTAAACCATACACACATACACAATGAAATGTGCATGCATTTTACTATACACAGACACCGAAAAAGATACGTACATATACCCACATACATTGATATAGACACTCTGATATAACACTAAAGAAATATTCAAGATTGAAAGTGTTATTAAACGAATTTTAACCACTTTACACTTTTGACCTTTTACAGATATACTGTATATAATTTATACGGGCCAATAACAAACAATAGGTAAAGAAAGGATATTACAATAGATATATACATATAAAAATAACACCATCTAATATATAAAAAAACGAAAATTCCAAGCACACATATACGCCTAATTGTACATTAGGTGAAAGAAAATAAAAACTACCTACAAATATATGTGTACAGTGTACAATCATTCATCACTACAGACAGAAGTGTTTTTATATATATATATATATATATATATATATATATATATATATATATGTAGAAAAATAGGAAAAAAACACATAAGGTAAATAATCCGGAGTTCTTTTTGTTTTTTATTTTTAAAAAACAGTGCTCCATACAGAAGTACAGTTTAAATTATAAGTATTATTTTTTAAATTTTTATAAATATATATATATATATATATATATATATATATATATATATATATATATATATATAAATAAAAAAAGAACTTATCTTAGCTGTTGCATTTCATCTTGAGTCACTTTATAAAAGCAAATGTCCTTCAGGGGACAAAATGCATCAGCTAACTTTGTCTTTTTGCCTTTTACTCATATTGACCTTTTACAGATATCTGTATCTGAAATTTTTACATACATACATATTACTAAAGACCTCATCAATGTTGGTGTGGTGAACAGATGACTTACCAAAAGACATAATACCTTTGACAAGAAAAAAAATCCTAAACAAGAAAAACAAAAATAAAAGGCAAACACCTACCTCTACAATAAATTAAAATGTTCAATGCTTAGACTATCTAGATAGAGCAAAAAATACTTCATGTCAACACTCAACAGAGGACAACTCAAATTGATAGGTAAGTTCTATGTTCTCGCAATCTTTAGGCGAGTATAATGCATTCTAAACGCCTGAAAACAGCAAAACCATGAATCTTGCGTAGCAACTCAAGCTGTCCTTCACTACACACACACGAAGAGCTGCTAAAGAGCATGATCCACTTCCCAAAATCTGACAGGTGAGCAAATATCTTTGGAAGGGCTTCTTGGCTGAGTCAATAATACACACACACACATATATGTACACACACACACACACACAGAGAGAGAGAGAGAGACGGGGTTGACTCCAAACATTGTTCAGATTATTAAGAAGAATAAAACTGTTTTTTTTTTTTTTACATGAACTTTATTGAATCACATATTTGTAATTCTGTTCCATTATGTTCTACCATCTTTCAGTTAATTTCTAAATATAAATTCTCCAAAGTTTCTTATTAGTATTATCATCATCTTTTTCTGCAAAGAATTATTCTAAGTGATCTTTAAAACTAATGGCTAATACTTTCTAAAAGGGTTTTAAAAAAAACAAAAACAAAAAAAACATGGCCTTTCTGGATGGAACATATAAAATCAGCAACATTATTTATACATATTTGCTACTTGAAATAAAAGGATCTTTTGCCTTTTTGGTTCTTCAAATAATGTCTATGAAATCTTTATGGAATCACAGTTGTGGGAAAAAATATTCCCAATGCTAAGACATGTTATTTTAGGAAAGTCATTTGAGAGAAAATGAGATAGGACTAATGTCCTGAACGTTGATATCAATATACACTTTTGGTAGTCTGGTAGGGGGGGAGAGAGAGAGAGAGAGAGAGAGAGAGAGAGAGTTGTTGGTGGGGTACATCAGATAAAATCAGATATTATCAGATATTATCTGAGGAGCAACAGATGGAAAACACAAGCGAACCGCAACTGTTGAATCACAGTCAAAATATGAAACAAGCTAGAAAAATATTGTTGCTTGTTCATCCAACACTTGGCATATTTATATTTGATTAACACATTTAAATGCACTAGCATTCACACACACACACACACCACTGTGTTATCACCCCAACACTCACTGTGCTCTATTGTGTATGTGTACATGTTTATATTTTTATGTATATATGTGCATCTATATTGTGTGTACACCCACCAAATTTGACCAAATAGTAGGTATCCCAGCACTCAGCTTCCAGCTGATGAAATTCTTAACTAAATGCTAAAAAAGGCATATATTCAACTCGTTGTGTTATTTCAGTCGATATATCTCTATAAAAACATAATGCATACCAAATAAAAGCTTATTTCATGAACTTTGTTTCTATCTTATTTATTTTTATATGTACTAGTGTGCGAGAAACATTACAGTTTCAAAATAGAGACATTTTGGTGATTTCTCAAAATTTTGGCCATTTTTTTTTTCAGTGATGGCAATTTAGACTTCCTCACATTTTGTAACATGCACACTCTGCAGGGTTTATTACAATTTTGGTAACATGTTAGTTTGAAAGTTAACATTCTAAGCTCCATTTTCATATATTTTATATTTTTTTAATTCTAATGAGAAGTTTGTAAACAATTCAAATAAAAAGTTTGATTGTAAAATTCAAATGCTACTTGTAAAAATAAAAACACATAAAATATATCATTAAAACGCTCATTTAATAATCTCTGAAACTAAATCAAATATGAAACAATAGCTCCATTTTGCGCATGTGCGATTATGTAACCATGTGTGACTTGCTCAGCCATCATTTCATCTCTATGCAACAGTCAATACACAGCGTCAACATGGACACAAGAATCGACCAGACGATGGACGAAATTTTCAAGGAAATTGGTAAGAATTTGTTTTCTATGATATGTAAAATGTAAATGGGATTTAAAAACCGTTTTTGTCATAAAAAATATGAAACAAAAATTGATTTGTTTACTTTATGCTCAAATTCAAATCACAAAAAAACAAAACAAAAAAACAAAAACAAAACAGGAGTTATTGATCGAAAAATGTTCATATTCAAAGAATGAAAAAAAAACCAAAAAAAAACAAAACAAACATTCTACAAAAAAATTCTAGAATGTTTTATGTTTTTGCAGTATTCTCACAATAATTATCAGCACTTCAGTTACCAAGTAACATTTTGTTTAAAAAGTTACCCCTTCAAACAATTTTTTTACTTTTTAAATTATCTAATGAATGGATTTTAGTTACGATATATTGCTATCTAGATACAAATTTATGATTTAATATTCATTTTCCTAATTTATTATTATTTCTTAGTAATATTTATTTCATACGGATTATGATTGTTTATTTTATTCTAAAATATTTTAATGTGTCAGTTTTAAGGACCACTGTGGAAATAGGTTTGTTGAGAAAATATTTTAGTGCTTCCTTATTTGTTACTCAGGTGTATGGATAACTCTAAATTTATATTTATTCCTGATTGTATTTAGTGTAAATTTTTTATGAACAAGCAAATAAACTCAAATTCAGTAAGAAAACATAGACAATAATTTGTAGATGACTACTAAGTAGTACTTCGACAAAACAATAGGATTATAAATTCATATTTTTTCTTTTTGAAGATGATGTATAGAATCAGTTACGTTGTTTTATGACAAAAGGACGTGGGAAGAAGATGTCTTTGCTTAAAGTGGAATGTTTCAAGAAGGTGCTGCTTCAAATGTATTCATTGAAAGAGAAGTATCAGGAAACTTGGGATTCTGCTATTACTTGGTTACATAAATTGTTCCCAATCTTTCCTAAGAACAGATGGGTACACCTTATTGAGAAAGTTGTAGCAGAAGTTCAGAGTTGTCCAAAAGTGGATCATCCTGCATTGTACCATGAAGTAACAAATTTGGGATTCATAGGTGAAAGATGTGAGAGTGTTGGATTGACTCTCCTCAGTGTTTTGTTGGATCCAGTACTGGGTCGTAAGCTTTTATGTGTGGAAGTAACCAATGGGCTCATACTTGAACTATATAAACCGGATACGCCAGCAAAGATATACTAGTCAGACTAGAAGAACTTTGGTAGTGCCTGAATTAGATTATTTGGAAGGATTGTATGAAGATTATGCCAAGACTTACTTTTGACTACTCAGTGAAGAGGTATCCCAACACCCAGCCCACCATTACTGAAAATTTCCAAATAAACTTCATTTGATTAATTTTATGTCTGTGTTGTTTATTTTTATGTGCATAATGTGAGAGGAATATTACAGTTTAAAAATTGAGACAATTTGGTGATTTCATATCGCTTACGTAGTGATCGGACCTAACATGTGTTAGAACTTCAACCTTTTGATCAAATTGTGACAGATAAAATATTTTTATTTTAATGATTTCAGTTACAAATTTAGTGGTTGAATACCACTTCATGATATGGTGTGTTTTTTGTTGTTTTCTTATGTTCATTAGTGGGTATTGCTTGGGGTGTGTTAAGCTTCTCTCTCTCTACAGTCCAGAAATTGTACATGTTGAGTCAGGATTGTACTTGTTCAGCATCTGCTCCATATACATTCTAATCTGTTGATTTTAGGTTATTTTAACCATGGTAAATGGAAAGAGCACCCCCAGAAATGGCTAGAAATGAAATTTGGTGTTTCTAGTGTAAGAAGTATTCATTTTATGACAATTCAAGCAAGTCTAAAATCGGCCTTTCAAATACCTTGTGACAAAGGGTTAAAAATCAATCTTTTTCAATTTTGAAGTGGAATAATCCAGAATATATCCATTCTATCACTCCCCCCAAAATTAGGCATATTACTGGTATAGTCATGTGATATCTGAAATTTTGGATGAATGTGAGTCTTATTTCTAGTTTTATGAAATGTCAAACCTCAGGTTATGAGTTGTTTGCAGGTTGTTGCAGAGCGTTTAATTTATAAAATTTGCATATTCAGACTGAATCTATTTAATTAATATGCAGTGACACTAACTGTAATTTTATTATTAATTTCTTTGTTATGTACCTAACAAGCTAGTATAATTTTAACTGTTGTTCTTAATTGCTTTTTAAAATATAGGAGTCCAAATATGGTATTTTGTCCTAATTCATAATAGACAAAAAAATGGCTAAGTCAAGCACATGTGTAAAAATAAAAATAAATCTGCCAAAATTAAATGATTTAAGATATTTTGATGAAATAAAAACTGCTAAGTTTCTTTAATCATGTAGATTAAGATGCAATCAGATAACACCTAGTACCTGTTTGAAATTTTCATCTGTGATACCTACAAATAGTCAAATTTTGGGAGGGAATCACTTTTTAGTTATTTTAAGCATCTCCTACCCTGTATCCATAGAAAATTTCATGTTTGATTTTTTTTAAAATAGTACTTTACATTTAATAAAATTTAGTACACTTGTACTGACATAAATGTGTATTTTTGAAAAAAACATACATACATGCACACAATTGCTGTTAATGTTTTTGTAATATGAATATGTTGGATGGGAAGTGGAAAGTTAAGCACTGTGAAAATCAACAACTGCTAAACATATTTTAAGATTTACAACTCCTTTAAGAACAACCCCCCTGCTCGTATATTTTGACCATTCAGGAAGTAGTGAAGATCATCTGGGTTTATTCAAATCAGTTTTTTTACTCACTCAATTCAGTCATATGATTAAACCAACCAATCAGATTCTCTGAGATTTGTCATCTTTGGTTGGTCCTAAGTCAACCAATCCAATTATGGAACATTCTGATATATTTTCATGAATTGAAGATCAATGTAAAATGAAATATAAGTCCTAAAAACTTTGCCATTTTTATTACCAAAGTCTGATGAATGCATTGAGGTTGAAATCATTTTTTATAGAATACCAGTAATGAGATATTCTGTCAGAATGTAAGATGTAGGGAGAAGAGGATTCATGCCTTTCCTGTGGAAATTAGTGTTTTACTTTTAATGCTGGTAACCGATACTGCCACTTCAATACCCCCCTTCAAAGTCAGAATAATAAATCTTGGAATAAAAGTTATTCCCACTTTAATTTCAGAACTAAAAGTTTTTTATTCTTTGAATCATCCAGACTAGCATCTCCATTTTTGTTATTTTTGCTATAATCTTTTGTCAATGTGTATTACCTAGGTGTATTTGCATCAGTTAATTCTTGAATATCACCTGTTACTTTAAAAAGAAAAAAAAAAAAAAAAAAAAAAAAAAAACTTTCACAACCATTTGAAATGAAAACTTGATTAATGAACCAAACAACAAGCATGAAGATAATCATCGAAGTAGAGATCAGGAATTAAGGTAAACGTTTGTTGCATTCAGCTTTTCTTACAAATAGGAGTACATTTTCTTTTTGTTTAGTTTGTTAAAGCATTAAAACAAACAATTTTCATTTCTTTCAGTCTATTCAAAATCTTTTATTTATTAAATGCCAAAGTTATCAGAAGAAAAATTTGAAGAAATAATGCCTGATGTCTTATTTTGGGCAAAGTATATAAGTTCCTCTTTGTCTCACTGAAACTTGGGGGCAGGTTTAATACCCATGAAACCAAGAGGGTACTGTGTGTATGGAGTGAAGGAATATGCTCCATACAAAGCCTTGGTATTCACTGACCCTGGCTGCTGAGAAGGCTATTCTAAACAGACCCAGCTGTGTACTGATGGGTTCCTTTAGCGTCACACTGGCCATGTAGATTTTTTTATAGACATTAATAGTGTAAAAGGAGGCAAGTAAAAGAACTATGTATACATATACATCAGCACCCAGGCAGACACATAGCCTGTTTGGGTTTCTTTTTTAATTTATTAAGGGAGAAAATGGTACTTGATGTCATTGATGAAACATATGTTTCTATGGTGCATGGCCTGATCATGATTTCTGTAGCTAAG